CAACTGCCGTGGATGCCAGGTCGTTCAGGTGCCGAGGACTTGAGTTTCGAGCTCCGAGACCGTCCGCTGCTCCTGCTGTTCCGGTTCGTGCGCTTCGCTTCCTGCTATATGGCCCCCAGCGCCGACTCTCCGCGCCATCACTACGTTGAAGTCAACCTGGAGGCCCATCGCGTGGGCCAAGTGGTCGCGTATCGAACTCGTGTGTGCTTACGTCTGTGTGGTGGCTATCCGCCACGAAGCCACCGACCCGGCGGTCCACGTGCTGCTTCCCAGTGATCAGGCGTGGTCGTCGCGCATCACTCGAGACGAGTTCGTCGTCGGCTGGTGCCATGGGTCACCAGCGAGCTCTCGACCAACGCGCCGACTTCGACGCTTCCGCGTTCGGTGGAATGAGCTCGTTCTTCCTGGTGCAACGGATGTGGAATTACGACAAGTACTGCACGAGGCCTTTGTCCCTCCCGGTTCTGACTCACGTGTGGACTTTGGAACCGAGCCGATCCGGATCGTCACGGAGTTCGGCCGTGTCATCGTGGTTAATCCCCTCCTGTATGCTCGTACGCGGATCGGTCCCTCTCGCCCGTCACCGCGGCTCGACGCGGACTTCGACACGGATGACGAATCGCCATCCGAGGTGCTGGCAGTCGGCTTATCCCGGGGACGGCCGCTACCGCGAGATATACCAGCCATTGCCCGATCCACTGAGCTCGCGGATCCCGGGTTCGTGCACGGTGTGCCTGGCATGGCATCCACCCCACGAGTCCATGAGCTCCCTGTTTCGGCAACACCGTCGCCCGTCCAAGCTGCAACAACACGGCCACAGCCCACGAGTACTGGCCAGGCGGACGGAGTACTCGCTGTCCTGGCAGAGTTTGCCCGCACTACTCAGATGGTGCTGGCACAGCAAGCAGAGGCGCAACAAACGTTCCAGAGCCAACTGCTGGAGAGACTTCACGCTCCTGCTACTCCGCTACCGCCCAGTGCGGTCGCTCACTCGGTACCTACACCGCCTGACCAGCGTCGCGGTCGTACCTCGCTCCGTAGCCGTGGACGTCATCGTGAACGGAGTCAAAGCCCTCCGCCTCGGACTCGGGTACACACCCATCGAACACGCAGCCGATCCCGCAGCAATTCTCATCGTGATCATCGGCGCCGTGAGCGCAGCCGTTCGAGCGGACGTGTACCCTCATCTGCCCCTCTGCCCAGCTCGGAGCGCAGGCAACACCAGGCGAGTCGCCGAGGGTCCAGTGACGACAACCCTGTGACAGCCTTTACGCCACCGCGATCTCGGTTCCAGCCGCGGGTGCGCCGTTCCACGGGAGTCTCGCCCGGTTATACCGATCGTCAGACGCCTTCGCCGCGCGGACCTCCTGGCCCCAGCTACAACGACACCCGCGCAAGCGGTGATGGGTATTATCGTTCCTCACCGCACCAGCCAGGTCAACGCGAATATTTTAATCGGATCAATGATGACTTCCCTTCGCGCACCCAATGCGACTTCGACAGTGCTCGACGACACGCTCCGGACTACCCGGAGTGGAGATAACGACAATGGTAACGGGAATGGCGGGCTCGCTGAAGTCTGCTGTTTGTTTTACTAGGCCTGCAGCTAGTCTGCACCGCCATTTGCGTTTATCGAATACAGGTTGATTGGCTTTATTGCTTTTTTTTCTTGGAATACAAACTACCTGCTTGTAGAACCTCAACTTGAACTAATTCGACACACATTGCTTACCTTCAGTTGCTCAAATGTTCCTAATGTAGCTTCAAGCTGCGAATCCGCGGGCCCCCGATACCAGAGCAAAGGTGGATCGCTAGCGTAGCTGATGTGCAGATTTAGTCTGAACGGGGTCTTTCACCTGAATCCCCGCGAATTTCCACAAGAAGACCAGTACATTATTGAATACCGAAACGTTGTTGAAACCTGCAGTTCGTGGTAAGCACCACGGACCATTCAGTGTGAACAACAGCGTGGTGCCATTTGTAAGGCCACTTGCACACAAAGTCCTCGAGTCCATTTTTCACATGCAGCATAACTATGATTTTCCAGCACAAAAACTCAGAAAATGTCGACTTGAGAGCCATCGTGTACCTACCGTAGTGACGAAGTTGATAATTCATCACTTGAACCGTGAGAAATACGATTACATTTTGCTGGAATCGAACTAAGTTCTACGAAACGAAGTAGCTGCAAGAGCATCTGATGCACCCTACAGCGAGCAATATGCTGGACATGGACAAGATCGAGTTCTTATGTTGCTTAAGCGCCAATTGGCTGCACGATCGATAGATTTCGCTCAAAATAACCCGAAAACGAGGCTATTATTGCCTGAAGGGACAACGAAAAAAGTGCAACCTCAAATCGATATTTGCAAAAGTACGCAGTTGACAGCTTTCGCGCGAGGAACTACACCAATGTAGAAGAACAAGATTGAAAGTGGTGCTAGCATGAGATCGTTGATGTTATTTAGTGTTTATTCGGAATCGCTCATGTATACTAGAACTCATGCATCTCAGGCATTGTGCATACATACTAGGTATGCACCTAGCGCTCAAGGTAATTTACCTTACCTGCTAAAATTTGGGATGCGGATATCATGGTAAATGTGCGGGCCCACAGCAAAGGTGGCAGATATTTATAATGCTGTTGTGAGCTCGATCGTAAGGTACTACACTGTGAATTTGCCCCAAAAAAAAACAGGCAATAGCCACAAGACTTTTTCCGAGCTCCGATATGTCGATATGTCGATTACAGCGGACCCAACGGCAAGAACTTATCGGTCGTTGAAATTCAACTTTATTCAGTAGAACAAGGTTTGTACGTTCTCGTTGGCTAGGTACCCTGTGACCTACAATACTACATGCACTATGCCACATCATGGGTACACACATACACACCCAACACCTTGCCCTTTTTGCGCAGCAGCAACATCACTGTTAGTTGGCCCACTTCAGACGTTCTTAGGCGTACTTGCCCCCTCGGACCATCCTGTTCTCGAAAAATTTCGTGTAGCCCTTCGCAGACTCGGGGTGAAATTTAGCAACCCACTCGGGGCTTTTGTTGGTAAAAACCCACCTGTTGTACTTGAGCAGCTTCTTGACTTTCAACTTCTTTCCATCCTCGTTCTTCGGTGTCGGCGGCAGGATTCACCCGTAGAAAGCGCCAAGTCCCCACGGCATTTTCCTCGGCAGAAGGCATAATCTTCTCACCATCGGTCTGCTTGGCGTTTGCGAGGGCGTTGGCGCTTGCGATGATGATGGACGCAGACGAAGTAGTAGAAGCGCATGGAGAGTGAATTATCTGCTGGGACGGAAGGGGAAGTGTAGTTACCTCCGGGCCTCTCCCGGGTTAGATCATCAACTAGAGCCCGCCGCGTCCGGGCAACTAGCATCGCCAGCACCCGCCTCGTTCGGGTAACTAGCTTAGAATCACATCCTCAGAACTGTTCGTGGCCTGGCCACCTAGGCAACGGGTACTCACCGCCGGGTCGGGGCTGAGCGTTCCACCAGCTAAGACTGGCCCTTTCCCCTTGAGGGTCCAGGATAGAGACGATGAGGAGGGAGCACTAAGCGACCACGGCCTGGGAGTGACCGGGCTGCTCCCCGCTATTCCCTATGAAATATGTAACGGGCCGCCGTGCGTCGACCTGCACGAGCCACCTGGCCCGCACGGTACATTCGCACACACAGACCCCTCGGCCAAGGCGCCAACTATAGGCACCGCGGCCCCCGCAGTCTCTCTCTACGGTCCTCTAGCACTCTACTGTCCGGCCGTCCCCGCCGTTCCCGTACGGCGTACCTCGTTTTACGTTGTATCCGGCCTCGTCCGGCGTCCACAACCCGTGCTCCAGCGCCAAGTTCCTCAGATTAGTCTCCCCTTAATGCCCGTCCTGCGCTAAATCTTGACTGAGAGTCGAGCAGCACGCCGCTGCTCGCCGCACTCCTACGAAGCCCCCTATACAAACTACCTACGGGAACGGCGCCCTTCTCCTAAGCTACCTGCTTGGACCTCTCCCCTTTCGGGGCGCATCGCCCGTCTCGAGGCCTCCGAGCCTCACATCCTTCGCCTCCATGTCGCCCCGCCTTGTCCTCATACTGCTCACTGTCCCTGCCGGACGTGTCGTCTCCCTCGCGATCTTCCATCTTCAACCTTCGAACTTCTAGCTACCCCACGCACGTGACGGCAGCCAGCTGGCTAGTCCTTGCCTCCCTCGCCACTCTTGCCCCGATCTACGTTACGTACACCACGTTGAGCACGACCGGCGTCACCTGCTCGCCGAGCAGTTTCTTCTCGCTGCCGCTGCAAGTGACGGTCCGCCCCAACTACACGCCATCCCCGGACGTAAGATCGTCCGCGATCTTCCCGGCGTCCAGCAGCTCTTCGTACTCAGCAGCACTGAGCCACCTCCGTCCTACCGGCATCTCTGGTCTTGTCGTGTACTCCACCTCGTGCTCGACTACGTAGCGGCCCGCGCGATTCCGGACCCATCTTCGCGCCCGCTCCACGATATGCCTTGCCGTCGCGACTTGTAGGAGCTCTGGCATTGGAGCTGGCTGTCGTGGCCATCCACGTCCACGAAGCATACCCACCGTGGCGTCAGCGACACCACTCGTTCTATCGCCGTTACCTCCAGCGTCCTCAGCACCGGGGCCGTCTCCACGCTCTCGACTGGCTCCTGCTTCACGGCGAACACCTCCTCGCTGCGCGGGTCGTGCTCGTCCAGCGGCTGCACTGGCTTCTCGCTCGTCGGCTCGCGCACCGCCGTGAATCCCGCGATCTTCATCTGCAGCCACCGCCTTCGACGCTGCGGCTTCCTGCTGGTGACGTGCAGCTTCGCGCCGAGCTGCCCGCGCTCCACGAGCCTCGTCAGCTTATGTTCGCCGGCGCTTCTTTTGCACTTCATCGTTCCTCTCTTCGGCTTGGGGCCGCTCTTGCCGCCGGCGGCTCCGCTTTGACTCTGGCGGTAGAGGCCTTGGAGCAGCCTCGGCCGCCGCCTCCATGGCGCTCGTCGCCTCTATTCTTGGCCCAGCGGCTTTCGGCCCGCTCCGCGCCGTGCATCCGCCTCGGTTCTTGTCCAGCGGCCACAGGCAGTGTGCCCGTCACCGTCCTCGGCCCCTCGTCGGCGCTCACTGGTGCCGTAGCGGTCGTTCTAGCGCCACTCGTCCCCGTCTTGATCTCTTGCGTGCCACCTTCCGCCCGGGCGGTCACATCCTCACTGCTCTGAGTCCGCTCTTGTTCCTCGGCGGCACCGCCAGCTGCCACCTCTTCCTCGCTCAGTTCTCGAAGCATGCGCTCCGCCACCACGCCCAGTGAGTCACTCGGGCAACTGCACTTCGCCAAGAAGCTGCAGTGCGTGATCACCCGCTCATCATTGTCCTCGCGTAGCACTTCCCAATTATCAAAGCCCGCGTCTGCTACAATTCGAGCTGGGCCCAGCCATTTATGGGCCAGTTTCGTAATTCCTTTGCCACGAGGTGGTCGCAGCACCCACACGCTGTCGCCAACCGCGAACTCGTTGTGCGCCCGCACCTGCCGATCGTAGTACGTAGCCCGCCTCAACTGGTCCTTGACCAGCGCCTTCTTGGCCGCCTCCGTTGCCGTCGCCATGTTCCTCACCAACGCCCGATGATACTCGGCGAACACGCCGACCTGCGTGACGCCACTCGCCCACAACAGCTCATTCGGGGCCCGAAGACGTCGACCCATCATCAATTCGTTGGGGCTGTACCCCGTTCCTGAATGCCTCGCACCATTGTAGGAGTAGGCCGCGCACGGCAGCCATCGATCCCAATCACTCTGTGCCTCAGACACGAACATCGCGACCATATCCTTCCACGTCCGGTGGAAATGCTCGACCAAGCCGAGCAGAGCCGGACGATACGGCACCGGCGTCAACTGCTTCGCCTGGAGAGCACTCACCAGCGCCTCCACCACCGCCCCGCTCAGTTCGGGCGCTCCGTCCATCACGAGCTCCCTCATGGGCCCATACACCAACACCAGCTTCTTGACGATGAAGTCCGCGATGTCTGGTGCTTTGTGGTTCGGCACCGCGGCCACCACCGCATACCTCGTGGCATAGTCCACGGCTGCCACCACATACCGGTTGCCCTTGTCCGCCACCGGCAGCGGGCCTGCTACATCCAGCGCCCAACGATCACCAGCATCTCCCACGCCCTGACTCCGCAGCGGAGGGATCACTTCCTTCGCCCTCGCCTTCCTCGTACCGCAGTCACGGCAAGACTGCACCCATCGTCTCACCCACGCCCGCATATCCGGCCACCAGTAGTTGGCTACAATCTTAGTGTAGGTTTGAGGTGTTCGCAGATGACATGCGAAGATCGAGTCGTGGTTCTCGCGTAGGACCTTTGCCCACAACGAGGACGGTAGCACGACACGTCTGCTACCGTCTCTCTCGTAGATGTAAACCAGCTCGCCCTCGACTCCTACCCGCCGATCGCCGTGTTTCCCCTTGTTCTTCAGGTTCTGCACCGTCTTGTTCTTCACCTGCTCCTCGGCGATCTCGCCGTCAGTCAGCTGCCCTTCGCCTCCTGTTGCTCTTACGTTCGCACCTCTACCAGCCACCGTTCGTACTGGTGCCCTCGAGAGAGCGTCTGCGACCACGTTGTCCTTACCCGGGCGATAGACAATCTCAAAATCATATTCCTGTAGTTGTAGTGCCCACCGGTGCACTCTACCCGTGAGGTCCTTTGAAATCATTAGCCACTTCAGCGCGGCGTGGTCCGTCACCAGTCGGAACCGCCCTCCGTACAGGTACGGGCGGAACAGCTTGACGGCCCAGATCACTGCCGCACACTCGAGGTCGGTAATGGCATACTGCGCCACGCCCTTCCAGTTGATCTTCGATGTGTACGCTACGGGTTGCTCGTCCTGCCCTTGGTCCTGAGTTAACGCCGCTCCGAGTCCTACCTTCGAGGCGTCTGTCACCAACGTGAATGGTTGCGAGAAATCAGGATAGGCCAGCAGCGGCCGCTCCGTCAGCGCCCGCTTCAAGCATTCAAACGCCTCTTGCTGGGGCTCAGCCCAGCGCCAAACCACTCCCTTGCGCAACAACAGCGTCAACGGCGCTGCTTTCGCCGCGAAGTTCGGCACGAATCGTCTGTAGTACCCCGCCATGTGCACGAAGCTCTTCACCGCGTCCGCGTCCTTCGGCACGGGGAAGTTCACCACACTCTCCACCAAGCTCTCCATGGGGCGCACCCCGTTCTCGTTCAACTCGTGGCCCAAATACTCCAAGTGCTCCGTCGCGAACGAGCACTTCTTGGCCTTCAGCGACAGCCCCGCGTTGCTCAGACGCTCCAACACCATCGCCAGCTCGACGACGGGCTGGCCTACGCCTCCTCTAGAGAAGACGATAACATCGGCTAGATAAACTAAACATGTTTGCCACGTTAGCCCTCTCAACACCGCGTCCATCATCCTTTGAAAGGTCCCTGGTGCGTTTGCCAACCCAAATGGCATGCGCAGGAACCGAAACAGTCCTTGCCTCGCCACAAACGCGGCTTGTCACTGTCCTTGGGCGCCACGGGTACCTGCCAATACCCGGCGTGGAGGTCCAAGCTCGTGTACCGCTTCGCACCATGTAGATTGTCCAGGGTGTCGTCGATCCTGGGGTAGACGTCACGCTTCGTAACAGCGTTGAGCATTCTGTAGTCAATACAGAAGCGCACTGATCCGTCCTTCTTCTTGGCTAATACGACTGGGAACCCCCAAGAGCCATTGCCCTCCTCGATGACCCCGTCGCGCAGCATGCCCTTCACTTCCTTATCAATGATCTTGTGCTCGCTCTGCGCGTACCGCCGCGGCCTCACTTTAATCGGCGGCTCGCTGCCCGTATGTATCTCGTGCTCCACCGGCTGCGTGGTCGCCGGTGGGCATCCCGTTCGTGGCTCTGACAGCGCTGGGTAGTGCCGCAGCAGCTGCAACAGTAGATCCTTGTCCTCGGCGCTCATGCGCCCGATCTTCAACTCGTCCTCGTTGCCCAGCGGGCCCGCGTTGCCGAAATTTTCGTCCAGCCATCGCTTGACCTTGTCGTTCGTCAGCTCGCCGTTGAACTCCATCACCGTCATGTCATCACTCGTAGGCGCCCACGTTCCTAGTACCTCGCGTGATGGGAGCTTGGTCGTCGCCCCGACCAGGTTGAGCACGGGCACAACGACCTTGCCCCCGCGAACTGACGTCAGCGTCGGCGCCATTAGCAGGTTGCCCTTGCTCCTTGGCTTCGGCATGAAGATACCCACTGTCCCTTCGGGTACCGCCACTGCCACCGTTACGTTACGGCACGTCTGTGCCTGCATTCGCGCTTTCTTCACCAGCCGCACCTTCGCCGGTCGCTCGTCGTACCGCTCTGCCTGCGAACACGTAAACGGCACCACCTTCTTTTCCCCGCTGTCGTACCACTTCATTTCGCATGACACGAAGTCGATCTTGACTCCGCGCCTTAACATCCAATCCTCGCCTAAGAGGAACTCCGTGGTTGCGCCCTCGACGATGAGCGCGTCCCCCTCCATGATCTGGCCGTACTGCGTTCGCATACGGAACCTCCACACGCCCAGAACCTTGGCCACAGCGCCCGTAAAGCCTTCTACGTAGTCGACTGGCGGCAGCGCGTCCAGCCGCTCGCCGAGTCCACACCACGCTTCTCCGGCAACACTATACTGGGCACCGGTGTCCAGTTTGATCCTCTCGCCCTTGCCCCGGACTTCGACCCTCGTGGTAGGGAGTGAGTCCACCGCTGGGGCTTGCACTGCTCGCAGACGTCCGATGCGCACGGGTCGCTGTTTTCCCTCGACTCGCTCCTCGCGCGGATGCGCGTACACGCTCCCACTGTGATATTCATACTGCTTCGCTCCTGGTAAACTTCCCCTCGACCGCCGCACCTTTGTCGCGCCTGGAAGCGCGATTCCAATCGCCTCCGCCTCTTCTTGGCTCAGCACCCGGGGCGCGCCCTTCCCGCACCTCCGAAAGTACTCCTCCATCACGTAGTAACCGCCATCGGGCCTCTTAAGGCGGTCCAACTCCTTGCGTAGAGCGCGCAACTCCTTGGCACGGGCCTTGCGAACTCGTCGCTCGTATCGTCGCCTCGTTCGTGACCTCTGTAGCTCCGTGTCGCCCACCACCGGCGCGGCTTCTTCGTCACCAGTATTCACGCGGCTGGCCAACACCGCGGCTCGCTGCTCAGCATCCTTGCTCGTGGCCGTCTCGCCTACTGCTGTCATGACGCTACCGCCCTGCGCCTCCGGCGCCACCGTGCCCGTCGCCTCACTGACTGCACGCCCATCTCCGAGCCGCTCTCCCTCCGCACGTCGCTCACGCCGCGCGCGCGCGTGCTCCAGTCGTGCCTGCCGCTTCCGACGCTGCCGCTCGAGTTCTGCGGCCATCGCGGCTTCTTTCGCCGACTTCTGGGCCTTGACGAGCATCACCTTGCCCGCCGTCACGTCGCCCGACTTCATCTCCGTCTCAATAGCCGCCTGCAGAGCGTCCGGCGTGCCGCTGTCGTCCTCCGCGGTCACGTCCAGCTGCGCACCTTCCGACTCGCCACCGGGGTTCGTGGCCTTGACCTCGCCGTCCAAGTCTTCCGTCTTCCGTCTTCATCTCGTCCATCGCCATCGCCAGCAATTCCTCAACCCTAGCCGCGATTTCTCCACGATCCTGGTCATCGCCTGCCACGCCCGGCGCCACCCCAGCATTCCTCCCCATGCAGGCGCCACTCGGCGTTGGTACCGCGTCGAACTCCAGGCCACCGTCGCACACCATGCTCTCCGACGTGTGCTTCGCCATACTCTCCTTCTCGTCGGCCAGTAGCGCGGCCGCTGCTGCCGGCTTGGGGCCCTCGCGTGTTTCCTGGCCGTTGCCCTTGGCCTCGGAGTCCACGAACCTCACGCTCCTCTTGGCCTCGCCGCCATGGGACGGCCACGTGCCCTCTTTCGCCTGTCGCGCCGCGTCACCTCCACTACAAAGCCGTTCATTGCATCGACTGCGCGGAAGCGCTAGCACGGCGCCATCCCCAGTCTCGAACCCCCGCGCCGCTCAATACGCGCCTTCGCGTTCTTGCCACGCCGTCCTCGCGGTCTCTTGCCGTGCCGTTCTCTTCCCTGCGCAGGCCGTTGTAGTCCACCGGCCACTTGCACACTTCGTTCATCTCGTTCTTCCCCCGGATCAGGACTAGCGAGCGATAAGGCCGGGGCCCTTATGCTCGCTGCACATTTCCCGACCCGTCGGCCGTTGTCGTCGTCGTGTCCTGGGCGGACGCGGCTGCATGCGCCGCCAGATCTTCCTTTCGTACGTAGCAGTTCCGCGAGTAGTGGCCTGCCTTACCGCACCAGTAGCAGTAGTCGTTCGGGCGGGCCCCGAAACCACCTGTCGTCGTTCTCCGCACGTACTGCTCATTCCGCTGAAGCCACCCTTCCCGCGTAGCGAAGGAGGGATCGGGTAGTCGTCCTCCTGCTCCTAGCTGGCCGTCCCCAGTGTGGCCCTCGACCTTCAGCGCCTTGCCCGGACGCCTCACGAACTGATCACCGCCACCTTGACGCTTGCCGCGTCATCCACTTTGTTGCTGTACGGACGTCTGTTGGACGCCGCCACCCGTTTGAATTTTTGAACTGTTCGCCGCTGACCCCTGATTGGTTGGCACCAGCTGAAAGCCAGGTGGGATAGCCTTCCACCACTCGTCCAAACTGGTTTTACCGTTGCTTACCGGTCTCCCCTCAGTATCATAGCGGGGTGGCTTTTGGACCTTACCCCACATCGGGCCATAGCCCGTCACCACAGTCCCCTTGTTTCCGCTCAGTCCAGTTTGTTCCTGATCTCGTGCCGCTCTCGCCGCTGCCAGAGGCCCGCGCCCACTGGCGCTTTCGCGCTCGTCCCACGCGGCCATGGCCTCCTCCAGGCCCACGCCGTATCCCTCACCGTAGTCTCCCACATGCGGGATCAACAGGTTCACTGCGTCGTCCAAGTTCCTGGGGCGATGGCCGCGCACGTGTGTTGCGCCGATCGTGCTACTCATCCCCTTCAAGATCGCGTTGACGAGCCAGTCCTCGCCGATGTCACCCTGCTCGGCTATCTCGCGCAGCGACTGCGCGTATTCCAGCCGTCGCTCGCCGCGCATCTGTCGCCGCGAGTTTAGCAAGTCCACGACCACCGGCCCCGTCCTGCGCGTCATGTACTTCGCGCGTAACATGTCCGCCAGCGTGCCGATGCTCTCCTCCGACTCGGGCACTGTCTCCATCACGGTGGCGAACCAACGCTGCGCCTCTCCCTCCAAGTGTGCAGCCACCTCATGGTAGAGCTGCTTCTCCTCCCACTCGACTCTCATCGTCACGGCTTGGCGGCGCACTTCTGCTCGGACGGTCTTCAGCCACATCGTCACGGGCATGGCGTCGTCAAGGCCCTTGAACTTCGTCAGCTTAACCCTTCTAGCCCCAGACCTTATTCTGTATCCTACAGAATAAGCATTAGACTTGATTAAAGTATACTTCAAAACCTGTCAAAGATTTGCTGTTGGAAGCCCTTTCGCATCTTGCGGTCAAGTGCTGGGTACATTGTGCGCAGAACAGCTACGAAAGTGAACAAAACATGCTCAATGTATCCACCATATGCTGAAATGGCGAGCTTCTATTGGTCGTGGCGAGCGTAGAGCACGCTCAAAACCTGCTACATGGTAATACCTTGCAAGGCTGCTAAGGCAGCATACTTCGGCTCCAGCCACCCATCTTCGGCACGTCGCGATAAACGCGGAGGAAGAAATCGCCCAGTTCCTAACTGACGTAGTGAGGAGGAACTGGGCGAATTCTTCCTTGTGCTTGACATTAGCGCATCATTAGATTTCTTTAGCCCACCTAACAAGCTTGTTACGATTGTCTCTCTAACAACACCAGGGAGCTTGCATGCTCAATAGCCCGTAATGACACGCACTACACACGGTTCCTCTTGTACGAAACAGGACAAAATATGATATTCATGCCAACGTCTACTTCTTCCTTTACATGCGCACGCTCTTCAATGTTCGCGCCAGCCGTGGGTCATCTTCGCCATTTTGGCAGCCTCCGCTTTGCTCTGTAGCCTCCGGCACTGCCGCTTCATTCCTGCCACTTTCATCGGTAGCCTCCGTCGTAGCCTCTGTCCCATCTTCTGTAATCTCCGGTGTAACCTCATCACGCGATGAGCTTCTTCTGTAGCATCCGTCGTAGCATCTACCGCTTCTTCTTTAGCCTCTTGAGTAGCCACTGCATCAGCTACAATATAGCGGTAGACCCGGCTGTAGCCGGCTTCGTAGGAACCGATGAGGTTGTGCGCTGACTCCGCAATCGATCTGCCAATCGGGCCACACGCGAGAGCTCATAGCGTCGTCTGGGTCGGATCACCAGGTCTGGTAATCAACATCGCAACGTAGAATCAATATACCACTAGTACAATGTTACAGAGCAAAGTACACGCTCTCGCTTACCTTTAGATCACAATGGCGCTCATCATGATCGTCTTCGGCCATGGTCCTTGGCCACTTGGGCGCGCTCGACGGGCCCCAACAAAGCTTGCATTGCGACGTCTTGAACAGCGCAGTTTCGGAATGAAGGAAAGTACGAGTGGCTGACACGCGGCGGTTTTAGGCTTCCACCCGAATTTTCAAACCTGTTGGTGGTTTATACTCGTCCGTCTATTACCGCGGAATAAACCCCGTCTATCTTCCCATCGCTAATCTAACAGGAAGATGTGCACAATACCGGCTATACAAACATCCATATGCGAAGTTCGAAAGAGAGGACAAGTTTGCTGGATATTATGTCCTGTGACAATGCTTATTCTGTAGGATACAGAATACGGGGTTAGATGGGTTAAGCGACTTGGCCTTCTCGCGCACCACGTTCGGCTGGCTTGGTACCCTCGCCGGTATCGCTGAATCCGTCGTCGCCGCTGGCACCGTACGCCGAGGTGGTGGGATCCACGCCGGCCCCGAACTACCGTGATCTCCGTCGTTCCTAGATGCCGTGACAGCTTGGGCCACGCCAGCTCCAAGCCCACCAGTGTTGTTGCCAGCGCCACCGGTGCCTTGGGTGCCACCGCTATGCTGCTCGTGCTCTTCTCCTGCAGCGGGCACTCTCCCAGCCACAGTCGCCACGTGTCCACTGCCAGCGGCTTGGCCATTGCCGCCGCCACCGCGGATTTCGCCTCCGTCGTGTTCGTCGTCCATGCCTCCGAGGCTCGCGCTTACTCCCGCTCCAAGTGGTGTGCTGCCCGTCGACTCCCGATTCTCCTCGGTGCTCAGCGTGACCGAGCCGCCTGTGTTCGTGTCCAACGTCCTTGCCGTCATCTGCTTCGCTGCTTGTTGTGTCCTTTCGATAGAAGCGGCGCGCCTCTCCGCGCGCTCGTCCCGTGGGGTGTTACTCGTCGCTGTCGTCATTTCCGCAGACTCTAGTGGTGGTAATAAAATCAAAGTTAGCACTCCATTCTCATCCAAACTCATCCTTTCTAATATCGTCCATTTATCCAGTGCGGATCACTCATCCAGGGCCTCCTCATCGCCACTGACACCAAGCCCACAGGAAGCCTCGAACACTCCTGCCCGGAAGGCGCCTGTCATGACCACCATGTAGTTACCTCCGGGCATCTCCCGGGTTAGATCATCAACTAGAGCCCGCCGCGTCCGGGCAACTAGCATCGCCTGCACCCGCCTCGTTCGGGTAACTAGCTTAGAATCACATCCTCAGAACTGTTCGTGGCCTGGCCACCTAGGCAACGGGTACTCACCGCCGGGTCGGGGCTGAGCGTTCCACCAGCTAAGACTGGCCCTTTCCCCTTGAGGGTCCAGGATAGAGACGATGAGGAGGGAGCACTAAGCGACCACGGCCTGGGAGTGACCGGGCTGCTCCCCGCTATTCCCTATGAAATATGTAACGGGCCGCCGTGCGTCGACCTGCACGAGCCACCTGGCCCGCACGGTACATTCGCACACACAGACCCCTCGGCCAAGGCGCCAACTATAGGCACCGCGGCCCCCGCAGTCTCTCTCTACGGTCCTCTAGCACTCTACTGTCCGGCCGTCCCCGCCGTTCCCGTACGGCGTACCTCGTTTTACGTTGTATCCGGCCTCGTCCGGCGTCCACAACCCGTGCTCCAGCGCCAAGTTCCTCAGATTAGTCTCCCCTTAATGCCCGTCCTGCGCTAAATCTTGACTGAGAGTCGAGCAGCACGCCGCTGCTCGCCGCACTCCTACGAAGCCCCCTATACAAACTACCTACGGGAACGGCGCCCTTCTCCTAAGCTACCTGCTTGGACCTCTCCCCTTTCGGGGCGCATCGCCCGTCTCGAGGCCTCCGAGCCTCACATCCTTCGCCTCCATGTCGCCCCGCCTTGTCCTCATACTGCTCACTGTCCCTGCCGGACGTGTCGTCTCCCTCGCGATCTTCCATCTTCAACCTTCGAACTTCTAGCTACCCCACGCACGTGACGGCAGCCAGCTGGCTAGTCCTTGCCTCCCTCGCCACTCTTGCCCCGATCTACGTTACGTACACCACGTTGAGCACGACCGGCGTCACCTGCTCGCCGAGCAGTTTCTTCTCGCTGCCGCTGCAAGTGACGGTCCGCCCCAACTACAGAAGTAAGCAAAAATCACTGCTCGAACCAACAAAGGTACGACACTGGCTGTCGCCCGAGGAAATGTACCGCAAAGAATGATCTTCAGCTGTACTGAGCGCAAACTCTATTGAAAACGCTTCACTGTAGTTACACGGCCCCCATCTTTCCTTGCTAACGAATCGATATTAACGAAAACTTGATGTCTTGTTAGCCAAGATCTGAATTGATTTGAATCATTAGTGGTCGACCTGGCGTGCACGACTTACACAATAATTCAACCAAGCGTGCCTTCCCAGGAGTTTCGCCCCCTTATAATTAGCGAGCCAAAATGGCAGGAAGGTCGTTGCGGGCAGAACCTTCCCTTGAACGCGTCTCTCCAGATCTGCGTGCGTACTGCCCTGCCCTACCAAAGTCTTGATCATCGCCAAGGCTCAGCTACGTGCAGGATAGGATAGGATGTCCAAGGCTCGGAACAAGATCGACCAGATGAGCACTGCTGGTGCGTAGAAGAACTTGAGTTAGAGTGTGCGATCGACGGTCTAACAGCTCGCTCAGACTGGCAGCAGTACCACCAACTGCTGTCCAACCAGCAGCTCATGAAGTACTTCGCGGACGAGGTGCACCGCTTCTCGCGGTCCCCGATGAAACCCGACGATGTTCTTCGGCGATTCAGTCTGAACGGGGATGGCCACCTGGATCTGCGCGAGTTCCAACTGGCAGTCACTCGCCTCGAGATCGTTGCTTCACCTTCTGACGGCACATACCAGGATTCCCAGCCCGATCGCGACCTGGAGAGAGCCAAGGAGCTCTACCTGGTCTTCTGTCCATCCCAGACTCGCAAACTAGGTGCGCACCAGAAGAAAAGTGTTGGAAATATTATAGTTTTACTAACGATAAAACTATGTGCAGACATTGATCTTTTCTGTCGCATTATGACCGAGTGGTCCTTGCAGCTCATGCGAGCGAGTTACCAGCAAGAGCCGATGACGTCGCAGTTGACGTCCTCAATGAATTCGCTGTCGATGGATAAACGGATCCAATATTCATCACCCCGTGCGCCCCTCGCAACCCCCTACGCTACTCAAGCCACCCTCAACGTCAGTCGCTCGATCAGCAGTGACAAGGGTCTTCAAAGCGAAATGGAAGCAAACAATGGTCCCAATACTCGCCTAGCGGAGGGGGAAGCGCTGTTCCAGCGGCTGTCGACGTCCATCGCCCAAAGCAGCGAGAAGCTCCGCCAGATTTTCCTCAAGATGGACGTAATGAGCTCGGGCAAGGTCAGTCCGGAGGAGCTGGAGCTCGCGTTGAGTCATATCGGCGTGTTTCTCACTACGCGCGAGTATGAAAAGCTGTACATGGCGCTGGGTGAAGACGTGAAGGAATACACGCGAGATGGAGCCACGAACGGACGGTGGCGCGGTCGCGGGGGCAACGGCAACGCGTTCACCATCAAGTACGCCGAGTTTCTCGCGTTGTTTCGAGGGAACGACGGTGACGACCACCGAACGCAGGCGCTGCCGTCAAACTCCAAGCAAGTTTCTCCTCCGGTTGTTGGCGTGGGAAGTGCTCGGCTTTGGGACATGCTCGTGGCTGCAGTGGACAAGTTGCAGCCTCTGTTCCAGCAATACGAACGGATTGGACAAGCTTACCTTCCACCAGAGACTTTCCGCGACTGTATACTGCGGTGCGGCATTACGCTGAGTAATGCCGACTTCGCTGCGTTGAGAGTTCGGCTTCTACCGTTTTCGTAAGTAAAACTAGTGCCAACATTCCGAAATCATTGATTGGAAAACTCACTGGGTGTTGTGTGTTACAGGGATTCTGCGTCTGGTACAATCGGAATAGCTTCACTTCTGCAGTCTCTAAAGGCAGCAGATCGTACTTCGATGAAGTCAAAGGCATCTCCTGGTGTCCCTGGAACCTCAGTTGGATACGTTGGCCTCTCTCCTATTCGGCTAGGAAGGAAAACAGTGCAGCCATCGGTGTACACTCCTGTCAGCAATGGCAGCTCGCCTTATCCAGCAGGGAAGTCCACTCAAGAGAGGTGCGTACAGTATGCATTCTTCATGATTCGTATTTGAATACGTAGCTTATGGAAAACTTGTGTTTTATCCTAGGAATGCCGAGGCAAGCCGCACTATTGTCAAAATCTGTGACGAGCGCCGTCGAGAGAGCGAGCTCCATTTCCCAACAGCGACCACAAGTCCACGCGGAGTCCACAGTGGAGACAGCGAAGCATACCTCGAGCATCAGCACCGACGTCAGGACCCGTTCTTCTCCACCGGAAAGCCTCCTCCTGCTTTGGAGGCGCGTATTCTCTCCAAGCTGCAGCAACTGAAACAACTCGGGCAACTGTCAGCCTCCTCACCGCAAAGTGTGTTCCCAGGCGATCGCTTCGGTCACATTTCACGAGGTCAATTCCGTCAGAGTCTCGCGCACTTAAACCTCTTGGTGCGGTATGCAGATGTCGAGGCGCTCTTCTGGACGCTCGACACTCAAGGACGTGGCTACATCCTGGCTCAAGACTTCTACGACCATCTGAACAGCTTCGCCACCCAGCAGAGCAACACTTCTTGCTCCCAGCAGCTCCCAGGACTGTCCATCGATGGATCAGCACACCGCAGTCGCCTCCCACGCTCTGTTCAGAAGGTCCTGGAGAAAATGCTCGTTGAGTTGCCCCACCTCATGGCAATCTGCCAGCGGATGGATACAAACCAAACCGGAATGGTCTCAGCCAGTGAAATGCTCCAAGCTACCCACGAATTGGGCATCATGGCCTCGATAGCCGACAAACACGCTGCTATTGACGCACTCACCCGCACGCAACAAGCCGAAGATCAACCGACCGATCAGATCTCTTACCACTCGCTCGAAGACCTCCTGGGTGCGATCTGCAGCGACTTACTATCGCCCAAGAAGCGGAAGAAGCACCTTTCGACCACGTCAGTGCTGTTAGCGCCCTACGAAGAGCGTACCCCACCCATGAACGTTGCGTCGTCGTACAATAACCAAGACTCGTGCAACAACGACGCTCTGTGGAACTGTCCGCGTCGACGCATGGTGCAAGACCACCCTGCAGCGAGGTCGTCGATCCGAATCGCGGACGAAATCCACAATTCCGACAATGAATCGCACCAAACTCCAGTCCGACCGGTCAGACGACCGATAGCGGTGGAAGACGCCAAGTCTCGACAGGAACGCAGACACCGCATCGCTCTGGTTGGAGTCTTACAGGATTTACTGGAGCGACGCAGCGACCTGAAGACTGCGCTGGACCTGCATCGACGCGCGGATGCTCGCGGTCAAGTGACCAAGAAAGACCTCGTCGAGATTTTGATGACTTCCCGCCTGAACCTGCACTTTCCAGCGGGAGCCCCAGCAGCTCAAGAGCTTGTGGATGAATTGTACCCCACGCTAAGACCCGAAGGAGGCCTCGGATTCTTAGATGTCTTACGGCGGATTAGCGAGTTGCTGGGTGAAGTTACCAAGGAATTATCCACGGCCCCTCCGACATCGGGGAACGGACCGCCGACTTCTTTCTCGACTAATCCGTACCAACACCCACAGCGACCCACTGGACGGAGGCTGAATAACAGCCTCGATATGCACAGCTCCGTGCTCCCTACGACGACGGGGTCGTTCACGAAACTCGCTTCGTTTCCTAATTCAGAGGCGTTCGCTGGTAGCGCGACTACAGTTCGGCGTAAATTACTGCAGGAGAGTCGACTGAAGGACCTCTTGCACTCGGAATATGGTCTTCAGAGTGCTGCGGTGCTCGTGCGGCATGCGTTCAAAGGGTTGGCTCCGAGAGAGATGGTCGTGCCTATCGACAACGGGGAGTTTGAAACTACGTGCCGCGCGAGCGACATCAAGCACGTGTGTTACCGACTCGGACTGGATCTGGACCTGCACGAACAGCAGTTTGTGGCGAGCAGTATCGACACGGATGAAAGCGGCTTTGTGTCCTCTCCAGGTCTTCTAGACTTCTTTGCCAAGCTCACACGGACGGAGGATTATAGCGCTCCGATTTCTTTTAGCAGAAGAGGCTGAAGCAGAGATGCGTCACTCCGTGACGTTCGGCGAGGACGGACACTACGAGAGTGTCGGAAGCAGACGCCCAAACCCAATTACTCATTAAAAGGGTAAAGTAAATCGATAGATGGTTCAGAATAAATGCATATCAACCTTGGTTTATTATGATCAACATTGCTAACTTCCAGCAATAGGGAAGAATACCCGCAAACACTACCTGTTTGCCTATTTTAGAGTCGATTGTGCTGCTTCTGCGTCTTGTTCTTGTCTTGCTGTAGCCTCGTAGCTAGCTGTCATTAACGATCTCAAGGAATTCGTTCATCATGACGACTGTGCCATCAGGGCGAGGATTGCCTCGGTTGAAATACACCCCAGCATCCACGCAGCAATTCACGCTGACCAAGGATGCAGCCAAGATGAACCGAGTGACAAGCGGCATCGGCGGGGCGTTGGAGAGTGTGCAGATGAGAATCGAAATGCTGACGCGTGAGATCAAGGCGGACGAGAAGGGCAAGAAAGACTACGACGAGCAGCTCTTCCGACTGAATGAGCGGCGCAAAGACTTTGACGCCAAGTTGAAGGAGTGTCGCGAGTGGAACGCCCTCTTTGAGAGCAAGATCAAGCCGCTGGCGGCGAAATACACGGAGACGACCGACAGCATGCAGGGGCAGTACAATGACGCAAAGCTTCGTCACGCTCAGGGTATTATTGTGCTCATGGAGAACTTTGACTACCACCCGGAGTTCAAACGCCTGAGCGACACCTTCACTGCTGTACCCTTTAGACCGAAGTAAGCGCGGGTGTATGGACCTGCTACGGCTAGTACAGATCGAAGTGATAATACAAAACAGCTTTCTTGAAGTTAAGGCGCGTAAGATAGATGAAAGTATGCTGCAAGTCGTTTGACGACTTCTAAGCTAGAAGAATGACGCTCCTACATTTGGTCCGAGCGGGTAACGGTCATCTCCATCTCGAATGCGGCTGGAAGTCGCCTGTACTTGCTGTCTCGGGCCACCCAGTCCATGTCAGAGCGAGAGAAGATGACCCTTCCAGTATCTTGATCTGACAGACAAGTAGCACAAAAGATGAGTACTTCGCGGTCTAGGTTCCACCAGAAAAAAACACCTTACCAGGATTGAGGAAGTAGGTGTTGAACCAGATCTTGAAGTGCTTGCGTCGCATACACCCGTTGACTCGTTCACGGTAGAACTCGATCATGACGCATCCACGGATCTCCTCGTCTAACTCGAAGTTGTTGAAGCCGATCTCTTGATGGAGCAGTGCTTTCGGAGACCCGCTAGCGCCCAGTGTATAGACTCGCAGTCGTAACTTGGGTAATTTCGCTGCGGTCAGTGTATTCCGTAGAGTCAGCTTCTGAAGTGCGAAGGTTGGCTCATCAATGGAGTTTCCAGGTCCAGAAGATGACTGTGCACGAAGACCAGCATAGTAGTTGACCCACTTCTTTTGGCTCACGACGGTTAGACCGCGCCGGTCGTGTACGCGCTCACGATTGTACCGATCTATCGCGTCGGTCGCGGATGCAGCGTAGCCCATGCGCAAGAGCAGAATACACGCCATCATACCAGCTCGTCCCTTTCCAGCCTGGCAACAGTAACCCCGACCCGTTCAATGCCCCTCTATCAGAGCAGTCGTCAAACTGTATCATACCTTGCAGTGCAGCGCCACGACATGTTTCTCGTTGGCATCAAGCCACGCCGCTGCTTCTTCACAAAACTCGGTTCTACGAGACAGAAACCTATTATTTTGCGGTTGTGTTCTAGTCTTATGAGGTACGTACATCATCTGGAACGTTGGGACGTTGTGGTCTTCAATTGGGAAGCTCTTGACTCGACCCTCAAAAATATCTGGCGAGTAACTAAACCATGAAGTAAATCAATGAATAAATAAACTTCAGTAAGAAAATGAAAGTTGTATGGAGACCTTTCACCTCACCATCGACTGGGCTCGTCGCAGAAGTTGAAGACAAAGTAGCCGCCTCCGTGTCGTTCGTCCAGGAACTGCTGCACCTCCGACCTCGGATTACGGAACAGGAACTCGACCCCTACAGCTGGGTAACCTACACCAAAAGTTACCACGTCACATATTCTCTTAGCTAAAAAATAGAGACGCCAGCCGTTATTTTTCCCTCTTTATCTCACAGACCCATGACGATGACGCGCGGGTGCACGTAGCCCAGGTCCAGGTCGAAGCCGTCCTGCTGGAAGCGCCGCTTGTTCTGCGAGACGAGGGCGCGCGGCACGGCCAGCACGCGGCGGCAGGCGGACGAGCGCGGCGCCATCGTCGTTGACAGGCTTCTCTTAGGGCTTGCCTGGGGAAGACTTCAAGTCCCGAAATGGCAGAGTAACGGCCGTTGTATGGGGATTTGTATGGGGCCAGAATGTCCTGTCTGTGGTGAAAGGACGCAGCTGTGGCTGCCTTGACACACCACCTAAAGATTTACTTAAATCCTAGAAGTAGCAAAGTACGGCAGTGTGGAGTAATCCTGACCTGCTATAATACTTCCGTCGGGATTTCACAGAGTGGATGACGCGGGTGGCTGCAAACCGCAACACAAGCGACAGCGGACGCTGGGAAGCGATTTGTCCCCGATGGCCGTCGCACTGATGAACGCCAGCTTGGACGGCAGATCGAGCGGAACCGGTGGGAGAACCTGCCCGTGGAACTGTCGAAGGCGGGACCTCCCTGGTCTCAGCACACGCGACAGCGCTACGAGCTCCAGCGTCTTCAACCTTGTGTTGTCCTTGGGAGTGATCCAGAGCGCTCGCATGGTCCAGCCGTTCACAGCGTCAGATTCGTCTGCTGTCGTGATGGCTAATTCCAACAAATGCCTGGCGAGACGACTGGTCGGGTCCCCCAAGAGCTGTGCCAGGGCCACCCCGTGGTCAGGGCCACTATAATGGACCTCCATGAACGAAAGCGACGCGATCTCTGGTCTCGTTCCCCGCCAAAACGTTCGTAAGCCGATATAAGGCGTCTTGTATCCATCGTGTTCGAGTTAATTGACAGGCTCGTCAGCTTCGGGCACGACGCCAGGACGGCTGTCATCAATCTCGCGCCGTTCAACTTGCGGGTATAGTGCAGGCTGAGTCTGCGCAGTGACCACCCGATCTGGCTGAGGAGCGTGGCCAATGTCTTGGGACTGGTAGAGAAGTGAAACGACAGCGAGCTGACCGGCACAGATCCTCCTGAGCCAGTGCGTATTCTTCTTGGGGAACTACAGCGCTCCAAGGAACGCGGCATCTGCCATACCCGGGACGAGCTACGTCAACCAAGCTGCTTCAGTCGCTCATGCTGGCTGACAGTAGCTCCCAATTGGTGTCAACTCGTATCGAAATGGCCTGCTCCGTGATAATGTCACTATCATTCCTTCGTACATCGCGGAAGTGCAACACAGTCGGCTCACGCAGCCCCCACTTCGTAGTCAGAGATTGCTCTAAGCTGCGCCGACCAACTTTTTCCTTGACAACATCCACAAACCTGGAACTGGAAGTTTGCAGCACAAGGCTTTACACTGCCACCTAGCTCCGGCAAAACAGAAGGATTCAATGGAGTGAACCTGTAGCGAAGAGTGCAATGGCTCGACCAATACTCCAATCAAGAATCTCGCGAGAGCTTTCCGACTGACAGCGCTTCCAAACTTTGGCCTGCGGTTCACATTCACTTCCAATTTCCCGATGGGGATTCCAGTTCCAAGCACTCGGAGCAAGTTCTCCACACACTCGTCAGTCATATCGACGCTGATAATTGTTGGCACGTAAATCCAGGCGATACGTGATCGTCCTCGCGCAGTGTTTGACACCGATCGCATCACCGTGTTGTTGCGTGCTGTAGCTTTTCGTGGCCTCGATCAGATCTGCCAATTCCTTCATATGGACCACAAATTCAGTATTTTTGTATCCATACGAGGAAACATCAAGGTACACTGGGATCTCCACGGACTGCGGAACGCGGGGGTGTCGTTTGAATTCATCATCTTGTGTCATCAAGATGCGTCTTTTCGCCTCTAAGAACTCTGCACGGTTACATTTAAACGGGTATTTTGCGGGTCTGGTATGTATATTTGGCTGGTCAGTATGACCGTCAGCCTGATCCGTAAAATACCTGTAAGATACCGTGAACGTGGTAACAAGGTCATGTGTATCATGCTTTAAGGGGGCGGACACTCGCCCGTCGGCTCTCGTCTGCGGACTTCTTGACGGGTCTGCAGGGGGGGGGGGGGGGCGCCCCTCTCTCGGGGGGCGCCGCTGCGCGGCCTGCTCCACTCGAAGTCCTCGACTCGGCCAGGCGCGGTGTCTAGAAAAAAATATATCGGGTTGCAGCGCTCGCCTTCGCTTGCTCGCACAGACACGCCCCCGCCTGTTCGGCGGGTGTTGGTGATCAATGAACGCATTGAGTGAGCCTCGCGCTCGCATTCGCTCGCCCTCGTCCATGAATTGATACCAGTACTTGCGTAGGCTACACGGCCTCGCCTACACTACCACAGTTTATCTACTGCTAGATCGATATGTATTAGTAACACCTAGGTCGCTCAGTGGTATTTTTCAGGTATGGATATGGGTCGGGATGAAAACAATTTTATTTTTCCTGTAAAATATTCATAGGTCTGGATAGGGTCTTACTGACCCGAAGCCTTACCAGACCCGCAAAAGACCTGTTTAATAATCTTCCCTTTCGGGGCAATGGTGGTGTTGGGATATAATTCCGACGAGCGTGGTGCAGTGGTGGATGGAGTGCGAGAAGAGAGCGAAGGCGTGCGGCGGGCAAGGGTCAACGACGTGTTGGAGGGATGGTGAACTCCGGATCGACGAAGCGCGAGAGGAGGGGTTTATAGTTCTTTTAGCACTTGGATATCGTAGGGGTATGGTTTGGTCACATGCCGTAGTGGCGTTTGATTTGGGTGTGCCCATGTTTTTGGGCTACTACCGCGGTCTCGTGCCCTGGTGGCCATTGATCCGTAGGCGACGCTGCAGCAGTGCGCGGCATTGGGTGTAGTTAGCCGTCTAAACCGCAACAAATTCAAATTCAAACGCCCTCTTCCTCAGCGAACCGCAGTGCGCATTTCTCCCGAAGGATTTGGGCCCACACCTGGTTGTTGACGGCGTACACCAACACCAGCAGCGCCACCGCCTCGCGCGTGCGCCAGTGGCTGGTGTCGAATCGTTCGGGGCGCGTGACTTCGGTCTCTTGGTTCTGGTTGCGTCGGAAGCGACGAGAGTCCGGGTGCCGCACTTGCAAGTTGCCGTCGGGGTGGACCATGAGCCGCTCGTGGAGCTGCTCGAGCCAGGGCGAGAGGAAATCCCAGGCGTCGGCTTGGACTGTTGCGTCAGGGACGGAGACGCGAAGGCGCTTGTGTTCTCGGTCGTCGGCCATGTTGCTCCGAGCTGGCAAATTGGCTAATGATGCGGTTCGAAGAGCTTCGACATCCTTCCTGACCATGCGGTAATGAATCATTACGAGCAAATTAATAAGAAAATAAAAGTTTCGGTCCTCGGGACGACATCCAACGCCACGTAAACATTTTTTGTTTTTGCAGGGTGCTCTTTTTTGCTGGGAGATGCCGCCGCCCCTGCTTTTTCATGGCCTGTCGTCTTTATACCGTACTTCGTGCGGGTTAACCAACGTATACCAAACCACGAAGTGATCAATAGTTGTTTTGGTTCAGCCAATCAAGCCAGCTAGTAAGCTGGAGCCTTTGGTTTTGTCTAAATCAATAGTACCTCGTTCGTAGATCTTGTTTTTTCCTTGTTTAGCTGAGAACAAAGTCATTGTTAAGTTGCTGTACAGCGTATATTCGTCTCATCCCAGGGCTTTGTTTCCAAAGGTGGTAGCATCGCAATATTGTTTGTGAGGTCTCGGCAACACAACGAATGTCTTTCTTTATCGACATGACAGGAATTCGACTTCAAAAACTCAGCGACTTCACATTAAACCATAACAGGTGAAACCAATCAGGTTTACCTTTTTTTTCTTGTAGAGTGGTGTCGTTTTCTGTTTGGTTGAGAGTGTACTTACAAAGTATAATGTGTTTTTTTCGAGCACAACAAGATGATCTAGACGTAGCTTTTCGATTTTAGACATGCTAGTGTAAAATGCTAACTCGCAACCGCCAGTAACACTGAGGGATCGAGCGAGTCGTCTTGGGTGAATGTGTTCATGTTGCTAGGATCTCGAGCTCAATTAGAGCTGGCACAACGGGTTTAATGAGTACTTATTTTACTCTAGGTGTTACCGTAAAAAAAAAGATCGACGTGGCAGGAAATCGACTTCAAAGTCACCGACTTCGCAGTACTGTAAAACAATTATTGATGAATACTATATAGGCTGTTCAGAATACCAGACTCGACGTTTTTATGTAGGTGCATTGCAGTTATTCAGCTCCTAACGACCGAGAAAATGCCCGCCACCCGATCCTTCGTATTCACTACGAAACTAGCGCGCCATCTCCAAACAGAACTGCCCCCATTTTACTCGATCAGAGCTTGGCGGTTTTGAAACAGCCAGCTTGCAGTGTCGACCGAGAGGTTAGAAGTTCTCGTACAGTTGAGCCTTGGCCCCGTGATTGCCATTCATGGCTCTGTTGATAGCGCCAGAAATGCCCAACTTCTCGGCGTAGTCTTCTTTTGTCACCTTGCGCTGCGCCATTGACTCCATTTTGGCTTTAAACTTCATCGTGAATGGATAATTTCAAGTTCAAGGCGAAAATAGCTTTTGAGGAGAGAAAGCAGAGATGAAACCAACGCTCAAGTGCTAGGAGCAGTCGTAGAGGTCGTAGCGTTAGTTTCAGAATCTCCGTCTGCCGCTTAAGCCCTCCTGCTTTAGCTTTCAGCCTTCAGCACTCCGGTCATGGTGAGACTTACAAGCCGCTCCTTCCTTCACCTGACACCTGAAGTGGTGGAGTTCGAAGCAGAGCATCCGTTTTATGCTAAGGTCTTACAGCTAGACTCGGAGGAGGTGACGTTTCGCAGCTTGGAAGGAGGCGAAGGGAAACTGGATCGTGCCGTCGCCGAAGATCACGTGGTTCGGGCCAGTGAAGTTTCCCAGGCCGGTCAGATCTCGTTGCTCCGACGACCCGTGTCCATCAGTTTAGCTGGAGAGGTTCAGTATGGACAAGTGACCTCGGTCGACCAGAGCAGTGTCACGATCCGATCCGGTGGTCATGAATTTCTGGCAGCGGCAGCTGCAGTGTCAGTGGTGCCACCAGTGATTGTTCTGTTGCTTGAAGACGTCGAGTTCAGAAGCGACGAGTGGAGTCCTACTGACCTAGAGGCGATGGAGCAGTCAATTCTGTGTCGGCTGCTCGGTACCGGCGGTAGTTCTGCTTCAAATCAAGTGTCCGAGATACTGGAAGGTCTGATGAGTAAGGAAAATCACCCTAGTGGTGACAAGGTGTGTCAGTGGATCGACCCAAGAACAGGAGAGGAAGCTCATTTTCCACTCCAGCACGCTATAAATTTCGCTTTTTACGTCGACGGAGGGGTGTCACCAGTGCCACGCAGCGTAGGCAACTCATTTTGCAAACCACCAACGCCCCAACCGCTTCGGAGCACGTCCGCTTTGTCTCGCGGCTCGGTTCAGGACGTGGAAGAGCTCTTTGACCCGTTTCCAGACGACGATGACTCGCCCCAAGACGAATCGGAACGCGGTGCTGAAGTTGGTCGGGCAAACACTTCCACACAATACGTGACAAAACGACAGCTAGAGGTCACGGTTGCCAACGGCGACGATGCCCACGTCCCCTCCAAGCGACAACGAGTTCAAACCGCTATTGATCAAGACGCGTTGATTATCGCAAAAATAAGCGACGAACCGGACCTTCTCGAGCGTTTCTTGATGATTAGGAAGGAGGCCAACGTCAAAGCGCAGCCGGCGGAGGGTGGTGGTACCATGCGTACTCACGTACAGAAGCCATCCCCTACGACAAGGGGAAAGAAGTCGTCTAAGTACGCATTTGCACCGTCCGAGGAGCAGGAATTAGTTCACGAGCGCATAACAACGGAGAAGAGCAAAGGTAAGTCTGCCAATGTGTTTTGCAGAGGTTTAGTTCGGTCCGAGCACGTGGAGTTCAAAGCCGTACCTGGAATTTGTACGCGGGCCTATGATATTCGTTTCGGTTCTGGTGGTCTTTCGATTCGACACTTTGCAAGACTATCGAGGGATGAGCGGGTGGCTTGGTTGGAGGCCGGTGGTTCAAACTTTGACAATTTGTCCGCAACTGCAGAATTCTCGGCGGCATCACCGGCATCGCGCATCGAAGATGTTGTGGACTCTGCCAGGGTTTTCCTCACCTATGCTCGCGAGTTTTGCTGTGCTGAACTGGTCGAATTGGTTGAGACCATCGTGAAGTTCACCGAACACACGCTATCGCAGGTATCGTTGACGCCAAAAGAGATTTCTAGCTTAGTTTTCTGGGTAAGTGACGTTCTCGAGGATTTTCGTACAGCAGCTGAGGAAGGTGGTGAGCTTCGAGCCGTACAGCAATGTTGTACGACCGATGACCGGTTGCTCAAGGATGTGATGTTTATAAAGGTGCATCGGCAAGTGCAGGATGTACGACACGAGATGATGTCGGGACCAGCACGCCTTGAGGGCCACGTTGAACAAGGATCCCAGCTCCGCAACGGCCGCAACCACGACGGTAAGAAGCGATTTGGGCGGATCCCTAAGGAAGTACTTCGCAAATTACCAGTGCAGAACGACCCCGCATCAGGAAAGTCGCGACGACTGTGCATGCGTTTTCTCTCAGCGGCGGGTTGTGCGGTGGACAGTGATGGCGGTTGTCCCAGCGAGCATGGGCATTTCGTTCCCAAGCAGCTACCCGCGATCGCGAAAAAAGAGATTGACAGGCGCTTTGGTGGGCTGAAGGACGAGCACAAAGAGTTATGGCTCGTTCAGACTGGTCTGGCAATGTATCCATCACGAACGCAAAACGACCGACCGTCGGCGGTGCCATGCAAAGCCGATAGGGTGGCGCGAGGTCAAGTAGCAAACTGCGTTAACACAATCAATTCAAGTGATGGATCTCAGACGGTGTTGGACCAGTCTAGATTACGCGTGCAATCGAGGCCCCCACGCGACTCAATTAGAGTACCCACAACAACGAGCAAGATTGGCGAAGTAATTTGTGCGCAGTCGGCGGGATCTGCGGTAAATCCGACAGCGCCAATGGCTGCTGGTTGCACAGATAGTCGTCAATCGAGGCCTTGTTATGACACAGAGGCAGACGCAAGGAGCGAGACCGGCAAGGTATCCTGCACCCGGGTAGCTGACTTGCGTTCAAAATCACTTGGGTCGCAGCAGTTGCCGGTGGAGGGTGCAAGCGTTTGTAGGTTGAGGTGTTGCAGTCACGCCCACATTAGTCTGTCATTGGATTTGGCGCGAGAGATTTAATCATGTTTGGAAGCGGATTTACTTCGGGCCGAAGCTCGAATTTCCGTCCTGCACCGCAAACGGGGGTTCGTTTGTGCAAAGCGACCCGCATCTCCTGTCTACGCAATTGACGAAGTAGCCTGCAAGTCGTCCACCGTAATTCGCACGCACAATATGTCCCCGGAAGAGGCTACGCGATTTGTGCGGGGTGAAGATAGCGTAGACAGCAGACCGAACAAAGCCATCGATCCTGTCCGGCTGCGGACCGTTCTTAACGGCTATCAACATCTCGATCTACTCGTTGAAATTGCTGAGAAGGGCATCGACGTGGGGTGGAGACAAAGGCCGAGACCGCGGCGGCCACCACCGAAGAACCATGGTTCCTGCCGACGTTACTTACGTGCTGTCACAAGAAGCATTCGGGATGGCCAAGACTCCGGTCAATATTTGATAGTTGATGCTGATATCATTGAGCGGTGGCCAGAACTAATCTGCAGTCCGCTCGGTGCTGTTGAGAAGAAGGATGTGGACCCGATGGAGGAAGTGCGCACAATTCACGACTTATCCTACCCAAAAGACGACTGTGTAAACGCTGCATTTATTGTCGAGTCGGTGCCCAAAGTGAGATCCGAGTCAGTGGTAGTTATCGCACGGCGCATCGACAGTTTAGCAAAAGCAGGGCATGCAGGCCGGATATGCGTCCTCAAGGGAGATGTCAAGAGTGCCTTTCGCCACTTAAGAACACGCGCAAACCAGGTCTTCAGAATGGCGGCATATGTGAAAGAACTCGGCATTCTCGTCGTCGATATGGCGGCACCATTTGGCTGGACAGGTTCGCCTTCCTGCTACGCACTCTTTGGCCGTGCCATCACGTGGCTAATGGGCAGAAGTTCACCTGCAGCGGTGTCCGACTCGAGCGACACGAACCCATTTTTTCCTTACGAGTGGGTAGATTACCATGTCTGGGTCGAACCGGATGTCCAGAACAGGTTAGAACTCGCTGAAGCTACTTTACGACACGCTATGTTGGCTGTCTTAGGACCCCCTTCGATCAATGAGGCAAAAGTTTCGGAATGGAGAGTGGAAATTATTGTTCTGGGTCTACTATGGAACACCGAGCGCCGCACCGTATCGATACCAGAAGAGAGGATCGCTAAAGCTCGTGCTCGCGCCAGTGCGGTGGAGCAACGCGGCACAGCGTCAAAATCCGAACTGTACAAGCTACTGGGTTCTCTTCGCCACGTGGCTAATTGTCTGCCAACAGCCAAGCCTTTTTACCAACGATTGCAGACACTGTGTACATCAGCACCACGGTTCGGCAGAATTAAACTTACAGCAGGGGCCAAAACAGATCTCGTGTGGTTTCGGCACATTTTAATGCATGGTTGTTTTGCTGACTTACCGCTTGCGATGTTTGGCGAGCTGTCGGCACCGGACGTGGAGCTGTATATGGACGCGTCCAACCTTGGGCTAGCCGTGCTTGATCCCGCCTGCGAGTCATATATACAGATTCAGTTTGATGACGAAGAGAAATTGCTCATCGACAAAGTTGGTAGCGGCCATGACGAGTTTTCAATCAATGTCAGGGACACTTGTGCATTGCCATCGCGTTGTGGTCGTGGGGTTCAAAGTGGAGCGCACAAGCGAACGGACGCACAATTCATGTCAAGTGTTGGAGTGACGATGCCGCAGCTGTGAGTTGGTGCAATCGGATGCACTCCAACAACGCGTTCAGCCAAGAAATAAATCGGGCGATTGGTCTGGCTGACGTGTATTTCAACCTTCGAGTATCGGCGGATCATATTCCAGGATTGGCCAATTGGATGGCTGATGCAGCTTCGCGAGCTTGGACCGAACCTTACATTGCTCGATGGACTAATTTTTCTTCGTGTTGGGTGCAGACACAAGTTCCACAAGAATGCAGGAAAATTTACATCGACTTCTCGAATCTCTTCAGTCCGTGTCAATGGCCACGACGTCCAAGATCAAGTATGCAAGCACATGGACACAGTGGTGTAGATGGTGTGAGCGGCTTCAATTCGCAAAATGGCTGCCAGAAGACCGCCGGCAACATTCGTACCAGCTCGCCCTTTTCGCCACGTACTGCTGGAAATATGGCTGGGGAAAATCGGGATCGGGGAATTCTGCCTCGACCGTGCTCTCTAAAGTCAGCCATATTGCGTGGCATCATAGGCGAACCCTTGGTTACAACGTCGGCCTTTTGCCGGGCCACCAACTCGCTATCACCGGAATGCGGCGGAAAGACCCATCAAGCAAGCCAAAATCTCCCGTTACAAGCGCAATCCTCAAGTGCCTGCATGAGCTCCTCGATTTCGCAGTTGCCCAGCACCGGGTCATTTGGGGGGCTTCGGTGCTGGGCTTCTTCTTTCTTTTGAGAAGATCCGAATATTTGGCTCAAGGTTCAAGGATGCACGACAACGCAATTCCGAGAGCGGACGTCAAATTTGTGGCCACGAGACCCGAAACCTTCATGATGTCACTTCGGTGATTCTACAATTTCGAGGGAGTAAATCCGACCAATTTGGCAAGGGTACTTCTCGAGAATTGGCGAGATCTGGGCATCGGTGGTGTTGCCCTGTACTAGCAGCATGATACCTAGTTCGTCACCACGAGGCGCTTCGTATTGATGCGGGCGAGTTACTGTGCAAGGTGGATGCATCTCACAATTTGCAAGTATCCGACGTGGTAAGAGCGATAAAGGCTGCTGCTGGTCGAGCTGGCCATAATCCGCAAGACTACGCCTCGCACTCCCTTCGAAGTGGCGGCGCTACGGCGCTGTTTAATGCTGGTTTTGATAGTCTGGCAGTGAGGCTGTTTGGGAGATGGAAGTCCGACGCAGTCGAACGATACACGCGCATAAGTGGGCAGTTGACATGGCGGATGGCGTCGCAAATGCTGCAGAAGCCCGCATTGCATCAAGTTTAGGGGCATCCCCCACGCCCGGATACCCCGGTAGTGGTGGTGCTACAATGCAACTTCGTCATCATTGTGCCGCGTTTGGCACGCCCCCAGAATCGTGAGCGACTTCGACTGAAAAATACTAAGCTATATCATCTACTACTACTACTAAATATCACGATATTATATATCAAACTGAAGAGGGTCTAAAATTAGCGTGTTTCGTAGTGATACCATTTGGGTCTCGGCATCCAAACAAGACCACCGGGGAAATCATACTTATTTCCCGTTCGGTCTCGTTTAGATGTCGTAGGACCAAAACAGGACCAGACCTGCATAAGACCTGTTTAAAAATCTTCCGACTGCGCGAGTTCGTTCACGTATAAAATCGAGTTACTCTCGCTGGATATTGTCGGCGTCAAGCTGGATGAAGCGTGTGGGGAAAGCGTACTTCAGGTGCTTGGGACTGGGATTCCTATCGGCGCATAGGGGTTGAATATGCACCGCGGGCCTTTTGGGGGAACTGGCGTGAGCCGGACACCACTTGCGAAATTCTTCAGTGAGCTACTAGTCGAGCCATCGGACCCATTGCTGAAGATTCACTCGATCGACTACCTCTGCTTCAGGGGTAACAAGCACTGGCAGTATGATGCACTCTACGCCACGCTTGCGCGAGCGAGGACTCCAGTAGCAACCCTTACAGTAGCTGATGAGGCGCCAAGTCGAGCTCGGGTGGGGCTCCTAGCAGAGGCCTTGTTTTTCCCGCCTACGTCCAGCCGTACCTCGTCCTACCCATCCATTCGCGGCCTCAATATCTCGTGCTCAAGTCTGTGCAAACCTCATCTTCAGACGATTGTGGATATCGTCAGGGGGAAAGGAGGTCGGTCTGGCGTGGAGCAATCTAGCGATCAAGGACGTTTGGTTGAGGTGATCGTTCCGGGTTATGGCGTATTCCAGGTTCCTCGCGGTGCTGTGGTCTCACAAGAAGCCAAGGTGGGCCATGGATTGGATGCCACTTCACGTGAAACTGAGCCGGTCAATTCACTTTTGATGAACTTTTCTGGTAGTTCGGGCGCATTGGAGAATCTACTGGGACAGATTGGGTGGCCCTTACGCAGTCTTACGCTCCACTTTCTTCGCAAGCTGAATGCTACGAAACTCATGACGGCCATACTGACGTCGTGCCCAAAGCTGACGAGTCTGTCGCTTTATACGAGTGATGTCGACCTGGATCAGCTTATCACTACTTACGAGCAATTTGGTGGAGAAAGACAACCGGCGGCAATTTTGTCCTTGGCGTTGATAAATGTCGACAACATTGGAGCGGATCACGGGGTGTTGTTCGCGGAACGCTTAGGCGACTCAACGACCCGTCTGGCCAAGCATTTGGTGGAGTTCACTATCGAGACAGGGCAGGAATCCCCCGCCGTCAACGACTCGACTCTTCGAGCCCTGTGGTTTGCACTGAAGAGCAACAGGAAATAAAGCAAGCTGGAGCTGACGGTTGAGCGCAGCATCCTCGAGCCATGGAAGAACCGTTTTCTACAGTTCCACGGTCAGGTGCTTCCACCAGTCCCGGTCGAACTGCCGTCCAAGCTGGCATTCCTCAGTGTGGCCCTGGCAAGAGGGGCAGTCATCTACCTGCGCTCCAGCAAGTTGACCGACGTACGCTGTCACTGGTTTTCGATCTTGCTAGCACGCGCGTGATCCGCTCAGTGACGATGCACTATCGCATGTAGAAGCCAGCATGCGCGTGATCGAGTGAGCTTCTGGACATTTAGGAACCCTAACGACTGCGATCATCGACTGCGATCAAGATATGACCAAGGAGGCAAATCGAAACGACATTCGTGTTGCGTGTATTTCTCTCGAACGGCTCGAACCTCACCAAAATCTCCAGAAACATTTTTTTTTCGTCCATTATTTGAAGCATCAGCATTTGAATCACGGTGTTATTACTGATCCTCACTGCATGGGGTCGCCGTGCGTAAAGATTTTACAAACTTGGTATTAGATAGGTTTCGAAGCGTTCCTCACCCTCACTTTACCTTCACAGCCGTCTAAGTTCGCACTCGTTGCACTTTTTGCACACAGATCAGTGTGCAATCAGTGGGCAAAATCCTTACATTTTGCAAAGCCATCAGAATTTGATCCTCAGATGCACCTGTACGAATTCATTAAGTTCACGTGCGAACTTTCCAATTCCGAACATTATCTATACAGGTAGACTGTACAACTGTATGCGCACCTATCTAGAGCAGCTTCCAGTACTCTGGTCCCGATTTTGCTCATTTTGCTCTGAGGGTGAAGGTGCGGGTGAAGCGAATTTCGAAACCTATCTATTATATTTTACCTCTTAGCCTTGCTAACTTCTAATCAAACCTCACCACTCTCGATGTTAAAGAACATGTTGCTTGACGCGAGCGTACAGTAAACAGCCTTTGCCACTACTGCTGAAGGCGATAATGCATTAACACGGAGCAGGTGGCTCGGGTGGCTGCAAACCGGAAAATGAAAATGACACCGCATCCAGTCGCTGGACCGCAAAAAAGAGATTATGTCTCCAATACTGATTCAACACTTCAAAACGCAAGCTGGGACCCCAGATTTACCGTTCAAGTGGGAGAGCCTGGCCGTAATTGTCGAATACGGATTTTCCAGGGTTGAATGAAACTGAGGTGCACAACTAGCTCAAGCGTAGGATTATCCCAGTTCCGTGCGACCCGCTCTAGAGCAGCTAGCCACCGTAGTTCTGGCAGCAGCATTTACGACTATTTAGACACACGGAGAGAGAATCTAAAGCAGGAGAATTGCCCTCGACCATGAGTCGGGCGTCATCCCCCCGCATCTCCACAGCACTCGCATGGTGGAGTCGTTGTGGATTATCATGGCCATATTCTTTTGGTTTGAAAGGTACGTCGCCATACCTCCGGGATCAAACGTGTAAGCGCAGCGACGCTGGTGGTGGATGCAGTAATCCGGTCGATGTATAGGATGAGAAGCATCGCTTGGTGCTGGGGTATGGAGAAGCATTAAAAACGCGATGAAAAAGAAGGTAGTATTAGATTTACATTAAATCTTACCGCAACCATATCAGTTTTTTATTATCTATCAGTCGAGTAGCTGGCACTACCAGCGCTTGGTAGCACAAAATTCAATTGCAGGTGATGGCAAGTATCCCCACAAGGCAGTGTTGGTGTGGTCTGGCGAAACCATGGAGAGACGAACGGTACATCAACTAAAAAGAACTAAAAGCATACGCCAGCCTGGACTGTTTGCTCAAGCAATCGACACCAGGATCCACGGGCAAACATGCGTTGTCTACTAGTATAAACGATAAAAGATCGTCACTGAGCGGATGACACGAGTGGCAGCGAATTCAAAAATAAGCGACATCTCACGCGGGTCCAGCTGCTGGAGTGCAGGAAGGCTTCTGCCGTGATCGTCGGCTTCTGAGGGTCGCACTGAGGAACACACGTCTGGCCGTCTGTTCGAGTGGAACTGGCGGGAGTATCTGGCCGTGAAATTGTCGAAAGCGATTTTTCCATGGCTTCAGAGTGCTGGGGTGCACGACCAGCTCCAGCTTCTTCAATTTTGTGTTTTTCGTGAGTGCCATCCATAGCACTCGCCTGGTGGACCCGTATACAGCGGTCGGTCGATTCCTGAGCTGTGTTGATGCTTAACTCTTCTAGGTTCTTAGCCAGACGACTTCTTGAATTCCCCACGAGCTTGGCCTAGGGCACCCCGTGCTCAGCTCGAAAATCCCCAATTTTAATCAACGACAGCGACGTGATCGCTGGCTTCGATGATCCACCAAATTGGTCATAAGTAGTGATGAGCCGGTTCGGATCGATATCACGCGTGTGAATCGCAAGGCACAACAGCTTCGGCCACGAGTTCAATATGGCTGTCCATCCCACCGAAACACTGGAGCCTGAGAGTACACAGCGGTCACCCGATCTGGGTGAACATGCGTCCGCCCCAACAGAAAAAAAATCAAGAGTTCGTTAATTGGCTCAGCTTCGGCATTCAAACGGGACCGTTCTCATGGAATCAACACTCGCCGACGAACTTGGTATTTACCATAGCCTGGAACACCCACCTCAATCAAGCCCCATCGGCCCCCAGTGCTGTCCGATAGTAGTTTCCTATTGGTGTCGACTGATATCGAGATGGCACGCTTCGTCACAATGTTGCTGCCATCGGCGAAATGCAAGGAAGTGTCTTCACGCTTGATCCTGGCGATTGCACCAAGCCAGTCGCGCTGTTACTTTTTGCGTTGACAGCACTCACGAATTGCAGCAGCGCTGAAATTTGGGTAGGTAACATCAAAGCCGCGAATTAGTGAGTAGGAAGCTCGGCTCGGCGTCGTCAAAGGAAAGAGTGCGCCTGCAAGTAGCTCGACCGGGTGTTGGAACCTAGAGTTCCCTTGGATGGAGAGAGATTTCACTCGCGTCCGAGCTACGGCGAGCGTTCAGCACCAAACGATTCGTAAATCCAGTTGTATCGACGCGCGAATTCGAAGTAGTTGATCAAGTGAATCTCCAGCGAAGACCCTAAGACTACACCCGTGAAGAATTTCGCGAGGGCTTCTTGGTCCACAATGAGCCGACTTACAAACCTTTCAGCCTCACGAGGAGGGTTATACACCTCATGTACGCAATTCACTCGTAGTTAACCTCTTTCACTGTCGTGGTGACAGCATAGATGTAAACGGAATCTCCTCGAACCGCGGCACGCGTGGGTGTTTCTTGAATTCATCGTCTTGCACCGTATTCTTCGCCTCCAAAAACTCGGGACTCGGCTCGTAGTCCGACGTGTAGGAGAGAAAAAAAATACCTCCACTTTACAACTCCCCGGGGTTTTGGTTGCCCAGATCAACGCTAAAAATGAAGCGAGGCGACAGAGGCGGTCGCGCTTGCAGTCGAACTTGAACAGTTGCCTTTTGGCAGTGACATCGCTTTGTCTGCGTGAAGTATCATCCTCCTCGTCGGCATAGTTGACGTCGAATATATCTTCTTCGTTGGCGAATCTCAGCGCGCATTTCTCACGTAGAATTTTGATCAACGCCTGGTTGTTGACGGCGTGCGCCAGTACCAGCAGCTCCAGCACCTCGCGCGTGCGCCAGTGGCTGATGTCGAATCGATCCGGGCGCTTTGGATCCCAGTGGCGTCGATAGCGACGATTTTGATGCCCTAGCACCTACAAGTAGCCGTCCGGGAGGACCATGAGCCGTTCGTTAGGCTGCTCAAGCCAGGGCGATAGGAACGCCCAGGGGTCGGTGCCGGTGTCTACGCCACGCTTGTGCTCTCGGCTGTTATCGTCGGTCATGCTTCGAGCTGGCAAATTGCCGAATGACTGAAAAGTGGCACTTCAACGTCAGGTATACAGAATTGAAGTCAAGTTGGTAATTTTTCACCTTACACGGTGAATCCTTACGCATACCTCGCTAAAACAAAATGAAGTTCTTTTGTCCGATTTGCGGAGTCACTATTTCGGCTGAAATGGTATACAGTAGAAGAACGGAATGTGGGAAACCTTGTAAAAACCATCGCTCGACGAGCCCAGATCAGCAGGAAGATTTTGCGTTGTCGGCCAGAACCCTACCTCTTCAACAGGCAAGCACAGCGTTGATCCACAGTGATAGATGTGTTCATGTTTCTCTTACAGAGAAAAAAAAACATGGACGTATTTTTAAAAGTTGCATATAATATCTTAACTGTAATAGTATACCCTTTCTCATAATCCCGTTGGTATCAGTAGCCCATGTCATTTGCTAATTTGTAGGATCGAAGCAACATGACCAACCTCAATACTCGAGAGCATAAACGGCTTCGTCTCTCCGACCCTAAGGACACTGCCAGTGCCTGGGACTTCCTCTCGCCTTGGTTCGCGCAGCTAAAAGAGTGCTTGCTTGTCATCGAAGGTGGCTACTTGCAGGTTGTGCACTCCAAGGCTCGTCGCTTTGGACGCAACCGGCATCAACAGAATGAAGAGCAACTGCCCAAGCGATACGCCACCAGCGACTGGCGCACGCGCGAGGCACTGGAGTTGCTGGTGCTGGTGCATGCTACCAACAACCGCGCGTGGCCCCAAATTCTACTCGAGAAGTGCGCACTGAGATTCGACGAGGGGGAGGATAGGAATCGCGCTACCAATGGCGCTAACAACGACGACGAGGAAGGTGATACTCATTCCAGAAGCTCCCCCAACCAAGAATTTTTCAAGCTCGAGTGTGAGCACGACCGAGAGGTGCCTCTGTCGTCCCGTTTCATGTTTAACATTCAAGTGGGTAACCAAAACCCGGGAGAGTTGTCGCCCTGGCAAAGTGGAAAAACTTCTTCCTCTCGCACACGTCGGACTACGAGCCCAGTCCCGAGTTTTTGGAGGCGAAGAAACGGGTTTTGATGATGCAAGATGAGGAATTCAAGAAACACCCACGCGTCCCGCACTCCATAGAGATCCCGGTTTCGGTCTAGGTATACGCTCGTCTACGTGTAGAGATGCGAACGCTGCGTTTGTTGCTCATATGAAGGAGCTCCGAGACCTGATTGAAGATATGAAGGAGCACACTGCTGCTACCACCGCACGCGACGTGACCGCAGGGGAAGTGGATAGTATTGCAGACTGCGCAAGTACGTTCACGTATAGCTTGGACTTGATTTCACTGAAGATTCGAGACGTCAATATGACTGATGCATGTGTGGAAAGTGTGCTGGGCGTGCTTGGAACTAGAATCCCGATCGCAGAGCTGAAAGTGGATCTGCATGACGGAGGAGCTCCCAACGGTGTGGGTCGTGCAGCACTTGCGATTTTTCTCATTGGGGTACTGCTGGACCCATCGCAGAAGATTCACTCACTTGGAACCTTCGAGCTCATTGATGAGCATAAGTGGCGCTGTGAAGCGTTGTACTCTACGCTTGCTGTAGCTCGGACCGCAGTCGCAAACCTTATAATACATGGCCGCTGTCTCCGTCACAATCAGTTGAAGCTACTAGCGGAGGCGCTGTTTTCCCCGCAGTCGCCCAGCCGGACGTTCTACCTGTCGATCCACGGCTTGGATATCTCGTATGACACGGCTGATCCTGAGACCATTGTGAATGTTGTCAAGGAAAAAGACGGCGGTTCTGGGATTGAGTGGCAGCTACGTGAAGGTACACAGCTAATCTTTACCAAAGGGCAGACCAGCGACGGCGCTGTCGTGACAAACCATGCCATCCCGATACCAGTTGACACCAGCAGGAAACTACTGTCGGCCAACCCAGGCGACAAACGCGGCTTGGTTGAGGTGGCCCTTCCCGGCTATGGCAAATGCCAAGTTCCTCGAAAAGTTTTGGTTCCGACTGAAGATTCTGGATTGAATGCGAGCAGACAAGGAGCTGAGCCTGTCAGCTCGCTGTCGATCTACTTTTATGCCGAGGCCGAAGTGCTCGACAACCTGCTCAGCCAGATCGGGTGGTCCTTACGCAGCCTCAGTCTCCAGTATTTTGACAGAATGGATGACGAGAAGTTGATGATGGCCATCTTGAAATGGTGCCCGAAGCTGACGAAACTCTCGATCTCCCCTGATGCTATTAACTTGAATCGTCTTGTCACCACGTACGAGAACGTCACTGGAGGTCCAAAGCCGCGCATTTCTTCGCTATCGTTGATAAGGATCAGCGATATTGGAGCGGATCACGGGGTAGCATTTGCCGAGTTTCTGGGGGATCCAAGAAGTCGTCTGACCCAGCACTTCGAGGAACTTACCATCGAGGCATTTGGAAATGATCCCAGAGTTACCGGCTCAACCATGCAAGCTCTGTGGATAGCACCCAAGCACAACACGAAGTTGAGGAAACTAAAGCTGATTGTACCGTCGAATGTGCTGAAGCCCTGGAAGAACCGGTTTCGACAGTTCCATTGCCAGGTTCTTCCTCCTGTACCTGTCGACCTGCCGTCCAAGCTCGCTTTCCTGAGTGCGTCCTGCATGGAAGGAGGCAGAACGCTTCCTGCTTTTCAGCAGCTCGACCAACTAACAGTTTCGCTTGTATTCGAATTTGCCGCTACCCGCGGGATCCGCTCAGTGACGATGTTTTACAGCGACTAAGAGCAGAGCTGTAAGGCAGGTATTTCGCAATTGTACATGCGTAATATTCATCATTTGAGTTCACAGGACCAGCCATGGTTACCAGTGCCTGCTTTCTTTTTTGCCTGTTCAATAATTGAATAAAGCTTAAGCGTTGCACTTCATGTTGACGTCTTGTTGACTAATATGCCACGATAGGTACAGATTTCACTAAAGCGCCACCAACTCGAAGACATCGATACAGGGGCCTTGAAAAATGGGGTGGCAGGAAAAAACATAGGGGGGGGGGGCTGGGGGAATGGTCAGAAGTCGGCCAATTTCGAGCAAAACAAGGCTGAAATCGGCAAAAAGAAATCTCAGAAAAATGGGGGGGGGGCATGCCCCCCATTTTGACTGAAGATCCGCCCCTGCATCGATACAGCAATTCGTGATGGAAATTGCTTCGGACGGGGGGGCCACCTGCCATTTCACACAAACATTTTACTTGTTCCAAATTATTTATTTTACCATTAGCGACGGATTCGTGTACTATCGGTTGCAGCAACACGAATGTAGCCGCAATAGACTGATTTTTCTTGGATTCAAGCAGCCTTGGGGAGGGAAGGGTGGTGCTGGCAAGTAAAACTCGATTCGGCCGACCTAAATGCGATAAAACATCGTCACAGACCGGATCAGGCGAGTGGCAGCAAACTTTAAAACAAGAGACACTGCGTCCTGGTCGAGTTTGTAGCGAGCAGGAAGAGCGGCTTCTCCAATATTAACTCCATTGCACATGATGCTGAGGAAAGCAAGCTTGGCCGGAAGGTCCAGTGGGGCAGAGGGTAGAACCTGACCGTGGAATTGGCGAAGGCGGGTTTTCCACGGCCTTAGCACTCTCGGATGCACAGTTAGCACCAACTTTTTCAGCTTTGTGTTGTTCTTGAGTACGGTCCAGAGCGCTCGAAGGGTCGAGTCGTCGACAGCGGTGGATTCCTCGGCTGATATGATGCTGAATTCCAGCAAGTGCCTCGCCAGACGACTCCTTGGATCCCCCAAGAGATCAGCAAACGACATCCCGTGGTCAGATCCAATGTCACTAACTTTTTCCAAAGTCAACGATGAAATTGCTGGTTCGCTATTTCCATCGAATTGTTCGTAGACAGTGGTGATGCGATTCAGGTTCACCTCGTTCGAGTCAATGGACAGTTGCTTCAGCTTAGGGCACGATTTTAGGATCGCTGTCATCATCTGATCGTCGTCCATGTCGAAAGCGTACTGGAGCCTAAGCGTGTCCAAGGCCCATCCGATCTGGGTGAGAAGTTTCTGCAGCAATTTGGCACCGGTCGACACGTAAAGCGACAGCGAGCTGATCGGCTCAGCGCCTTGTGTGCCAATATCCACTCCACATGTGACCAAGGATCCTCGAGGAACGCCGCATTTGCCATACTTCAACCAAGTCGCTGTTTCGATCGCGCGTGCTCGTAGACAGAAGGTTCCCGTTGGTGCTAACGGGGAGTAAGATGGCATTTTCTGTCACAACGGGAACTTCGTTTGCATCCGCATAAGCGAAACGCAATAAAGTAGCTGCCAGTTTATGGAAGATCCCGCCACGCCACGCTGAACATTTTTCTTCTTCACAGCCTCCACATAGCGGTCCAGAGCTCCCTCATAAAGCAAACAGTGCGATATATCCAAGCTGCGAATTGACTGGTAGAAGCTGCTGCTGGTTGCTTTCGTATAAAACAAAGCCTCTGCTAGAAGCCGATCCGTAACATCGCCACGTATTTCAAGATGCGTTACTGGCGTCCGCGCTACTGCAAGCGTAGAGCACAAGGCATCGTAGTGCCAGCTGTGGCGACCAGTGAAACGGAGAGAGTGAATCGAGTGAACCTTCAGAGAAGGGCCCAATGGCTCGACTAGTAATCCCGTGAACAATGTAGCGAGCGCTCCCCTGTTCCGTGATCTATTGGCCTCACCAGGCCAGCAGTACAAATCCACATTCAATGCCCCGATCGGGATTCCAGCCCCAAGAACTCGGAGCACGCGTTCCACACACTCCGTATTCATATCGACACCGACAACATCGAGAGAAAGTAAATCCAAGCGGTACGTGAACGTATTCGCGCAGTTATCCATACTCTCCACCCCATCGGCTTCCCGCGAGCAGTGACTTTTCATTTCGTCGATCAGCTCTCGCAGTTTCTTCAGGTGAGCGACATACTCTTTGTTGCTCTCTCGGGGCATGGACACCTCGAGTGACACAGGGATCTCAATAGAGCGCGGTACACGAGGATGTTTCTTGAATTCCTCGTCTTGCATGGCCAAGATCCGCCGTTTCGCGTCCACGAACTCCGGGCTCGGCTGATAGTTCGAGGTGTGCGAGAGGAAAAAGTTTTTCCACTTGGCAACGGGCGACAACTTACCAGTATGTTGGCGGCCAATCAATACACGGAATTGGAAGCGGGGTGACAGCGGCACCTCTCGCTCGTGCTCGCACTCCAGCGTGAATGCTTCAGTATCGTTAATGGGAGGGCCGTCGTCGTCGTCGTTATTCGCATCGAAGTAATCTTCCTCATTCTCGAACCTCAGTGCGCATTTTTCGAGTAGAAGTTTTGCCCACGCTTGGTTGTTTACACTATGGACAAGCACCAGCAGCTCCAGCGCCTCGCGCGTGCGCCAGTCGTAGTCTTCATAACGTTCGGGCTGCTCGTTCTCGGTCTGAGCGACTGAAAGACGGCGTGAGTCCGGCTCGAGAACCTCCAAGTAGTCGCCTGAGATGACCATGAGGCGCTCCTCCAGCTGGTAGAACCAGGGTGACAGGAAGTCCCAGGAGTCCGTAACGGCGTCCGGGGCGGAGAGGCGAAAACGTTTGTGCTCTCGAGTGTCGGGGTCGGCCATACTGCTTCGAGCTGGCGAATTGGCGAATGACGTGGCCGGAGGTGCAGGGGCGCGTAGGGAATATGGAACTTGCACTTGGCCAATACTGAGGTCAAGAGGACGTGGTAATGAATCAATTGGTTGATTTTTTTCTCTACTTGGTCCCACTTCGTCAAGATGTTCTGCTTGGCTAAGGTGTAGCTTGAGATTATTGATATTTCGTGTGTCATCCTTCTATTTGAAACAGCCTCGGATTGGAGACGGGCTGTAGCAAGCGAGATTGCACAGATCTGCTAGAATTACAAAATATCGTGTAGGGTAATATGTTTTTGTAGTGGGGTCCTTGAGTTCGCTTGGTTTTTAAGTTGGGTTACGCGACACGGACGGATGGATACGTCGGCGTTTTGCTGCTGTGACGCTGGTTGCGCAGGAGTTGAGTGAGCGAGCCCACCTGTGCGTCGAGCTTGCAATCGTATAATTTTTTCTTCCTTGTATGAGCTCGATACCTCGAGCCTCTTCTTCGGGGCTACAACCATCTTTATCGCTGTCGATTAACGGTGTGCTGGCAAGTTAGGCACCGTGGGTCGAACACATATGCTCCATTTAAACCATTGCCGAGTCGCTACTTGGTCGTTCAGACTCAGGTGTAGAGGAAAATTGACTCAAACCTCTCCGATTTGCTGCTTATCACGCGCACCATAAAACATAGTCACGCGGGTGGCTGCAAACTCAAAAACAAGCGACGCCGCAACTTGGTCCAGTTGCTGGACCGCATGAGGTGTTTCATCGCCTTCATGAACCTTGTGGCCGATGGCACTTAGAAAAGCAAGTTTCGACGGCAATCCCATCGGCACGGGAGGGAGCACCTGACCGTGAAATTGCTGAAAGAGATTCTTGAATGCCCTCAGCACGCTCGGGTCAGCGATCAGCTTCAGCTTTCTCAGCTTCGTGTTTTTCTTTAGCGCATCCAATAACCTGCCCATGATCAAGCTGCCGACACCGATGGCTCCCTCTACTGTCATGATCGTTAGTTCCTCCAAGTGCTTAGCCAGTCGACTGGTTGGATCCCCAAGGAGAATTGCAAATGGTCATGACCAATGTCGTCAACGTTTAGCAGCGCTAGCTTAGTAATAGCCGGTTCCGTTTTCCCACGAAACTCCTCGTAACAGCGATGAAGCGCTTCAAGTGAATAGCGTAGGGAGAAATCGAGAGCCTTCGTAGCTTCGGACACGTCCTCAGTACGGTTGCCATCAATTTCTTACCGCCACCTTGGAAGAGTACTGGAGGCTGAGGCTGTGTAGCGGCCATCCAATCAGACTCAGTAGGTCCCCCAATACTTCGGATTTGGCAGAAAAACTGATCGACAGCGAGCGGACTGGGCCGGCTCCTAGCTTGTCAGCAGTTAATCCAGACGTCAACACTTCGTCTTGGGGAACCAACGCGCCGCGAGGAACTCGGCATCGACCGTATCCTGGAAGAGCAACCTCAACCCAGTTGCGTTGCTCGCTCCTGTCGAATGACAGCAGGTTCCTATTGGTGCCAACTGGAACCGAGATCGCGTGCTTCGTTACGGCATTGCGATTTTTCAGATGCGCTCCACGCAAAGAAGTACCTTCACGTAGACGCCACTCCTTCCAGACCAACCGTTTATTTACTCGGTAACTTTCTTAATGCTTTTCAGATCAGCAGCGTAAAACTCTGGAAACGAGAGATCCAAGCCTTGAATAGATGGGAAGGACACGCGGATGGACAAGCGCGGGAAAAACACTGCCCTCGCTAGTACGTTCAAATGAACTCGGGTCGGGCACTTACCCACTAATTCAAGATTTTTCACCGGCGTCCGTGCCGCTGCAAGCGTGCAGTATAACGCTTCATATTGCCACTCGTATCCGCCAACGAAAGACAGAAATTCGATGGAGGGAATCCTTAGCGGAGGGTCCAAAGACCCCAACAGCAACCCGGTCACGAATTTAGCGACCCTCGCGGCTCACATCGCGGCCAGCTTCTCGAGGAAATGATGGGAAAATATTGAGCCTCAAAGTTCCGATCGGGATCCCACTTCCGAGCACGCCCAGCACGCTCTCCACAAAGACCTCACTCATATTCACGCTGACGAGAGTCATCGAAAGCAAATCTAGGCGGTACGTGAACGTACTCGCACAGTCACTTAAACTCTGCGCCTCGCCAGCAACAGCAGCAGATTGTTGCGTGCCATAGTCCTTCATCTCGTCAATCACCTCGCGCAGTTCCTCCATATGAGCAACATATTCATAGTTGTCATCTCACGGGAGCGGTCCATGTACAGAGACACCGAGACCTCCACGGACCGCGGCACGCGTGGGTGTCTCTTAAACTCATCGTCTTGCATGGATAAAATCCTCCGTTTGGCCTCCAAAAACTCTGGAGTCGGCTCGTAATCCGAAGTGTGCGAGAGGAAAAAAACTTTTCCACTTGGCCACGGGCGACACCTCCCCCGGTTTCTGGCTGCCCACAGTCATTTTAAGTAGAAAGCGAGGCGACAGCGGCACCTCTCGGTCGCGCTCGCACTCGAACTTTGGTGGCTTCGGTGGTAGGGTATAGCTGCGTCGTCCCGGATCCGCGTCCTCCTCGTCGTTGTTGGCGCAGTCACTGCCTTCTTCCTCGGCGAACCGCAGCTCGCACTTGTCCCGTAGGGTCTTGGCCCACGCTCGGTTGTTGACGCAGTGCACGAGCGCCAGCAGCTCCAGCGCCTCGCGAGTGAGCGAGTCAGAGATGTCGTACGGCTTGGGATCTCGCTCGCGCTGCTGGCGGCATGGACAGAGGACCGTGACCTCCACGTAGCCGCCCGATGACGATCAGCCGCCCCTTCAGCCGCTCGAGCCAGGGCGAGAGGAAGCCCCACGCGTCGGCGGAAGCGGTGGAGGCGGGGGCGGAGAGGCGAAGGCGCTTGTTCTCTTGAGGCTTCGCAATGAGGGTCTGGTAGTAGCCTGCAAAATAGTAGCGATAGTAGTATTCAGAGCACCAGTACTACTGTAGTAGTACTTTATTACTGGCGTGCTGCTAGTGATAAAGCTGTAGTAGTCCGTCGTCCAGTAGTTTGTCGCAGCGTCCTTAACTATTACTTTCTTACTGCAGCCACTCGCACCTCGGTATTTTTCTTAATACCCTCAGGAGCACAAGAAGCGCACCCGCGTTGTCGTGTTTACCGAAGTAGCAGAACCCATTAACGGAATCGGGGGAATCCCCGACCATCTCATCTACAAGCAACCTCACACCAATCAACCTCGCCCATCTACAGGGGCAAGCCATGCGTTCATATTTTGTGAAGACGAAGACGTACTCTCTCTGTGTTGCTGTAGTATTGGGTGACAATGGGCTGGTCTGCTTGCTGGAATGTTTTGCTAGTAGTAGTGATATACTATTATACTACTATCTACATTTTAGCAACAGTAGACTGACAACCAGAGTTTGCAAACTTTCAGGGACAGGTCTCAGCTACCTTTAATTGAATAAATCAGTACTTTTTTAAACGTGCACAAAGATTGTCAGAGTTTTTTTGGTCCCACGTTTGGAGATACGCAGGCTGCCTGTACAGTTGCTCTAACCCTTCTAGCCCCAGACCTTATTCTGTATCCTACAGAATAAGTATTAGACTTGATTAAAGTATACTTCAAAACCTGTCAAAGATTTGCTGTTGGAAGCCCTTTCGCATCTTGCGGTCAAGCGCTGGGTACATTGTGCACAGAACAGCTACGAAAGTGAACAAAACATGCTCAATGTATCCACCATATGCCGAAATGGCGAGCTTCTATTGGTCGTGGCGAGCGTAGAGCACGCTCAAAACCTGCTACATGGTAATACCTTGCAAGGCTGCTAAGGCAGCATACTTCGGCTCCAGCCACCCATCTTCGGCACGTCGCGATAAACGCGGAGGAAGAAATCGCCCTGTTCCTAACTGACGTAGTGAGGAGGAACTGGGCGAATTCTTCCTTGTGCTTGACATTAGCGCATCATTAGATTTCTTTAGCCCACCTAACAAGCTTGTTACGATTGTCTCTCTAACAACACCAGGGAGCTTGCATGCTCAATATCCCGTAATGACACGCACTACACACGGTTCCTCTTGTACGAAACAGGACAATATATGATATTCCTGCCAACGTCTACTTCTTCCTTTACATGCGCACGCTCTTCAATGTTCGCGCCAGCCGTGGGTCATCTTCGCCATTTTGGCAGCCTCCGCTTTGCTCTGTAGCCTCCGGCACTGCCGCTTCATTCCTGCCACTTTCATCGGTAGCCTCCGTCGTAGCCTCTGTCCCATCTTCTGTAATCTCCGGTGTAGCCACACCATGAGGAGCGCTTCTTCTGTAGCCTCTTGAGTAGCCACTGCATCAGCTACAATATAGCGGTAGACCCGGCTGTAGCCGGCTTCGTAGGAACCGATGAGGTTGTGCGCTGACTCCGCAATCGATCTGCCAATCGGGCCAAACGCGAGAGCTCATAGCGTCGTCTGGGTCGGATCACCAGGTCTGGTAATCAACATCGCAACGTAGAATCAATATACCACTAGTACAATGTTACAGAGCAAAGTACACGCTCTCGCTTACCTGTAGATCACAATGGCGCTCATCATGATCGTCTTCGGCCATGGTCCTTGGCCACTTGGACGGGCCCCAACAAAGCTTGCATTGCGACGTCTTGAACAGCGCAGTTTCGGAATGAAGGAAAGTACGAGTGGCTGACACGCGGCGGTTTTAGGCTTCCACCCGAATTTTCAAACCTGTTGGTGGTTTATACTCGTCCGTCTATTACCGCGGAATAAACCCCGTTTATCTTCCCATCGCTAATCTAACAGGAAGATGCGCACAATACCGGCTATACAAACATCCATATGCGAAGTTCGAAAGAGAGGACAAGTTTGCTGGATATTATGTCCTGTGACAATGCTTATTCTGTAGGATACAGAATACGGGGTTAGAGGGGCTAATCAGTGCCTACGATGAATCGAATCGCTCAGACACAAGGACTGCAGGGGTTCGTATTACAACGTTTAACACTACACCCAAATCTCACGACAATTTCGCAGCTGCAGGGAGAACGACGTGTGATCACACCACAGTCGTCGAAATGGCGAACATCTTTCATGTTAACCTCAGTACTTTGCACCAAAACGAGCACATCCTTATTTTTTTTGTAAAGGCTTACCTTTACGAAGCACGATTGTCAGATCTCAAGATGAGTACTGTATCTTTAGGAAGTGAAGCGTCTTCCCAGTGGAATGTTTCCGCACAGCGAATACTAACAGCGCGAGGACCTCACTTTGTGTTCTCGGTCGGACCGAACAACTCGACTCAACGGACAATGCAGTTTCTTGCACAACTTGTGGTGCTCACCGGTCTCGTATCGGGGGGCCTTGCCAACGGCAGCTGCAGTGGGCCGGCCGCGCGGACAACGCCTCCAAAAGGAGCTATCGTCGTTGATGCCACTGGCAAACACCCCGGCAGCTACAAGACCGTTTCTGAAGGCGTGGCCGAAATTCCCAGCACGGCGGCAGAACACACACTCTTTATGTTTCTGGGTTCAACCAACCGCCATCAATGCTCTTAGAGTCGAAGAAAGGTACTAAGGTCTACAACGTCAACGTCGAAGCACACCTCGAAAGTGGGGGCCAGGCACCGGCCGTTTTCGTCAATGGCCTTGACCACGGATTCTACGGAGTTAAGATGACGGGTCACCACTCCACGCTTTGTGCGAACAAGGGCCCTCAAGTGTATGCCAAGTCGTACATCAACGGAGCTGTTGACTTCATCACTGGCCTCCACGCGAGATCTTGGTTCCAGACCTGCGATCTTGAATCGTTTGGCGACAGTGGTGCCATCACCGCTGTCGGTCATGGTAACGACCCCAACCCGTCTGTGTTCATCTTCAGCAACGTGTGCTCGGCCACTCCAATGCGCTGTACACCTCAACGACAGCTACCTCGGTCGTCCGGGCTCCCCACATGCTCGCGTCGTATTCCAAGACAGCGAGCTCAGTGCCGTCGTCAATCCAAAGGGGTGGGATCGGACGCACAAGGACGACGAGGAGGCATACGAGGACGTCAGTTCTTTTAACAACCGCAAGCTCGGCGCGGGTATTACGCCGTGTACCGGGACACCGAATCAAAAATGGGTAGTTCAGAACTCCTGGGTGAGGACTTTGAGTCCCTGTGGTTTGTTGACACTAATTTCTTGTACAGTGGCGGGTGGGTTATCGACAACAACGACGGCCAAAGCAACGCTATTTGCTGTGATTGGGAGGGCGAGCGGTGGGCTTTACAAAGCTGGCTGAAAAGCGAGTGTGAATGTCACTCGACCGGATCATATCATCCAATACTTCGAAGTTACCGTTTTTCAATGGCATTATTGTATTCGAGACAAATAGTACTGTGTTTTCCAGTGGTTCTGTCAAGTCAGGGTGCTAAACCTAAAATCCGTAGTTGGCTAGTTTTCATTACGGCTTGTGAATGTTTTGCAAGTAACTGATGAAACCTCATTCCCCAAAATAAGGCCGCCAATGAACCCGTGATCCTGTAAAGAATCAGTTTTGTGTCGGGCGACATTTTTTTCGCTCTATAAACGGGTGGTAACGCCCAGAAAATGTCAGAAATAAATACAGTCGCATCATCGGACTATCCATTCAAGTATCTAAATATCTGAGTCCACTATATTCCATCACTTTGAACGTCAAGCTCAACGGGAGGCGTCATCACAACTAAGTATCCCAGAAAACCTTAACTTTGAGCAAGCGTGGAACCAGCCGGGGTGAGAAGCAACCAAACGGGGGGTTGTTAGCTTTTGTTGGCACTAAAGGACGAAAGTTCACGCAGGAATGCACAGCTCCAGCCATTGTGGTGGTTCGTCAAATGTCAATCATCGTCAATGTATTTACTAACTGCTATTACTTCCTTCCTATCCCGACATTTAGTGAGCTACATGCTAAAACAAACAAAAAGAAGAAACTTGGCGAGAGCAGAACTATTTTTTATGGGTAATGATTCATTACCGCATGATTAGGATATCGAAGCTGCATCATTCGCCAATTTGCCAGCTCGGAGCAACATGGCCGACGTCCGAGAACACAAGCGCTGTGAGATACAGTCTTACCTGTGCTGCGGCTCAACAACGACAGATCTTGCCAAAGCTCTTCAGCGTGTGGTTGCCACGCGCGGCTATCAAGTGTATCCAGCTCTGTCGTACAACGACAGCAGGAGTATGTACACTTTACTATGGAGAACGAGATTGATGGCAGGGAGCACGAAGGCTCTGCTCCCTGCCCTAGTGCAAAGGACAACATGTAGTGTAGTTATCTTGCTTGTTGTATTGCTGCTGCTAATACACTGACTGCTGGTATGCAGGAGTTTGGCTGGAGGTTCCCACTCACTCGAGAACTTGACGCCTGCGGCGCAAGTGGGAACCTCTACCGAACTACTGCTGTATCTGTCGTGGCGTTCTGCCTCGGCACTTACGTGCTTCTTAGTCTTTCCTCTATCTACTTTGCGACTGCTATGACTGTAACTCTACGTAGTAGTAGCAACGTGGAGCCTAACACCTCTCAAGCGCCTTCGCGTCTCCGTCCCTGACGCAACAGTCCAAGCCGACGCCTGGGACTTCCTCACGCCCTGGCTTGAGCATCTCCATGAGCGGCTCATGGTCCACCCCGACGGCTACTTGCAAGTGCGGCACCCGGACTCACGTCGCTTCCGACGCAACCAGAACCAAGAGACCGAAGTCAAGCGCCCCGAGCGATTCGACACCAGCCACTGGCGCACGCGCGAGGCGGTGGAGCTGCTGGTGCTGGTGCACGCCGTCAACAACCAGGCGTGGGCCCAAATTCTTCGGGAGAAATGAGCACTGCGGTTAGCTGAGGAAGAGGGCTTCCTGGACGCCAACAACGACGATGAGGAAGACAACCGACGCCGCAGAAGCGGTGCCACCCCCAAGAAGCAGCTCTTCAAGTTCGAGTGTGAACGTGACCAAGAGATTCCGCTGTCTAGCTAAAAATCATATGATTGCTGATGAGGTATTTTATTAAAATTAGGATCACCCTCGGTTCCACATTGGTTTCGGTGTTGGAAGCCAGAAGCCGGGCGAGCTGTCGCCCGTGAAGAAGTGGCGGAACTTCTTGCTCCCTCACACGTCGGACTACGAGCCCAGTCCGGAGTTTTTGGAGGCAAAGCAACGCATCTTGTTGATGAAGGACGAGGGATTCAAGAGACACCCACGCGTGCCGCAGTTCGTGGAGATCCCCATTTCGCTCTCTTTGGGCGCATCCAGAGATGAGAATCGGGATTTTGTTGCTCATATGAAGGAACTGCGAGACCTGATTGAGGAGATGAAGGGCCGAGCTGCAGCCGCTACTGCTGCAGGTGCGGCGACGACGCTAAGTGACTGCGCTAGTACTGCCTGGAGTCGTTTTCGCTGGACATTTACGGCGTGGATATGACAGAAGTGTGTGTGGAAAGTGTGCTGGACGTGCTTGGTACTGGGATCCCGGTCGTGGCGGTGGTAGTGAATCCGTACAATAGATTTCGAGGTAATCGCAACGGCGTGAGTCGCCAAGCACTTGCGAAATTCCTCATTGGCGTGTTGCTGGATCCATCGTGGAAGATTCACTCGATCGGCACCTTCGACTTCATCGGTGAGCATGACTGGCACTACCAAGCGCTGTACGCTGCGCTTGCAGCAGCTCGGACCCCAGTCGCAAACCTGTCAACGCATGGCTGCTTTTTCCGCCAAGATGATCAGCTTCAGCTACTAGCGAAGGCGCTGTTTTCCCCGCGGTCGTCCAACCAGGCGTTCTACCCGCCCATCCACGGCTTGGATATTTTGTACGAGAAGGCTGATCTGGAGACCATTGTGGCTGCTATCAAGGAAAAGGAGAGCGGGTTTATGACTGAGTGGCAGCTACGTGAGGGTACACCGTTAATCTTTGCCCAGGGGCAAGCCAGCGATGGTGCTGTCGTGACGAAGCATGCCCTCCCAATACCAGTTGACACCCATTTGGAACTGCTGTCATCCAGCACAGGCAACCAACGCAGCTTGGTTGAGGTGATTCTTCCCGGCTACGGCAAATGCCAAGTTCTTCGTGAAGCTTTGGTGCCGCTTAAAGGGTCTGGATTGAATGGTAGCGCGCGTGAAGCTGAGCCAGTCAGCTGTCGATTTATTTTTCGCATGGGGAACATGCGCTGGAGAAGCTACTCCGCCAGATCAGGAGGCCCTTATGCAGCCTCAGTCTCCAGTATTTTGACAGAATGGACGACGAGAGGATGATGACGGCCATCTTGAAATGCTGTCCGAAGCTGACGAATCTGTCGCTCCTCCCGTGTGATATGGACTTGAATCGTCTGATCACCAGGGCCTCCGAATATGGCATTTTTATTTAGTAGGTTGGGCGTTGCTGAATAAATTATCCCCTGACGCTCCTACCAATGCAACAGTACATTATGGCATTGCCCCCAACGTACCACAATAAATAATGCCATTATGAAAAGCATGAAGTCTATTAACAAGACACCAGTTAGCTTATCATCTAGCTCAATTGTCCACAGTCGTTGCATCCCAGTACGACCGATTCTGGCGGAGAAACAAAATCGTCTCAAGCGTGCGTGGCAGCAGGCCGTGTCGTTGATGACCAAACGTCACCCGAGCAATGCTGAAGAAGCGTTCCACCACATTCGACGTGGGTGGGATGCTCTTCAGCTGCTCATACTTGACACGGTCCTGTGCAAGCCGCCGGCGCTTCCGAAGACGCTCCACGAACGACGCGGCTGGATCCTCCTCCTCTTCGCTCGCGGCCGCGTCGTCCGGTCTGGCAGCTTCGAAGGGCTGCAAAGCGGCCTTTTCAGCACGCGTCAGCCGCTGCGCCTTCCCGCGGAGAACGCGTACACACCCAGCCTCAAAATCTGGGTTGTGCACAATGTTGGCCCGAGGTCCTGCAAAATAAAAACCATTATACAATTGTTAGTGAAAATATTAAACACAAATTCAACAGTTATAAACTTACCAATGTAGCGCCCATATTGTGGCTTGACAGCGATCAGCTCGTCGAACCACTCGCGAACGTCCAGCAGGGCGACGTCGTGGCCTTGAAGGGCCTTCGAGACCGACTCGATGTCGCACAGCTCCTGGTACAATGCCCGCAGTCGCTTGTTCATCGCCGGCGGCGGCAGCAGGTCCATGAGGTCGTCGTCTTCGGCGTCAAGAAACTCGAGGAGCTGGAGGTAGCGCCGTACCATCTCGAACGTAGAGCTCCAGCGCGTGTCCTGGCGAATGACAGGCCGAAGTGGCGTTTTCAACCTATTTTGTAAAAAAATTTACAAAAGTACACAAATTGTGTTAGAGACATATTGACACACCACACATACACATTGGCGCTTACCGTAGTTTGGCAGATTGGGTGAGAGTACGCAATTTTACCATGAGCGCCTGCACAGCAGCCAGGTCCTCCTCATGCGACGCCATGTCCGCCTGAACAGCAAGATTCAGGCGGTGGCTTGCGCAACCAACAAGCGGCACACTCATAAGAGTTGCCAGCCGCCGGTTTACGGTGCAGTTGTCAGCTACGAGGAAGCGACACTGCGCCAGCTGTACGCCGTAATCGCGCGGCAGCATGGTCGCTAGAAACTCGAGATGGCCCTGCGCGGAGAGATCGTCGTCCAGCGCGTCCAGCAGCGGGGCCATGCTGAGTAGCGTTGTCTTGGGACAGCCGTTCACCTCATAGCACGCGAACACGGCGATGTAGTGCTCAGATGCGTGTGTCCAGCCGTCGAGCATGATGCTGAAGCGTGCTGGGAGCTCCGACGGAATCGAACGCTCGACGGCGACGACGACCCCGTCCATGCCAGCCCGCAGCGTTTCCTCCGAGATGGGGTCCAGGCTGGAGTAGCTGAATAACATCCATAAAGTAAAGTTGTTAGTTTCCGTAGTAATGTAAACACAATGACCTTATGCATACACGTACCGGCGAGCTTCTCGGCTCTCACAAAAAGAGAGTGGCAGGTTGCACATGACAATCCAAACCATCCAGCCGTGGAGGTTGAGCGCCGAGTGGCGGACGAAGTTCACGAGGGAGCCTGTCTCCGCCGTCGTAGCGTCGAGCATGACGGTCTCGTAGTCAGGGTGCTCCCGCCTGATATGTTGCATCAGGTTGGAGTACCCGTTCCTATGGGTTTGCTTCCGAACCGTGCCGCAACGGCAACGGAAATACTCGAGAATCACCTCGTCGTTCTCGTCGCGACACGGGCGGAAGTAAAACCCCGAGACTTGGGAGTTCGTGTAGGTAGGGCGAGGGGGGCGGATAGGGCGAACCATGCTGGATGAGGTCTTGGAGGCTTGAGAAGTGAAAATTGAAAAGTGAGCGCTGCCAAATGAGCTGCAACTAGCAACGCAGACAACCAGTGATTCCAGTTCTTCTGAACGACTGGAAGCGAGAAGATGGCTGGTAAAACGCTAACATTATTATATAACGGTAACTGTCATAAATTATGTAATATCACAAAGCACATCAATAAATTATTACGGTAGATGGCTGAACCCGCCGAAATGCGTAATTTATTGCTATTTTCTGAAATAATGTTATCGACAATGCTATTTTCGGAGGCCCTGCTGATCACCACTTACGAGAACTATACAGGAGAAGCAAAGCCCCGCATTTCTTCGCTGTCGTTGATAAGGGTCGGCGATATTGGAGCTGACCGCGGGGTGGCATTTGCCAAGGTCCTGGGGAACCCTAAAAGTCGACTGGCCCAGCACTTGGAGGAACTACCATCATGACAGCAGAGGAATCGACCGCTGTGAACGGCTCAACCCTCCGAGCGCTGTGGATGGCACTCAAGAAGAACACGAAGTTGAAGAGGCTGGTGCTGATCGTGGAGCACAACACGCTGAAGCCATGGAAGAACCGCTTTCGACAGTTTCACGGCCAGGTTCTCCCACCAGTTCGAGTCGATCTGCCGGCCAAGCTCGCGTTCCTGAGTGCGACCTGCGGCGCGGTTACCAATGGAGAGAGAGTGCTCTCTGTTTTTCAGCGACTGGACCAGCGCGCGGTGTCGCTCGTGTTTGAGTTTGCAGCTACCCGCGCGATCCGCTCCGTGATAATGTTCTATCGCATTTAGGAGCATGGATCTGGGGAATTGTGTGCTTCGAAGGTCTAACCAAGGCACGCAGATCGAGCTTTATTGCTGCGTACATTCATCATTTGAGGTCGTAGTAGCAGCAACTCTCAGCACCAGCTTTCTTTTTTTCTCTTTGACTCAAACTGAGCTACTTTTAACCCTTTTTTCATGCCTTGAGCCTACGCTTCCCGTGACGCGCTGATGGCTACTCAATAGTTTAGATGCCTCACAGTTTGCTAGCACAAGTGACGCATCGATTTTCTTGTCAACATGGACTATTAAAAAATACAGTTGCCTCGAGCATGAAACGAGGATTCAGCAGCACTCAAGCTTGACAAAAGAGGAGCGTGTATTAGCTCGATGCAGGGGTTCTTCGCTATTTTGGATCAGCAGCCTTTTCCTTTCGTGCCTTCTGTAAGGGTGTATTATACTTGTCAATGAAAATATATATATATATACTTGTAAATAATAGGCGTAGTGAATCATTACCGCCCGACAACCGAGAGGACAAGCGCCCCCGGGTCTCCGCACCCGACACGGTCGCCTGGGACTTCCTCTCGCCCTGGTTCGAGCAGCTGAAGGGGCGTCCCCTGGTCACCTCGGACGGCTACGTGCAGGTTCTCGACCCGTGCTTCCGACCCGCCCAGAATCGGGGGAGTGAGCCAAAACAATACGCTACCAACGACTGGAGGACGCGTGAGGCGCTGGAGCTGCTGGTAGTACGCGGTGAGAAAATATCAACCACCTCGTGCACAGCGTGAACAAATCGAGCGTGGGTGAAGATTCTACGCGAAAAGTGCGCACTGAGGTTTCCCTGACGATGACGATAGCGACGACGAGGATAATAGCAACACCCACACAGGGAATGACACCTCCCCATTTGAGGAAATGTTTCGGTTCGCGTGCGAGCGCGACCGAGAGGTGCCGCTATCGCCTCGTTTCCGGTTCCAGGTGGAGGTGGGGAACCAGAAACCTGGCGAGTTGTCGCCCGTGACCAAATGGAGAAACTTTTTCCTCTCGCACACTTCAGACTATAGGCCTAGTCCGGAATTCTTGGAGGCGAGACAGCGGATCTTGACGATGCAAGACGAGAAATTTATGATACACCCGCGTGTGCCGCGATCCATAGAGGTCCCGGTCTCTCTTGACGTTGGTAGTGGCGGGTACGGGCAAAGCAACGCTGAATTTGTTGGGCATATGTGGGAGCTGCAGAAGCTGATCAACGACATGAAGAGCTACCACGCACTACAAGTTGGCAATGTCAATCAGGACTTGAAGAGCATTCGTGACTGCGCGAGGGCATTTACCTACCGGTTGGATTTGCTTTCGGTCCAGATTGTCCGAGTGGATATGACGGAGGCGTGTGTGGAAAGTGTGCTCCGAGTGCTTGGTACTGGAATCCGGATTGAAACATTGGAAGTGAATGCGTACCATGACCTGGCCAGCCTGTGACTCGAGAAGGTCTCTCGAAATTCTTCACGGGTTTATTAGTCGAGCCACTGGCCCCTTCGCTAAAGATTCACTCGATCGGCACCTTTGCTTTCACTGGGGGTGCCAACTGGCATTGCGAAGCGCTGTGTTCGACGCTCGCAGTCGCTCGGACGCCCGTAGAAAAACTTGAAATCATTGGAAGTGTTAAGCGTCGAAATGGGCTGAAGCTACTAGCGCAGGCGCTGTTTTTCTCCGCGTACTTGCCGCCGCACTTCATACCCGTCCATTCGCGGCTTGGATATTTCGTACACGGCATTAGACATGACCCACGTGATCGACTTTGCGATTGCTGTCAGGGAGAAAGCAATGACGTGGCAGGTGCGTAGAGGCACCCCCTTGCGCTTTGAGCAAGTGACTAATGGTGCTATCGTGACGAAGCATGTCATCTCGATACCAATTGACACCAATAGGCAGCCGCTGCTAGCAAACGCAAGCGACCAAAGCGACATGGTCGAAGTGGCTCTTCCTGGTTATAGCAAATGCCAAAATTCACGAGAAGCTTTGGTCCTGGATGACGGGTTAGCTGCATGGCCTTCAGGTGCTGGAGATGAAGGAACTGAGCCAATCAGCTCGCTGTCAATTCCCGTGCCGAAATATTGGAGAAATTGCTCAGCCAGATTGGGTGGTCCTTACGCAGCCTTCGACATGCAAGATGGATGACGAGAAGCTGATGACAGCCATCGCCCCAAGTTGACCAGTCTTTCATTTCGGACGTATAAAATTGATCTGGATCGCGCCATCGCTACGTACGAACAGTTTGGAGGGGACACGAAACCTGCGATTTCTTCACTGTCGCTGCTAAAGCTTGTCGATATCGGACCAGGCCACGGAGTGTCACTTGCAACGCTGCTGGGGGACCCAACGAGTCGTCTGGCGAAGCACTTGGAGGAACTTACGATCAGGAGTCTACCGCAGTCAAAGACTCGACCCTCCAGGCGCTCTGGATGGCACTCAAGAACAACACGAGACTGAAGAAGCTGAGTCTGGCTGTGGAGCCCGGCGATCTAAGCCACAATTTCACGGCCAGGTTCTCCCGCCAATCCCTCTCAAGCTTCCGTCCAAGCTTGCGTTCATCAGTGCTAAGATCAGTGGTGGAGGTAATAGCCTCCATGCTCTTCAGCACCTGGACCAGCGCCTGGTGTCGCTTGTTTTCGAGTTTGCAGCCACCCGTGTGATCCGATCGGTGACGATGCTGTTTCAAATGTAGAAGCGAAATACCGCTGCAGCTCGTAAATACCATCACAGCTCGTAGTATCGCCCACCTTTATTTGTTTTTAACGAAAGCAGTAGTGTTACCCCAGTAGATGGCCAAGCTGCCTACCTTGTGGTGCTATCTGTAGCAGAGATTGCTGTGGCAAACCCTACCCAAAAACAGTAGATGCGTAGTGAATCAGTGAAGTGCAACTTTATGGTTCAAATTCCAACTCTTCCCCCCATTCTTCGATCGAAGCAAGCATGGCCGACACTGTCATTCGAGAGCACAAGCGGCTTCGCCTCACATCCCCCGACGCCAACGTCAACGCCAAGGCCGACGCATGGGACTTCCTCTCGCCATGGTTCGAGCAGCTTAAGGGGAGTCTCACGGTCACCTCGGACGGCTACTTGCAGGTTCTATACCAGCAACCTCGTTGGATACGACGTGGCCGACCCAACCCATACGACATCTGTGAGTGGCACACCCGCGAGGCGCTGGAGCTGCTGGTGCTAGTGCACAGCGTGAACAACCGAGCTTGGGTCAAGATCCTGAAGGAAAAATGCGAGCTGAGGTTCGAAGAAGAGGAGGAGGGAGATGTATCGGACACAGGCAGTGACGAGGAGGGGGAAGACGATGACGCGGAAACATTTAAGTTCGAGTGCGAGCACGACCGAGAAGTGCCGCTGTCGCCTCGTTTCAAGTTTGAGATGGACGTCGGTTACCAACACGCACGCCCGTGGTCGAATGGAAAACCCTTTTCCTCTCTCACACTTCGAGCTACAAGCCCAGTCTGGAGTTCTTGGCCGCGAAACAGCGGATCTTGATGATGCAAGACGAGGTGTTTAAGACACACCCACATGTACCGCGATCCATCGAGATCCCGGTCTCATTCGAGGTTGCCTCGTCGTCTAGAGAGAATAACGACGCGGTTGTTGCGCATATGCTGGAACTGCGGGAGCTGATCGAGGCCATGAAAAGTTACAGCAAGCAACAAGTTGGGGATTCGAACAGTCTTGATGATTGCGCAAGAACGTTCACTTACTGCCTGGACGAGCTGTCGATAAGCATTTCCGACGTGAATGTAACCGAGGCGCGCGTGGAAAGCGTCTTACGAGTGCTTGGAACTGGAGTCGCGATTGAAAGGTTGGAAGTGGATCTGTACCGTGAACCTGATAGCCCTGCGAGCCGGAAAAATCTTGCGAAGTTATTGATTGGATTACTGGTTAAGCCGCTGGACCTTCGCTGAAGGTTCACTCGATCGGCACCTTCGTTTTCGTAAGTGGTCGCGACTGGCACTGTGACGCGCTGTGCTCTACACTCGCAGTCGCTCGAACACCCGTCGGGACGCTTCAGCTACGTGGTAGGAGTCAGTACTCAGATCGGGGGAGGCTGTTAGCGGGGGCGCTCTTTTGTTCACGAATGCCCCGCTGTACTTCTTACCCACCCATTGACCGCTTGGATATCTCGGATTCGACTTTTTACAGCTTCCAACTCAAGGACTTTGAGGATGCTATCAAGGAGAAGGACTTCTGGTATAGCTTGGGGCTCACTTCGTGCATGGGATGGCAGCTTCCTGAAGGAACTATGTTGTGCTTTGACGACGGCGACATCGTCACGAAACATGCCATCTCGATACCGGTTGATACAAACATGAAGCTGCTGCCAGCCAGCACGGGCGATCGAAGTGGCATGGTTGGAGTATTTCTTCATTGGTTATGGCAAATGCCAAGTTTCTTGGGAAGCTATTGTGCCCCAAGAAGGCTTGATGGAACTTGGGATGGATGGTGGTCCACGAGGAGGTGAACCAGTCAGCTCACTGACGATTACCGGCAACGACGTTTCGGAAACTCATCTCAGCCGGATCGGGTGGTCTCTACGCAGCTTCAATCTCCAGTTTTCCCCCTGGATGAACGGTGGAAGGACGATGACATTTATCCTGAAGTCGTGCCCGAAGCTGACGAGTATGTCGATCGTGCAGCCCACTATACATTTGAGCCGGTTTGTCTCTGCTTACGAGCAGTTTACTGGAGAGACGAAACCAGAGCTAACTTCGCTTGCGATAAGGGATGTCGAGCACATTGGGCGTGATCACGGTGTGGTATTTGCAAAGTTGCTGGGGGTCCAAGGAGTCATTTAGCCAAGCATTTGCAGGAACTAGCAATAATACCAGCAAATGGGTCCACCGCTGTCAACGACTCAACCCTTGAAGCGCTGTGGATGGCGCTCCAGAACAACACGAGATTGAAGAAGCTGAGCCTGATCGCGCCATTCCGTGCCATAACGCCGTGGGGAAATCGGTTTCGCCAGTTCCATCGCCAGGTTCTACCCCCTACTCCACTCGGTCTGGCGTCCAAGCTTGCGTTCCTGAGTGCTGTCAGTATTGACTTTGAAGTCAATACTGCAGGCGAGCTTCCTTCCGCTCTCCAGAAACTTGACCAACACCCGGTGTCGCTTATTTTCGAGTTTGCCGCCACTCGCGTGATCCGCTCGGTGGAAATATTGATCGGAGATTAGGAACGTCCCCACTCTGGTCTCTATGGTTGGCTCGAAGGAAACAGAAAACTTTAACCAGCAGTACCTCTCTTCTATAATAACATTTTCTTGTTCCCCTATATTACAATAAAAGCACAAGTCGTTGATTAGCACCCCTCAACTGTCATATATGCACATTGCTCAAGCACTACTATTATACTAGTATCTGCAGCGCTGCTGCTGCCTGCCTCGCTCTTCGTTCCTCTCCCTGCTCCTCCTGCTGCTTCTCTAGCCCATGGCTCCTCCTCCGCTGCCGCCGACGCCCGCGCGTCCGCCCGCGCCGACTATTCGCGGCTTCTCGGCCCCCACGTCGTCATCGTCGCGCCAACCGCCGCCCCTCCAGACGCCCGAGTGCACCACGCGCACGCTGGCCTTCGACTCGGCCGCCCTCTCCAGCGCCGCCGCCTCGCGCGCCAAGAAGCGCCGCCGCCGCGTGGCCGAAGCCGCCGCCCTCATCACCGCGCGCCGGCCGCTGGACACGGAGCAGGAGGACGCAGAGGAGACCAAGGAGGACAACGCCATGTGGACGCTCAAGACGGCGGAGGACGCCGTGAGACGTCCGACTCATCTGCAGGAGGACGCTCTCAAGCCGCCGCCCGCTGCGTCCAGGAAGACAACTCCACCAAAGGACCACAGGCAGCAGACGGTGGACAGACTGCGCGCGCTCGTCCGCGCGTGCACGCGCCAGCACCACGCGGCGTCCGCGCTCTTCTACGCGGACAAGCTGGTGGCCATGTCGCCCAGAGACGAGCAAGACGTGCTGCTGTTCGCGGACGCCTGCTACCTGAACAAGGAGTTCCACAGGGCTATTCACGCGCTCAAGACGGCGCGGCTCGTGGACGTGGAGAGGGAAGACGGACGTGCAGCGGTGAAGCTGGTGACGTTGAAGGCCGTGCTGCTGTTGGGCAGGTGCATGGTAAGTGGAGAGGATTGTGGAGATTTTCTTAAGGTTGATGCTGATTTTTCTTAATTATTTTTTTTATTTTAGCTGGCTATTAAGCAGAAGGAGGAGTGTCTGGAGCTGCTTGGGTCGGTGCTGCCCGAGAGGGAGCAGGAGGTGGTGTTACTAGCGAAGAAGGTGCAGCTGGAGCTTATGGAGGAAGAAAAGGAGGGGGTCAATGTGGTGGCGTCGCTGGCGCTGCTGATGGGCGAGACGCTCGAGGCGATCGGGAACCGGGAGAACGCCACTGTGTACTTTCGGATCGCGCTGAGGTGCGACGTGCACTGCTCGGAGGCGTTCTTCCACCTGTTTGACAAGCAAATGCTATCGGCGCAAGAGGAGAAGGAGCTGCTGGCGTCGTTGGACTTCTCGGCCGATGAAATGGAACTACTGGAGCTGCTGTACCGAACGCGCGTCGGGAAGGTAGGATAACGGGAATACCTCTCCGTTGTTATCGGTGGTGGCTGACAACTTGCTCTGTTGAATGAACTTACAGTACGCTACGACGCCATCGGTGGCTGAGAAGTTTACTGAGGTGGAACAGAAATTCGGCCTCGCCGACAATCTAGACCTGGTAAGTGCGCTGAGCTAGGTCTCGCCTGATCGTGGTAACATGCCGATCACACTAACGTTAATGGATGGTGCGTATGCAGAACGTCACTCGAGCGGAGACGTACTATTACCAGCATGATATTCAACAGGCGCATGAAATTTGTGAAAGGTACGTGGTCGTCGCTGCTATTTTTTATCATTAATCTCCTGTTTCAGTGAGGTATTTTCTGTTTAATTGATTTCTAGGGTTCGTGAGCGGGATCCTTTTAATTTCCGCGTGATTGCAGTGTACGTGGGTACACTCGTAGAGCTCGGGAAGAAACGGGAGCTGTATCACTACGCGCACCAAATGGTAGGTGACAGTGATTAATTAGTTTGAAGACCCTGTAAGGATTATCCAGCTCACTCGACCTCATCGCATTTGCTGTAGGTCGACGTGTACCCGACTAAGGCGTCAGCCTGGTACACTGTTGGTTGTTACTATCTCCTGATCCAGAAATATGAAGCTGCGCAGCGATACTTCCAGTAAGTGTGAAGCAGTGATAAATAACCCGCAGCGTCGACTGTTGAGTACATGGAACTAATATTTCCGGCGTGTTTTGCAGCAAAGCTACATCTCTGGAGCCCAGCTTCGCGCCCGCATGGATCGGATTTGGCAACTCGTTCGCAGCACAGGATGAGAGTGATCAGGCGATGTCATCGTACCGGACAGCGTCGAGTCTCTTCCCCGGTTCGCACCTGCCACCTCTGTACATCGGCATGGAATATCTTCGCACCAACAACTTGGTCCAAGCGCAGGAATATATCCGGCAAGCCAGCGTTATCTGCCCCACGGATCCTTTGGTCTACAATGAGCTGGGCAGTGTATATTATAAGGAGAAGGACTATCATCAAGCAATTGAGATGTTCACCAAGGCCTTACAACTGTGCAAGGGGCTTCCCGAGGTAAGGAGCGCGTATTCCGTACATGGTCGCACATTCCGCCAGTACTGAGTTTAACCTTTGTTATGTATTGTGCCAGCGACTAATGGAGGCCTGGGAGCCGACGCTATTCAATCTTGGGTACTCGTACCGCAAACTTCGGTGGGTGCATCGCTCTGGGTTTTACGGTTGTTGAGCTCGTGCTGACGGCTTATTCATTATTCGTCCCCGATAGGAAATTCGATCAAGCAATCCATTATTTCCAGAGTGCACTCAGGTTATCTCCGCGGAATGTAAGCATGATGAATCCCGAGGACTCGCCTGCGTTTATGAACTTTAGCTGACTCGGGTTTGTTGTATTGCAGGCATCGATCCTCGCTGCCCTCGGCTTTACCTATCATATGAAGGGCAGTCTTGAGCAAGCGATTGAGAATTACCACGCGGTAAGGGTTTAATGTTTCCTGAACAAGCTCTAGATTTGTTGTTTTAACCTGCTTTTGTCATTGTAGGCGCTAGCATACAACCCGGAAGATACTCTAGCAGGCTCCATGATTACCGTAGCGTTCGAGGAATCACTGTCTGGAGGTCCTGGTTCATTCCCTGAGTTTGCAGAACCTGCCCCGAGAGATGCCCCCAAGACAAGCGGCCTCACTCCGATGAGTGCTGCGCTCACGGCTCGCCGATCTCTCGGATCGAATGACAAGGCCCAGCTCTCTCGGCGACTGGACCAATCCTACAGCAGCATTGAACGCAGTAGGCAATCGCTAGCATGTTCAAGCCTGGACTTTTCTGATGACAGCTCCATGAACATGGACGAAGATTGACGCGCGAAAACAATGGAAACTCATCCTGACACTGTACTGCGATCTTGCTATGCCCAGTATTGCTCTCCTGTGATGTTGTTGTAGTAGTACGCTGCGCCGGTGTACTGGTCAAAGAATTTCTCCCACGGGTCAGGCGGAACAGCATCTCCTGCATTTTCTGCCTCTGTCGGTGCGGTTGCTGCTGGAGCCGCGGCCTCTTGGTATTGCTGGACGGGCTGGGCCATCGCCGGGTTGCCGTAGCCCATCATCGGCGCGCCGTACATCATTGCCTGGCTGAATGCCATCGCTGCCGCTGCCTGGTACGCGTAGTTGGCTGCTGCTGCCGCTGCGTAGTTCGGTTGCATCGCCATCATCTGTGGGTATCCCTGACCGTAGGCTTGGGTTCCGTAGTACGCTGCGTTGTTCTGGTCGTAGTAATGGTACTGACCGTACTGATCGTAGTAGCCGTATTCGTCTGCATAGCTCGCAGCCGCTGTCGCCCCCACCGGATACCCATTGGCATCGACCTGGTTGGTGACGGCGTAGTCGACATACCCAGCCGCTGCTTCCTGCTCGCGCTCTTGCGTCAGTCCAGTGGCTGTCCTCACGATCTCCAGCGCCTTCTCCGAGGGTCCCAACGGCGTCGATACCGGCCGAGTCCAGCTTGCTTCCTGCGTACGGATGTTGTAGAAGTACGACGCCTGTGCGTTCTCGTCCCAGTATTCGACCCACTCGTCGGCCTTCGCTTCGTCGGAGCCTTCAGCAGTCTCCGTCTCGACCTCGCCAGCTTCGATGAGAGCTTCAGCCACCTCAGCCTCAGCTGCCTCGATGGTCTCCTGCATGGCCTTCGCTCGGTCCTCGCGCTCCTTGTCGATCTTTCTCTGGATGGACTTCACCCGCTGCCGAGCCAAGAAACCACGAGCGCGCGACTGGATCTTACTGGCTAACGCGTTGCGGAGCGCGATCCGCTCCTTCTCCTTTCGCGCGCGTTCAAGCATCTGCACTTCGAGCTCTTTGATCTCCTGCTCTCGAGCGCGCGCTTCCTCGTCCATCAGAGCTTTGAGTCTGGCGAGAGCCAACTCCTTCTGCTGCTTGGCCTGGAGTCTCAAGCGCTGCTCCTCGTCGTGGATGCTCGCCATAGCCACGGACTGAGCTTGCTGCAGTTTCTGAAGACGCTTTCGAGCCACGTGCTTCAGACACGCCGCCTGGATCTTCATGCGCGCCTGGTCCTTCTGGATCGCCAACGCGGCCTGCTTCAAGTGCTCGGCTTCCTGCTGCAGCGTCCGGTTCTCCTTCTCCTGCTCCTCCTGCTTGCTCGTCGGTCGCATGGGCAGCATCGTCGCCACCTTCAAAGCCGCCAGCTCTTCGTTCTCCTGCGTCCGCATCGCCGCCTCCTTCTCCTGTTGAGCTTGTCTCTCCATCTCCAGCTTCTCGCGGAGACGTGTGGCCTCGAGCTTCTTCAGCCGGTCTTGCTCCACGCGCGAGTCGATCTCGCGCTGCTGCATCAACGTCTCAAGTCGAAGACGAGCGAGTTCCTGAGCCTCCTCCTTGTGCCGAGCGTCCTCCTCTTCACGCTGTCGAGCCAACTCATCCCGAAGCTTCGCAGCCTCTTCATTAGCCGCGCTCTCCTGGAACATGAGCTTCATCTTGAGCTTGAGTAGCTCTTCCTCTTGCTCCTCCCGCAGTCTCTCGATCTCGTCGTGAGCCTTCTCGCTGGCCATCATGGAGATTCTCTTCTCGAACTCTCGTCGACGTTGCAGCAGAAGGCGTCGAGCACCCGCCCGCCTCATAGCGCACTGGATAACGAGCGCTGCCTGATTCTGCGTGATACGGAGCTCTTCTTGTTGTCTTCTGAGCTCCATCTCACGCTTACGTTGCAGGTAATGACAACGCGCGAGGAACCTCCGGCCGCAGCTTTGGATCTTCGTGGCAGCGCGCGTCTTGGTCTGGTAAACCAGCCGCTCAAGGGCAAGTCGAGCTTCCTCCCGGTGCTTCCGTTGCAGCTCCTGCACCATTTTTCGAGCTTGTTTACCCCGGAAAACCTTCTGGATGCGGAGAGTGGCTCGAACTCTAGTGCGTTGCTGCGACGCGAGCTTGGCGCGCTCTTGGTCCAGTCGGTGTCGTTTATCTCGAGCTAGTTTCCCCCTCGCGATCATCTGAATTCGTATCGCCGCTTCATGTTCCTGATGCTGTTGCGCCTTTTGTGCTTGAAGACGCAAGTGAGACGCGAGACGACCATGGTACCCACGCCAGAACGCTTGGATCTTCAGTGCGCTGTTGTTCATGAGCGTAAAGTTGAGCCACTTCAGCCGCTCGTAGCGCGCGCGTTGAGCGCGACGACGCGCGAGGTACCCGCGGAACAAGGACTGGATCACCACAGCGCTGGTGAGTCGCCGAAACCTCTCCAGCTTCAGAGCCTCAGCGCGTCGCTGCTTGTCGAGCAGATAATGCTTGCGCGTATTGGTACACCGCCAACACGTTTGAATCTTTGTCGCTGCTGCGCGTTCGAACGCTTGTCGCTGCTTGAACTGCTTCTCCGTTCGTAGCATCTGCACACGACGTCGTGAGCGACAGACGCGGAAGAAGCACTGGATGGTTAATGCTGCGCGGATCTTCTCTCGTAACTGCAGCACTCGACGTCGCGCGAGATATCCGCGCGTGCATCGTTGGAGAATAACAGCGCTGCGTTCTCTCAGTCTTCTGTTTGCACGAAACTTTCGCTCTCTTCGAGCGAGATAGCTGCGAATGCAGGACTGCATGACAACTGCACTATCGTTCTCCAGCTTGGTGCGTTGAATCACGCGCAGCAGCTCACGTCGCTGGAAGTTCCGGAACGTGCGTTGAATTCGACAGGCTGCCAGTGCTTCACGTTGAGCTTTGAAGAGCGCGCGCGCGAGGCGCTTGCCCGTGTATCCTCGGTAGCAGCGTTGGAGAAGACACGCAGCTTCGTGCTCCAGTTTATCCTGACGCTTTCGACTCACGAAAGTCCGAGCCAAGCGACCGCGCACGAGCGCTTGGATGTGGATAACGGCGAACTCTTCCTGCATTCGCTGTCGTAGCAGTCGAGCGAGGTCGCCTCGCACCACTCGCTGGATCTCGATAGCAGCCGAGTGGATCTCGTTCCTCGCGTCCAAGATGCACTCGGTCTTCCAGCGCACGAACTTGCGTCGCGTGACCTTGCGTCTCCACTTGTTCATGATGGCCGTCATCTTCTGGCCGCCTTTGCACTTGAGGAACATGTTGGCCTTGATCTTGTTGCGCTCGAACATGAGGAAGGCGTTCCACTTGCGGAAGGCGCGAGAAAGCTGCTGCGACTGGAGCCGTACGAAGAGCTGGTGAACCTTCTCCATGCCCCACCGATGGCAGAAGATCTGAGCCTTGAGAGACCGGACGGGGCAGTGTTGCTGGACCCACTGCAGGCCTTCACGAACCTTGGAACTCAGCTCCTGGATGCCGTACTCGGAGAGCGCGAGCTCCCGTCGAAGATCCCCAATGTCCACTTTGGCGCCCGGTCGAAGACATGACGGCGTCGCGCGAGCCACAACCATTGCCCGGTTTTGAGGCTGCAAGTGGCGTTTGGCCTGTCGGGCTGCAAGCTTTAGAGGAGGCAGAACTTGACCTGGAGCGTTCAGATTCTTACCAATTCCAGGGCTGTTTGTACTGTTCAAGTTTGTGGGTCCACTGCCATTGACGCCCATTTGGTTGGCGACGTGGAGAAGCCGCTTGCGAGCGCGCATGATGGCGATAAACTCGTGGAAATTGATCTCCCCGTCGTGGTCCGTGTCTGCTTGTTGGATGACTGAGGCGAGCTCGGCGTCATCCATGTCTTCCCCCGAGGCTAGCAGTAGCTGTCGTAGTTCATCTGGAGAGATGGATCCACTGTCATCGACGTCGAACTCCTGGAATTCTTCGTAATACCGATCGGTCATGGATCGCTCGTCTTCATTCAGCGAGTCCGGTTGAGAATTGTTCCCAAACGCAGCGTCCAGACGTTCGTACTCCTCCAGCGTCAGGTTCAAATGCTCGGCAATCGCTTCCTTCTGCCTCCTCTCTTCGTCGAGATCTTCCAATGGAGTCACGGGCTTCTCCTTTCGATCTTGACCGTCCGAGTCGTAGTCGAACGCGTAATGCATCGCCGGTCTTCGCCTCATCTCCGGTCGATGTTCCCCGACATGCTGCAGCGTTGTACTCTTCCTCGCCTTGTTTCGAAACTTGGTAGGCGACTTGTAGACACTCGCAGCGCCACTGTCCAGCATTTCTTGCGTAGAAGGCCGCACCTTAGCTGAGTCGATACGTAGAGCCTTCCTACGAAGCTTGTGCTTGGAATGTAAACCAACTTGGCGCCTGCGTCTATGGTGTCGGAGCTTCTTGTCGACTGCGTGGCTGGTACTGAGGTTCAACGCTTCTAGCCGTGCTGGGGCGTGACGTCCACGACTTGAAGGTCCACGGACACTTCGATAGTTGTTGTTGTTGTTAGTGGTGTAGTCGTCCTCGCTGCTTCTCGGACGACGTCGAATATCCGAGGGAGGTAGTAGACTCTTCAGACTCTCGAGGTCCAAGTAGAACAGCGAGCTGTCGCTGGCTGAAGGTGAGAGACCGGGTAATGCTGCTGGCATGATCGGTAGGGGGCGCACGTTGGTGCTCTGGAAAAGCCACGGCTCATGCTGCTCCACATTTCGAGGAGGGACTCGACGACGCCGACGGTAGAGCAGAGCTTGTGTCTTGGTGTTTTGGAGAGGGGGCGCCGGAGGAAGAGGAGCGGGGGATGATAATGTGCGACCGAAGCGGCGATCCTCCTCGTGGTTGTTGTTGGTCATTGCACCGAGCGGCTATTGAACTTGAACTCGACCTGTAAGGCCGCTTTTCGTGTACTGCCGGTTTTGAATATTAGAAACCGCTTGCAAGTAAAAATACACAGGGAGGTAGAAGATCTTTTCTTCAAAAGTTTTTATCTTGACTTCGATTGACTATACCATCTCTTGCTTCCTCTTCGATCGTGGAGAGGATTCATCTGTGGGTTTGTTGGTATCGTCATACTGTCACCACGAAATTCTGGCTTAGACATGCGCGTTCGTCGTACAGCGTGAATAATTTGCTGTTTTGACGCCACTTTCGATACTCCTTTCGGGCAGTGGGCGTCACGGTCACGGGCGTCCATGCCAAGCTGGATGTACTTCTCCTCTGGCTTCCACAGCGACTCGGCCAGATCCACCAACCTCTCGGCCTCGGATTCAGAGATTGGAGCATGAGTCGACTGACAAGTGGTGGGAGTCCACCCTCTCACCGAGCGAATACAATACATAAACTGCGCCGGTTTCTCTCGAGAATCGAGCTCGACAGTACTTGTCGTTGCCGCACCACGTACCGCTGCCTTGTTAAGCTGCCTCACACTTTCTCTCGTCGTAGATGTGGCCGCTTTAACCATTGACTTTTGTTTCTTAGGTGGTGGTTCCATCACCTCAGCTTCATCCTGTTCGTCTTGCTGGACCTCATGCGTGTGATCACACAGCCCCTCCTGCTCCGCTTCGTCGAAATGTGGGGCCGCGTACGAAAGAACGAACCGATTGGGGCAGGAGAAATCAACTTGCTCTCGTAGATTTAGGTAGACACGGATCATATCAGCGGACGAGTTCTCTCTCAACGCATTTCCACGTGAGAATGCGCGTTTCGGATCCATCTTCGCCCCCGCGGATTCGAGGAAACAGTTCGCGTCATTCTCCAAATTGTTCACTTGAACCAACACCATCAAAACCTCCGCGTCGTCAGCGTCCGAAAAGATCGGGATAATCAGATCAATTCCTTTGTCGTTTCGAGGCAACACACCAGCAGCCCGTCGACCTAGCAGAAACCACAACGTATCCTCTGTAGGCTCCTCGTCCAGCTGCACAAACTGGCAAAACCCCATTTCCCACAAGGCCCACGTTGATTCCCACTCTCGAAAAGCCTTAACGTCCTGATCTGGAGCTAGCGATACTTTAGTCGCCATCACTTGGGGCGAAGCACCAACCAATAACCTCAGAAAACTTGCAACGCTCACGTACTGGCCCTTAAACCTGAAGGTATGGTATATCTTGGTGGTGTGATCTCTCACCTCGCCCCCAATCATCGTGGCTGCATCCATCACCAACAGCAAAACAATGCGAGCGACAACTTCACCATTGTGGCCGGCATCAATCGTCTGATCCACCAACATCCTCTTAAACTGCGGCAGTATAAAGTCTGATAATCCGTTTTCGAGGCTGTACCAAACGCGCGTCGCCCCCAACGCCAGAACCGGCTCCGTATCGTAGCTGCTTAGAATGCCGTCTTGCTTGTAAGTCACGTACGCGAGAATCGCCATGAAATCCGCCACACCCTAAGACGCGAACGATGACGTCGAGTGTGGCCGCAGCCCCAGCCGACACAGCAGAGATGCAACACCAAACAGAGAGTCCTTGTTATAGTTTGTCAAGGAGCTCGGGTCTCGTCCTGCCATCAACTTACGTGCTGCAAGTGAAAGCACAGCATCAACAGCTCTACGAGCTTTCCGAGTATCATATTCTACGCCAGCTACGTTGTCGTGCTCGTCCATTGCTGCGAGAAAAGTGCTGGCCAACAGTGGACGACCCATTCCTACAAGCGCTCTCCGCACTTCCACTTCATCTTTCTCCATAGCGATTGACCTGTACGCGCCAATTGGAATCTCCTCATCTTCTCCAACAACAATACCGCTCCTGTTCAACTCGTTCCGCCAATACGAATCCATCGTGTGGGAAAGCACAAGCGACGGCAGCAAATGCCGTCGGATTTGGTGTATGATCGCGGGAGTAGCGGTCCAACATCAACCGAGGCGTCGGGATGGGTACCTTGAGCATTGTGTCAACCAGCACGACCAGAATACCTCCGACAGAATCGATTTCCTTGTTTGCCATCACTAGGGCCTTGTGCAACCGATCCATGTGATCGACCGAGTTGTGATCCAGTTGAAAAAGTTTCCTAGCTTCATCCACAGCTAAGACGACCACTCGGGGCTTGCCAGGACTGGTCTTCTTGACACCAGTTTGTGCTTTACTCGCCATAGCCGTTTGCAATGTCATAGCCACCTTTGTATCAGCTTCTTGACTTGTGAATAACTCGAGCCACTCCTCGCCAACCACTTCCCAGTTCTTTTGAGCGTACCGGTACATCGCCACTAATTTCTCGCTCATTTCGACATCAGTTTCTTCGGGAGCAAACAACCAATTGGCAAGTTTCGTCGTGGGTCGAGGAAACTTCGTCGATCTGTGGTCGTGCATGCCCACGTACAAGACTCTCGCACTTATTCTCTCGCCGTCCACTGCGCACGAATCCTCCGCCAGCTTTTGGAGCGCTCGACTCTTCCCAAAGCCAAAACTCAGCAGAACCGAGGTGCACGGCGCCGAGAATGAGCCTGGGGAGCTTGTGTAGGCTTCCCAGCATCTTTCCAAGTGCTCGAAGAGCAACTTATTCACAGGTCGGCAAAAAACTTGTAACTTTCCAAAACCGGGTACCAAACCGGGTCTTTCTTTCTTAATTGTAATGTTTAAGCTAATATCTGCCGGAATCGGGTGCCCGTCGATAAATGCTAAGATTTATGCACATTATTTATCAAACGTTGATACTAATCGTTTATTATTGACCAAAACCTGCATTCAAACACTTACGGACGCTCTAGTACACTATGAGAGCGTCATGGCTTCGCTGAATGCGTATCAATTTGCGCCATAATCGACCAAGCTTAGCTGAAGATGAACGACATGACTTGTCTAGCTGCAGGCTGCATTTTTTTACATGTCAGTTTGCTCAATACCCAATCACTCTTAGCCGAAGATGCCCAACCTCGTGTCTGTCGCCAAACCAATCAGCTCAACTCGACGGTGACACGAGCATCACTCGTTTGAATAAGACTTTTTCCCTGCGTTGAAGCACCCACTTCCAAGGAATTGGCCCATTAGCGTATATCTCATTCCGCAATTTATCCCCCAAGTCCTCAAGTTAAAAGTTTGTTTGTTTTGTTTTTGAATTGAGGATTGTTATTGTCACTTAGCTAACATCCTCAAGTTAAATGGTCAAGATCAGCGCACTATGCGTCTCTCCTTCGTTCCGCTACTGTAGCTCTCTCGTCTGATCGTTAGCACACAACATAGTACAAAAATTAGCACAGTATACCTTACCTGCAAAATGAATGAAATAGCTCTCTCGTTGCTGGCGCCAACGCAGCCATTGGACGCTGACGAGGGTGTTATGTCACCGATGGCCTCATCAGACCAGGCAACCTCAATTGGTGACTTTCGGTTCCTGAGAACCCACCACGCAAGTTAAATTGGTGATAACAGCGACCGCAGGACAAGGGCTAATGACAGTGAAGAGCGTCGATGAGAAGACGATAAAGAAGAGCGGTGCTTGCTGGTTACCAGCCTCTCAAAGGTTTGGCTGAAACATCATTTCCGTATCGATACACTTCGATGTGCGCAACTATTTGTTCAATTACGCGAAGCAGGCGCAGTAGATGCCCACGTTAGAATCAACTAGAGAGTTGGGCTGGTAGTGCTTTTAAGGATTAAAAACAAAACAACTTTGGGATTTACTCAATTATTATCCGTTATCATTGTCCATGAAACTATTCGTCGACCTGTGTACCCTCCCGGAGCAACGCTCCGGGTTGCCTATTAGCACCTCCGCAGTATTCCAACCTTGTAAATGCAGCCAGCTCCGTGCTAAGGGGTGTTTTAACTCGCTGGATCCTGATCGTTTTAGCCTCAAATCGGGCTGCAGCCGCTTGTGCCACTTGCTCACAGTCGACATGAGCAATAGCAGAACTGTAGGAGAGCTTGATCAAGATCAGCAGTGCCCCCGCTATTAGGTCCGGATTGCTGAGGGCCTCCTGCATCAGAATCTGTTGCTTTGTGTCCGCCAGAGTCCCTCCCCGTTCCAGAAGAAGTTCGTACACAATGGTACTAAGGATACTCGTCTCACGATCATTCTCCTTCTTCGCTTTGGTCTCGTTCTGAGGCAAGTGCGACATGGGGACTAAAAGGAAAATGACAATGCTTCACGAAGGAGCGCTGTCATATCGAAAGTTTGGCATAAACTCGTTCTGGCTGATTGATACTTTCTGACTCTCGAGATGTTGGTACAGTAGTGTAGCAGGGGCACTAAGCATTTCAAACATCCATGGAATTTATGCATATCACTATCTCTAATCTAGTTGGAGTATCTCTGTAGGTTCTTCTACTCGGCACCAGGACGTTGCACCTTCGTGGGGCGCACTGCCGCAGATGCTGAGCCCTTCAGTACAGCGTGTTTGCGCTTGCGTAGCTGCTTGGTGCGGCGCTTGTGTTCGTTCTTCTGCATGCGCCGCTGGGCTGCGCGCTGCGGGTCAGACACAGCTTCGGTGCGACGCTGGAGCTTGCGGGCGGCTCTGCGCGCAGCCATCTTCCTCTGCACGAACGAGTACGCCTCCAGGAAGGGCGTGGCGCCGAGCTTGTTCTCCAGCAGCTGCAGCACCTCCTGCGCCAGAAGAGCGCCCTCGGGCGGCGTCACGGGCTCCAGTGCGGGACCACTTCTCCGGTTCTTGTTACGGTTGCGCTGCTGTTGCTGCAGCGCCACCTGCTCCTGCTGCGCCTGCATTTCCTCGAGCTTGCTCGTCGCGCGATACAGCGGGTTGATGATCTGGACGACGTACTTCTGCGCGAACTCAGCGTCATGGCCGTGAAGCAAAGCGGCGAACAGCTTGAACACCACAGCTTGGACCTCGTTGCTGCAGTTCGAGCCGCGCGCAACGTACGAGAGACGAGTAAGCAACCAGCCCATGGGAGTGCGCGACTTAGCGCGCTCCTCCTCCTTCTCCTGCTCTTCGCGCTGCTGCAGATCTGCCTCGTCCTCCTTCTCGTCGCTCTTCTCCTTCTCAGCATCAGAGGTATCTTCCTCCTCCTCTTCGACGTCGACCTCGACAGGAGCAGCCTCTTCTACTTCGTCCTTCGCCACAGCGTCGGCAGCAGCCGTCACATCCTGCGGGATGTCGGTGGTTTCGAGCGCCTCGCATAGGAACGGAAGCGCGGTGAGCACTTCGGTAGCCAGCTCTTCGTTCAGAGCTGGCGCTTCAAGCATCTTGCATAACGCACTTGCCCAACTGAACAAGCGGCCAGGACGCTGGAGGTACAGCGCGCCATTGCGCAGACGGTCGAGGGCATCGCCCGAGAGACGCTTCACTGGGGCTGCGAACGCCAGCGTGTTGGCCTGTCGACGACGCAAGTAAGACGTCAACAGCCGGGTGGCACCAAGACGCACCCACGCGTGCGGGTACTGCAGCAGCGGCAACACGACCGCGTCCAGGAAGTTCTTCGTAGGCTTGGACTCCTCGAGCCAGATCTCGTACGGCCCGGCAAGGTGGTCGCTGAAAGCGGTAAGGGCCGCGCAGACGTGGTACGTCGGCTGCCAGCGCACCTGGTTGCTGTCTTCCACGATCTGGAGCTCGCGTAGACTGCGCTCAAGTGCCGTCCGCGTCGAGGCTAGGACCTGAGGAGCGCTGCGCTCGAAGAACTCGGGACGAGTCTCCAACACAAGTGTCGTCACCTGTGCAGCAGCGCCCAGTAACTTCACGGCGTCTGCCGCCTCGGAGCCCGCAGCTTGCGACCACCACGCACCCACTAGCAGAATACTCTCGTTTAGCTCCTTGTTGCCCAGACGACGCACCAGCGTGCTCAAAGCAGCCCGGGCAAGGTCACGGCATTTAGACGCCTCGTCGTTCGCCAGACGCAGCACGAGCGGCAAGAAGAAGAACTGAGACCGAGCGTTCACCAGGTCCTGCGGGAGCTTCGACAGAAGAGAACGCAGAGCCTCAAGCACAGCAGAGCGGCCCGTTGCATGTCCGTAGCTCAGGTTGTCAACCAGGAACTTCAGGTGCCGAGAGAGACGCTTGTTACCAAGAGGGTACTCAAGCAGGAAGGTCTGGTAGATGGTAGCACAGTTCAGACGAGCGCCAGGGGCGTCGCTTTGCACCAGCAGCTCGCCGACACGAAGCATCACGTCGTACACCTCGCTCACCACAAGACGCGAGTTCACAATGGCCTTCAGCAGGGCGAAGGTGGCATTTTGGTGGTCTTGCTCGTCCAGATCAGCACGCAAGAAGCTCAGAAGAACACGCAGTTGCGGCTCCGTGAGTCGGAGAGCGTCGCTCTTGGAGTCCTTAGCAGCATTGCCGTTCTTCTGTGCAAGCTCAAGTCCTTGCTGTTGTCGGAGCAGCGCAGTGAGCGTGCGGTAGCACGTCTGCACCATCTCGTTATGAGTCGCAGCTCCGGCCTGCTGCAGAATCTTGAACAGGCGATCGAGAAGAGGCGAGCGGGCCACACGCAGCGCCGGGAGCTCTTCCTGACGGGGAAGCAGCGAACCAAGACACTTCAGCGCAGTGATGACAGCGCGGTCGTTCTTTGACTCACCAGCACAACGCATGAGCAACGGCACGAGCGGGTCGACCAGCTGAGCCGGAGCGTTGGAAGTCTTCTTTCCATCCTCGTCCTGGTCCTTCGCACTTCCGTTCTTGCGCAGGAACGAGAACACCAGGAACACGGCGAAGTTCAGCAGCTCTCGGAGATGCGCCGTGCTCTCCGCCAGGAGGGCAGCGATTTCCTGGCGCTTCTGCTTCTTGGTCTTGCTTTGCTGCTGCTGTCGCATCTTGTCGAACCCAGTCACTTGCTGCTGCATGGCGACGCGGACGGTGTCGCGGGCATTCACTCGGGTCGCAAGCAGCTTCGTAGCAGTCGCACTCTTCTCCGACACGAGCCACGAAGTCACCAGTTCCGTGCTACTGCCCGCTGATTCGTACTGCTTCTTTTCCCTTTCAGTGACAGGACGCAGGCTTTCAAGACTGGAATTGAGCACGTTGTACGCGTACAGGAACATGTAGGACGACTCCACGGACGGGTTCTTGGCAAGACCAATCGCCACACGCTTCAGTCCCTCCTGCAGTGCCGCCGTAGCTTGCGCACCAGCATCCGTAGCCTGGAAACGCTTCACCAGCGCACTGACGACTTCGTGAATGCTGGGGTTGGGCAGGAACGGCAATGATCTACCCAGCAACTCAAGCGAGTCCAAGCTCCGTCCACTGCTCGCACGAGCCTCCTTCATCTTGGACTTCTGCGCCGTCTTGCGTTCCACGCCACCAGCGGCAGCCTCGGCAGCTTCACCGATAGTCGTCATGCCCTGGAACAACTCCGCGGCCAAGATTTCCATGAGGCTGGGTACGCAAGCATCCAGCGGTGACGCAAAGTCGGCCTCTTGTTGAGCCTCCTGCTGTTTGTCCTGAACAAGCAGCAGTGATTGGGGCTTGCGAAGACAATTTGTCTGTCCGTCCACCTGCATGATCTCCGGCAACTTCTCCAGCAGCGCGTGCACTGTGAACGACAGCACATGGACCATGTATCCATCACGCAGAGTGTGACGGAGTTCTTGTACAATTGGCAGAAGGAAACGGGGGCCAAGCTCCACAGCAATGCGCACGAGCGTAGTGCGAGCTGACACACGGACAGCCTCATCCTTGCTCTTGAGCAGGTTCGCGAAACGGAGCAGCAACTTCGGCAGCTCACGCTGGAAGGTCTCAGCGCGCAGTCGGCGCAGCACCTTGACGACCGCCAGCGCGAGGGGAACGCGCACAGATACAGCTTCCTCAGAGACAGAGGTCGAGTCACCATCGTTGTCCTGAGACTTTGAGTTCTTCTTCGACGCAACACCCTTGAACAGGTAAGAGTACAGCATCGGAAGGACCTGACTCTCCATGTTATCCTGGACCTTGGTAGCACCATCTTCATCCTCGTCGGCGTCCTCATCATCAGCTTCGTCATTCTTGGTGCCAGTCTTAGTTGATGAGCTCTGCCACTCAGTAGCAGCACCTGGCGCCTCGAAGTGGAAGTGGTCGATCACTGCACAGATGGACATAATGATAGCGCCCTCCATTTCAACATGTCCGTCGATCGACTTCAGCAGTCGGCGAAGCAGCGACAGGTAGTGCGACCAACCCAGAAGACCAGCAGCACTTCCCACGCAGGCAGCAGCTTCTGCACGGAGAGACTCCTGGCTCTTGGCGTGGGTCTCGTAAACGAAGTGCATCACCAGAGGGAGGATGACTCCATTCACAGTCGAATTCGAGAGCCATTGAGGCTCATCACTCTCCTCGCCGTCGCCATTCTCCTGAACCTTAGAGGCCATCAAGTCCATAAGAGCACTCAGACGCTGCAAAGCACGACGCCTGCGGTGAGCCTGAATGTGCGTGATGTTGTAGAAGAAGTCGGCTTCAGGGTCCTCCTGATTGCGCGCCAAGATCAGGTCCGTCGGAATGAACGCAAACTGCTTAAACTCCTTGTGCTTGTCCGCCAATGATCCCAGCAGCGTCACGAAGCCGCGTCGTGTATTCTCATCGGTCGAGCGCAGACTTGATCGCACGCAAGGCATCACTAGGGATTCGAGCGCGTTGAGCAAGGGAGACTTCGCAGCGTCTTCACGCTCGCTTTGCTCCACAGCAACATCTCCAGCAAGACCCAAAAAGGTCGTCAGCGCAGCTAGTGCACCGCTACGCACAGAAAACTCAGAGTCGTGCATGCACTGCAGACATTGCGCCACCAACGGCGCCAGCAAATGGGTCTCGTTCGTGAACCCAGCAAAGCGCGTGGAGTTCAGGCGGTTCAGCGCAATAAGGCGACGTTCGTAGTCGGTCTCTTCAATGCGCTTGGCATCGTACGCATTGAGTTCGTCCAGCAACTCGGCCACAGGAGCCAGCTCTGTGAGCGTGGGGTGCGCACCAAGAGCAGTGAACACCAGCACAAGTTTCAGACGAGGATCACGATCGGCGATGCAGTTCGGGCCGGGTGCCAACAACCGCGCGAGGGCAAGCACATGCTTCTTGGGCTCCGAAAGCTTGGGAACCAAGTGTGCCAAGACCTCGAGCAGGTTCTCCTTGTCCTTGGTTGACGTTTGGTGGTTGCGCAGCAAGAACGGCAACAACAACTGGAACAAGTCGTGTGCAGCAACAGCCACATCTCCCTTGGAGGCATCAAGGTGGTGCGAGAGACGACACAGGAACGTGAGCTCCTTCCGCGACGATCCTGCGTACCGGTCACTCGCGTAGCGCGCAGCCTTGGCTTGGAAACGCTGCACGAACTGTTCCAACACGAAGGGAATGTGAGTCACTAGCAGCACCTTCTCGTCCGCCTTGGATGCAGCCATAGACTCGTCTTCAGACAGCAGACGTTCATCTCCGTCAAGCAGCGAGTCCATGAATTGGAGGATCGAGTCCAGGATCTCCGGCGAAATGCCACGAGAAGCCGCCGACGTAGCGCTCGACGATGACAGCCCAGCAGACAAACAGGAGACGACATTCAGCACCAGAGGCTCGGGAACCCACTGACGCGCTCTGTCAGCGCGACCCATCGCCACAAGCAATTCCAAGAGCGCTGATGCCTTGCCAGCACCGACGACAGCGTTAGGCAGGTGGACAATGGCTTCGCGCGAGGTTTCCAGCACAGCTTCCACCCATGGTTGGAGTGGGACAAGCGTGTCGAACTACAACAAGAAAATCAATGATGATAAAGGTTAGTGCCATCAATGATATCTGTCAAACAATGATGAAGTGTTCGTACCGTGTCAATCAACTCAGCCAATCGGCGGTAGGTCAGCATGCGGATCTGCTTCTTCATTGACGCAGACGTAGCCAAGGTCTCCACATTAGATGACGCCTCCTCAGCCTTGCGCTTTGAGCCCACTGCGACCACGCCGTCATTGTCATCCTCGGCGTCCTTCTCATTGTCATCGGCTTCGCCAGCGGTAATGCTAATCTGAAGAATCGCCACCAGCACATCAGCGATCTGAGGCACGAAAGCAGCCAGCTTAACTCCAAGCTGGTTGATAAGGTCCTCCACCAAATTCAAGAAACCCAGAATGCGCGAGGGCTGTACGCTTGACACAGCAGACACGGGCGTAACTTCGCCAGCAGCAACCACAGCGTCCTCGGGTGCTTCAATCGTAACATCGAATGCCCGCACGACCAGCTCCACAAAGCTGGCAAGCTCAGGCGCCTCTAGCGCTGCCAGGTACGCCAGGATAGCGGCACGACGGGCGGCCACAGTGTCGCCGTTGTTACGACCCTTCTTGCTCACGCACTTGGAGTACAGAAGCCTCAGCAACACAGGCAGCAACTCCGGACGGTGCTCGCGTAGGACAACACCTTCCCCTTCGCCCACCTTGAAGCTCGCCAGTTCCTCACGGAATGAAGATGAGTCCGTAAGTCGATTCAGTTGTGTCTTGTACGTCACGAGAGCCTTGCTACCGAAAGCGTACAGACATTGCAGAGCCAGCTTTGACACAATTTCATCCGACTTCATCAGCAGATCAAAGAACAGCGCATGCAGCAAATGCTGTGCGTATGCACCCTTCATGTTGTGGAAGGTGGCGAAAAGCTTCAGCTGATCCACGAACTTGCCTCGCACTTCCTTGGTCGTCAAACCCTGGAATTCAACTGGCTTGCGCCAGGCTGGAGAGTCCGCTTCGCTGGTCTCTTCAAGCTTGACAAGGGCCTGGTCGATCTCTTCGAGCTTCTTAGAGTCCAGTTCGTCCGTGTAAATGGCACTGTACTGGTCGCGCAAGAATGTCAAGAAAAGCGGTACCATGAACTTCGTCTTGGCTTCCACAAGATCGGCAAACTTCATCAAGCCCTTCCACAGAAGCGAGTGGTGAGTGGCAGCATCAGTAACGCCAGAGGCCGGGACTTGGCCCTGCTCCAACATGCAGACACGTTTAAACTCTTCCACAACACCACTTTGGTTCTTGAACTCGTCATCCTGCTTTCCATTCTGGTCTTCGTGGCGGAGCGAAGCAACAAGAAGTTCCGCGCTAATGCAAGGCCAGAATTCGTTGAAGTGCAGACGCGAGGCCGTCTCCATCGCGTCGGCAATGTGCGGCCAGATTGTCGAGAACTTGACGTGGTACAGACCCAGTAACTGGTTCACAGCAATCTTCTTGTACAGCTCCGGAGTTTGGGCTGAGCGGCACAGAATCTTCACACGGGTCAGCAGGCGCACCACCTCACGTTCAGTGGCTACCGAAATGTCTTTGCATGCCAGCTCGAGATTGACGCAGATGTCCGGAAGATCACACGGACCGCTGAGGGAGCCGCTGTCAGACTCAATAAAGCTCGAGCGCTTGAATCGGGCCAGCAACTGAAGTGCCACCAAACGCAGCGCATGCGCAGGCAAGCGCAGAGTTGCCAGGAGAGAGTTAGTCACACGCGGCAGTGCTTCGGTTGAAAGCACTGCGTGCTGCTTCTCCTCAGGCTCCATTTCAACGAGCATCAACAACGTTGACAGAGTCTTGTACGAAGATTCCTTGCCGACAAGTGCCTGCTCCACATACTTGGTCGTAATCGCCGAGCCCTTAATCTTGCTCTGGTGCTTCGCAATCTGCTCCAGCTGCCACAACTCAGCACGCAATGATGCAATTTCCGTAGTCAGCGTCGATGCCTTGTCCTTCAACTGCTTGTCGCACTTTGTGATTAGCGGCGTAGTGAATGCAGTCAGTTTGGCGTCGTTCAGCTGCAACAACTCCAACGCCTTGCAGAACTTCCAGCTCAGCGCCAAATTGTCAACGCTATCGAGCTGTTTGAAAAGCTTCATGCCAGCGTCCAGCAGTACCTTGTCGGCACCTGTGTCAATCTCCTTGAACGAGAGCAACCAGTATCGGCTGTTGGTCTGTGAACGCACAATATACGGGCTCTGTCCCTCGTTGATCTCTCCAGCATTGTCAGCAACGTACTCGCCAAGCTGACACACGAGCGAGCTGAAGGCTGCCGCATCCGTCGTCACGAGCGTCTTCAGCGCGAACTCCAAGGCGTTGGGGATCAAGAATTCCACAACAAACCCCACATCAACGTGCGCGTTGTGCAGCTCCTTGTCCACAAACTCCAGGAGCTTCTGGCGCCAGTATTCCTGCTCATCCTCGTTCGCTGCCACGGCAAAAATGGCCTTCACCTGCGCCGAAATCACGTCGTCTTCAGCGGGGAACAACCTCCACACCGCCTCAAAAGTCTGCATAATCACGTCTCGCAGCTCGTCGCTGTGCGACGTCAGCACCTGGTTCTCCGGCGCCACCAACGCCGCACAGACCTTGTGCACGCTGGGCACGCGCACTTCGTACGCATCGCTCGCGCTCGTCAGCAGCTTACCCATGCGCGAAATCAGAAATCCAAGCAGCACACTCAGCACGCGACTCAAGTACAGATCATCCGCCTCGGAAGGCTTCTCCTCCTTCTCATGGCGAATGTTCGCCACCTTGTTCACGACGAGCACGAGGCACTCGAGCATCTCTCCAGAGTGGTCCGCATCCGTGTGCTTCATCATCTGTCCGCACGTCTGGTAGACGATCTCAAACACCGCTTCCCTCTGCTCCAACTGCTCCTGCGTCTCCTCCTCCGCCGTCTTCTTGGGCCTAAACGACCCCAGCAGATACAGCAGCACCTCGCGCATCCGCGAGTGGAAGCCGTGGTTCACATTCTTCACCAACGAAAAGAACAGCTTCGCCGAGCCATCTCTCAGAATCTCGTTGCTGCGTCCAGAGCCCTTGACGAGCGCCGTGAGGTACGCGCCCAGGTACTTCCTCATGGTTTTGGGGCCCTCCAGCCTCCTCAGCAGCACGGCCAGCGTCTGCGCCGCAAAGTCGCGCACGAACTCCCTGGGGTGGCCCAGCAGCGGGAAGTAGCACTTGTGCACGGCCTCCATGTCGGCCAGCAGCTGCACCCTCAGGTACGTGAAGAGCATGGTCAGCGTCTTGAACACCTGCGTGCTGAGCTCCGGGTCCTTGGTGTCAATGACCGCCACCACATGGGGCAGGACGCTGGCGAAGTGCGGGTAGAACTCCTTGCCCAGCTCGCGGGCCAGCGCCGTCACGAGCTTGAGCACGGGCACGAGCCGCTGGCGCAGCACGACGGGGTCGCTCTCGCCGCTCTTGGCCTGCTGCAGCTCCGTGCGCAGCGCCCTGACGACCTTCTTGAGGTGGTGCAGCAGCTGCGGCGTCGTGGCCACCAGCGGCTGCAGCGTGCGGAACAGGAGCTGGAAGGCGTCGAGCGTCGTGAGCTCCGCCTGGAGGCTTAATTCCTCCTTGAAGGAGAGCACGGACGCCTCGTCCACGGCGCCCGTCGTCTTGGCGTGCAGCGTCAGCTCATGCTGCAGGCCGCTTACGCGCTCCTCGACCTTCTGGAAGCGGTGGCGCCGCTTCTTGGCGGGCGGCGGCGCGTCCATCGCGAGAGTGATTGTCTGTGTGTCGTTTGGTTATGAGCCTTTGGCCAGTCAATCATGGGTATTGGTTGGTGGTCCGCCAAGTTCTGGGCAGAGACGGGGATGGTGCGAGGGTTTTGACCAATCAGAGGCGGAAGAGAAGATGAAGTTGTACTTTGGGAGGAAAAAGGAGAACATTATCTAGTTTTGACACGGTATCTGATAGGTACTCACACCTCATAGCTCTTCGCAGTCGAGGTTTTGGTCACAATGGACTTCACCGATACATGTAGCACGTTTTATTGTGTCGTTTCGGGTGTGTATGTGGTCATTGAAGCGTGTCTTTAACCTAAGAAGCGTTCGTTCATTCGAAGGAGCTGCTTCGAATTAGCGTCTCTACCCAACGCACTCTTCAGTCTGGCCGCATCGATGTCTGCCCTGGCCCAGTATTGGAAAGTGCTTTCGCGCAGCTTATTCTTCGCTAGGAGGTCAGCCACGTGCTCCTTAGGAAGCTTCGCATTCGTGTACAGCAACCAGTTCAGAAAATCCTTGGGCAGCTTCAACAGCAAGTTCATCAGCGCCTCCAACACTCGCTCCTCTTCACCCACGTTCACACTTTTGGCAGTTCTCAGGAGCCGCTTGCTTGGCTTATCATTCGACAGCACCGCGGTGGGCTGAGTGTGGTCCACAATGGACACTTGTCGACTCAGCATTCGCGAAGACCGCCTCGCAGCTTGAAAGGAGGGCGACCGTAGGGTGTAACTCAGGCGCATGGCGGTCAACTTGTGTGGCTCAATGCGTTTGAGCGCTTCGAAGCGAAACTCGAAGTGACGCAGTGTGAGTGTTAAACATATCTGGAAATCTACAACGTGCTTTGATCGGACCGAATCTTTTGATTAAAGTACAGTTCGGTACAGGCATGTGTCGTTCCCTTTTTGGCGTGATGAAGTTGACGATCGTTAGAATTCACTGTCAGTGAAGATTTTCGCCCTCCAAACATCACATGGAGCCGGCAATAATTGCTGGCCGACACGTTTGCACTTCACAGCGCAATCCTCTTCGGAAAGTTCATCTCGCTCCTCAAAGTGTACATGAACGTGAACAATTGAGACAAATTCAAATGTAAAAATACTAATCAGCCAGAAGTACGAATCCCTACATACGCACTGTATCGCTGAAAGAGGCGTGCGTTGCGCTGATTTGGACTCTGAAAGGGGGACGACAAAGAAATACTTCGAAGTATGTGTTGGTGACTGTGCTACGTACAAATAAAAAATCATTTGCGTCGTTGTTTCCTTCTCAATTTTAAAAAGAAATTCGCTTGCAACACCTCGATATTTCGAGGGCTGTACGCAAGATTTTAATCGACTGAAAGCTCCTGTAAAATGTGGAGAAAGCGTTTTGATTGATTGATCCATCGGTTTTTATTCTGCATCCTTTTCAGTGAGGAATTTGCTGACGGAGTGAGAAGGAAAATGAAGATCGTGGGGGCGTTCGTGGGGTTCAAGGCCAATTATTTCGTCGTGGACGTCGACGAGAACACGACAGTGAGTGATTTGAAGTGGGCTATCAAGAGAATGAGATTGGATAAGGTTCCAGGCAACGCAAATAGGCTTCAGCTTTTTGTAGCCAAGACGAGCGATGGCTTGTGTGCTTTGTTGGCAAGCGACGGAACTGGGGTGTGGTTTAAGTTCGACTGTACCACCGGTACAAAATGTACCCAATCACGAATGTCCACCTTGGCTTCGAGGCGCATAGCGCGGAGGACCTGGACAATATCCCTGTTGACTCTCTCAATTGACCCATTAGTCCACGGACTGTATGCCACCGTAAAGCGCTGCCCACAGGTAAGACGTCTCGCCACCTCGGTCACCACTTGGTTCTTGAAGTGGGTGCCCTGGTCGCTTATCCAACCCGAGGTACTCCGTAGCGGCTGTGCCAGTCGAGGATTGCTTCAGCTGTCACCGCTGGTGTAGGTACAGCACACGGTACTAGCTCGCAAAAGTGGGTCGCATCATCCTTTAGCACCAGTTGGTACTGCAAGGCGCCAAATGATTCACCAAGATGTAGGTAGTCCCAATGTAAAGCTCCATTTCGTTCGCTGCATCGGAATGTCTCTGCCCATGGTCTCATCACCATCTTCCCCCCTTTTGCATGCTGGCACATGAGGCAGCCAGCAAGGAAAGTCTTGACTAGGGCGGAGAGATTCCGTATGAGGAACCTGCGGTTCACCACGTTCATCAGCGCTTCGCGGCCTCTGTGACCCTGCGCCCCACAGTGGGCGATCACTAAAAGTCGTTGAACCAGACTCGTTTCGGCGCTAGGAACCCAAATCCGTTCATTACCACACAATAGACCACCATCACTCCGTGTCAGGCCTTGTGGCCGGTCGACAATGTGCCGCTGCTGAGCTTCTTGCAGCTCTTCAACTGTTGGCCATTCAAAGTTGCCGTCGCTGAACGGCCGAATTCGCGGTCGGTCGTTCGGTCGACTAGTTGAGTCACCGGACTGGTCCTCATCACGCTGGCGGTGCAGTGTGACGCGCTTCACTGCCACACTTGGTGCGGGTCGTGTGCCTGCCCATCGAGACACCATATCAGCCCACACGTTGTGTGTTCCATCGATATGCTCAATAGTATACCAAAACTCCATCAATTTCATTGACCATCTCAACAGCTTGCCACGAACATGCTTCTTCACCTCACGACCCGGCGCGAACACATGAATCAGGTTGCGGTGGTCACACTACATGCGAAAGCCACCCGGCCGCAACAACAAGTAGCTCAGCGTGTCGCACGCCATGATGATAGGGTAGGCCTCTTTTTCGATAACGCTCCAATTCTTTTGTGCTCCAGTAAAAGTACAACCAAGACAGATAAGCAGCTCATGTTGCTGGTCCTGGATGTCTGCATCACTTTTCCAACTGGGCACTTGCGTCACGACCACTGACCATCCAATGTCTGAGGCGTCCGTCAGCAAAACCATCTCTGCACCGGCTTTGGGAACGCGCAGAGCCTGCGTCGTACACCACGCATTCCTGCTCGGTAAGTGCGATCGGTGTACCCGCAGCCGCACGCTTCGTTCGCCTTGACGCCTGAGCCATCGCTTTGTCCAGTGTGTCCTGCAGAGGACGTGCTAATCGCGCATAGTCTACGATACTGTCTCTCACCCAGTTCGTAGAGCACAAGAACTGCTGGAGTTCTCCGGCATTCGTCGGGTAGGGCATCGACTGTAAGGCTTGGATGCGGTCTGAGTCATGCTTCACACCTTCACCGTTGATCACTTTCCCACACCACTTCAACTCACGTTTATATACACAGGATTTCGAAACACTCAACTTGAAGCCGAACTTGGCCGTCAACTCAAGCATATTCTGCAACTTGTCCAGGTATGTGTCAATGTCGGCGGCGTACAACAGTAAGTCGTCTATCCAGACTAACAAATGCTTGTACAGCAGTGCTGCAAAGCACCGCTCAATGGTCGACTGGAAATACAACGCAGCGTCGGCACTGCCTTGAGGTACTCGCGTTGGGGTGTAGATCTTGCGGTGGGTCATGTAGGACAACAGCTCCTGGCACTCTTTGGCAAGTGGGAGCTGCCAGTAGCCTTTAATGAAGTCGAACAACCCAAAGTAGTTGCTGCCTCTCACATTCTCCAAATCAACGTGCAAGTTGGGCATTAGTCCCGTTGAAAGGTTTGTAGTCCACAGTCTGCCTAAAATCACCAGCGCCACGCTTCCGCACAGGTAGCGCGGCACACGCCCAACGGCTGGTCGGGTTCTCGTAAACCCACCCGAGCTTCACCAACATCTCGTTGAACGACTCAAGAAATGCCTGGTACTCGGGCGCATACTTGCGAGGCTTCGCCTTGTACGGCCTACAGCCCGTCTTCATCCTAATTCTCATCGGTTCCACATTTGCAGGTGGATCATCGCCGAGAACTAGCCTCCAGACATCATAGGCGTACACAATCGTGCGCAGTCGCTCGACTTTGTCGGCAGGGAAGCCTTCATCTAGAGCACGCTGGATCATTGCCTCTACTGCCTGTCGAATCGCCTCCGCGTCATTGTCTCCTGCTGCTGCTTCAGGAACTTCTTCGTCGTCATCTCCGTCGTCGCCTCTTGGTGTGGCTAGCAGCTCCAATTGGCGCTCGACATCGATTCCTAAAGCCTTCAGCACATTATCTCCAAGTAAAAATTCATCTTCCTTATTATCGAGAATCAAACACGGCACCGGTTTCAGAATATTGACAGGGCCAGCGGCGGTCATGAGCGAGAGCCTTAGTTTCGTCATTTCGCGCGCCCACGTCTGCTCTCCACCCGGCAGCTTGTACTCGATCGGGGTCTTCAATGTCATCACTTCAAAATTCACACCTCCCTCACCAATTTTCTTCAGAGTCGTAGAGCTGATACACGATGTCTCCGCGCCCGAGTCCGGACAGTACTCCATATCCACGACACCACCAACACGCAGTAATCGGGCTTGGCCCACTCGATCGGGTAGGCACTCTCTAATTCGTCTTAGTTTTACGATTTCTCCCCGGTTTCTGCCTCCGTGTTCCAGCGGCATCGTCGGCTGGCTTGTCGGGGCAATTGGCTTGACGGTGCTGGCCACCACAGGTCCAACACCCACCCTTAGGCCCTGGCTGGGCTTGCTCCGAGTCGGTCCGAAATATATTCCTCTGAGCTGCCGGTGCCTGAGATTCGCGAGGGTTTTGCTTCTCACGTACGATTCTGCCACGCTTCGGGGGCCTCGAGGCCAATTCCTGCTTTGACTCCTGCGTGTGAGGTCGCCTCTTGTTCTTCGTGTGAGCTTTGTCCTCGCGATCAATTTCCAACGCATTCTCACTCACGAGCTTGAACAGCAGCGACACACTGGACTTTGCGGCAGGCAAGCGAAAATCAATCTCGTTCTTCACTCGGATTTTCAATTCTCGAGGTAGACAGTTGAGCAGGACCTTGCACTTCTTCTTGGTCCCGTCCTCCTCTGAGAACAAAGCCGTCAGCCCATTCGTTTTCACTATCGTGTTGCACAGGTGGCAATAGTCCATGACTCTCGCATCAATATCAGACTTGGTTGTTGACATCACTAGCTGAGCCTGAAACAACTCGTCGATGTTCGGCAAAGCGTTGTTCTTAAAGTTCCGTACGGTCGCCATGATCCACTCCCAGATGAACTCATCGCTGAGCTCGTCCTTTGACTTATCCCATTTCGTCTCACACAGTGTCTCGAGGAAGCTGTCGTCGAACGAGTTGCGTATCGAACGCATGACAGACTTCAGGTCCTTCCCAGACGACACACACAGCGCGCCCTCATGATCTCTTCGTACTCGAGCCGAAGGTCGACCCAGCGGGTGAGCGCTTCGTGCGAGATGTCTTCGACCTTCGGCGCTGCAGTGACCATAAAGATCGGGTGCGCGACCGAAGGGTAGTCGGTCTCCTGGCTGGTCGTCAGCGGCATCGAGCCACCTCCCAACCCCACCGGGACCGACTCGGTCTCCTGCTGCCGAGCTCTACTCGCGCCAGCAGTGCGCACAGATTTCTTGCCCTTGCCTCTTGTTGGCCTGGCTTGGCCTGCTTGCTTCGTTGATGCAGCCGCAGTCTTCCTCGGCCGCAGGGTTCGACCCGTGCTAGCCGCCTGCTGAGTCGCAGCGACAGCAGGAGTCGCATCCGTCGACGTCGTTCCGTTGTCCATGTCGTTTCCTTCGACACTAAAGTTAACTTTGTAGTGGGATCCGAATGAACACATGCTAGGGAAGCTGGTGCTTCCTGTAAACTCTTGCTTGTATTTTAGTCTGCAATTTCCAGGTTGAGATCGGCAGGGACTTCGTCAGATACCTCCACTGCACTATGTAGCTATCCTCCTAGGGCCTACCAACCTCCGAGTCTTATCTTACACCAGCCTCGACTGGGACCGTCCTCGGTCGCCAGCCCGATGCGTGGTCAGGTCGTGAAGACCGTCGCCCCACTACATTCAGTGTCAAGACGAATTTTTCACGCAGTTACCAGCAGTCGATGAAGTTGATGGCTGGCTCCGATTTCAATCTCAAGTGCCGTTAACACGAGCGCACGCGATCTTCGTCCGCTCTTCCTACAAAATAGTTGCCGACCAAGCGTTAAGGCAGAGAGGCCCGAGCTGCCCAAAGTAAACACTTGTGACGGGCACTTCTGGGAATGGGAAGTCAGTCTTTCTTTACTACGTGCTCTGGAGATTGATGAAGGACATAAAGCGCGTGATTTTCCTTACGACGACACCAGCTCTGTATTTTGACGGCACTTCCGTTTGGGAGTACGACGAGTTGCCTTCGAGTTTTGAGCCGTTCTGGTCGCCGGACTTGTGGTGTCTCGTGGACTCTGCAGACCCAACTCGCATCGAAAGGTTCCCGATTCACGAGTGTTCTGTTATTCTCGCGAGTGCACCCGCAGGTTCGCCACAGCGCAACTATATCCACCGCTTCAGGAAGCTCGAGCCCATCCCACATCCACTTTACATGCCAGTTTGGACTGCGGAAGAACTCAGGGCGATCGCTCTCATCCTAACCATCTACGAGAGAGACCGTCCAGTGTGTCCGTCCCGTGTGAAGCCCGTGTCCACATAATAGAGGTGGTCCACATAATCATACATAGACAGCCTTGGACGCCGAAGGCGGCCCCATTACAAGCTGCCGAGCGAAGCGAAGGCGGCACCCGCGTGCGATCTAGCGGGCTGCAGGGCCCGCCCAACTACTTAATTACTCATAACACTGCGAGTAGTGCAGCGAGCCGACGAGGCGAGCGGAACGGGGGCGATTACCTTACCCCCGCCGCGACGCTTGGCCTAATACGTTTTGGGACACCTGCTATTAATTAAAATGGGCCCGAGTAGTAGCAGCTATCGCTGGGGTGGTGCTACTTAGTATAATAGCGCTGTAGCGACGTTTGCTTCATTTAAACACACGCTACGATAATTGACATGGTAGTAAGCGATAGCAGGGTATAGTTAGCGATAGTGGCGGAGAGTAAGCGATAGCAGCGGATAGTAAGCGATAGAAGCGCATAAGCGATAGAAGCGACGTAATAAGCGACAGCAGTGCGCGTACATGCAGTGGAAGGTGTTCTCTGACACTCATATCATATTTTTACTGTAATTATTAAGGAATGGACATATTATAGCTACAGCGGCGCTCTGCGTTGATCTTGGGGGGATATTTAGCTACACCTGCTTAAACGCGTTTCGTATATCTTGAAGGTACAATGTGTAGCGTTAGGAGAATGCGTTAGTGGGGTAGTAGATAATATTCACTGAGTGGAAGCCTTTTATTATAGTTTACGCTGGGATTCCTTTTCTAACCGTGTTATGGGGCAGATATACACGCAGGAAACCGAATTAACAAAGGGCAAACGTGACTTTATAACTATGTAGTTACGAGTGGGAACTCTCTATATCCAACCTACTGTAATGCAGGTGGTACACTAAAATGGTAATGTTCGCCGCGTAGTAGAATAATAAACCATAGCCACGTCTAAAACAATGAGTTTTGAAGTAGACCACGCAGGTAGTTAGCGCAGCCCGCAGCTACGTTTTGGCGGAACATACGAAATACTAAAACGATGATGTATAGTCGGTATTTATATAAGATCACAAGCACTTAATGTAATGCTAAGTACAGGAACAGCGAAGCGCATACTTTGATTATCTGGGCTTATAGCCTGATTACAGGCTGTACTTACTAAATGGCATAGCCTACGGACCAAATAACAGAAACTATGGTGACTTTACTGACGACACCGTCGATAGCAACATCTACCCCGCCACAGCAAGTAGTAGCTCATGTCATTGCTTATTTCAACTACGTTTACTACAATGGCGACTTTGTAGTCGTATTAACTAATTGTATGTGGACCCAATTTACAACAGAATACCGTACAAAATAGAATGTTTAACCTTGCAACATGCAACTACTTATAGACACCCTGATGTAGGTCTAATGGTGGAATATTTACGAAGCTGATACCAGAAACGTCACTCTACTGATAGTACTTTCGACCAAATTTTTTTTACCTACACACAACGAAATTCAAACCTTTTGAAGTGGATAAAAGCCCACCGGAGCGGAGGTGGGCGGCCCTAACTACTACGACTAAACCACAAAACCTTCCGCCGCGTAGCGGCGGCGCTCGGCTAGTCTACAACAACTAACAGAGAGATCTGCCCGTGTGTAAGTCCGTGTGAAGCCCGTGACAACATAATAAGGTGGTCCACATAATCGTACCTAGGCTGCCGAGCGAAGCGACGGCGGCCCCGTCGCCGAAGGCGACCCCCCCGATACGATATTGCGGGGCCGCAGGACCCGCCCCAGCCTCTATACTACTAACCTAATATTGAGAGTAGTGCAGCGAGCCGACAAGGCGAGCGGAACGGGTGCATAACAACTAACTACATTATAAATTCTATCCGCCGCGTAGCGGCGGCGCTCGGCTAGTTATTTCCCAAGGCAAAAGATGTTTGGGAGCATCGATTCGAAGTTTTGGGTGGCATTCCTCGGTATGTGTTCCAAGACATTCGTGCCAATTATTGCTGGATGCGTGCTATGATTGCTCGATTGACGATTGCATTAGTCCAGTCTACGCGGAATTTGATCACAACACGTACGCCAAGCAAATGCTCCTTCACGTGAAGGCCGAAGCCCCCTACCAAGACGCTGAGTCGGAATACGCTACCAAAACGGCCTTGAAATTCGCTGCTCGGGTCATGTGGCAGAAAGATAGCGCAAAGATGAAAGGCTTTGTCGGCCCTCTTCATTATGTTCCACTCGCCAAGACGCTCTGCGTGTATGCGTTCGCGCCCTATGCAATGTTCAAGCTGCAGTGGGGAGGGACGTTCGAGTGCCGCAGGTTGCTCACCGGCAATAAGCGTACCTTGCCAGACAACGAGGAAGACGAAGAAACGATCACCACCGGATTCATGGGGGAAAATGTGGAGAGTATGGAGCATGGAATGGAGGAGGGTGTGCTGTACGTGCCGAAGAAACCGAAGTGCGTTCCACTTGATGCGTGGGTCCCGGGCTTTGGGGGGTTTCAAATTGTGGTCGACGCAGCAGACGATATCAAGTCTGGAACCGCTGAGGCTCTGGGAAAGTTGGGTCCCGACGGAAATCGCCTTTACTTCTTACTCCCGCCAAAGCGCTACCAAACATTCACCAAGAAGTCGCCGCAGACGATCGAGCAAACAAAACGCGTAAAGGCTGACAGTGAGATGCTGCAACAAGTCAATGGACATCGTAATTTGTTTTTGTTCTTTGTTAGAAGAAGCTAAAACTACAACTAAAGCACGATCCAATCTTTACCGAGTTTCGGGGCCATTCACCTTGACAAGAGCGGGGATCTTTCCTAGGTTCACTCCTTTCATAACGCCATTCCCCGAAAATATTGAGCAAGACTTGGTTTTAAAGCAGTTGAGCGGGATTCACTTCGCGGAGGAGGTCGAAGTAGTTGATGCAAGAGATGGTGGGCGCTTATGCTCCCGTTTCCAGAGACTGCGGTACTACTCTTGGCTGGCATCCTCAAGGTTTTGGGAATATTACTTTCGTTGACAATAGACGAACGACATTTGTCTGCGAGAATCTGGCAGAACGTTGCTGACCAAGAAAATCAACTTTCTATTGCGAAGGTTGTTAGCCGTGACGAATGCACTCAGCTATAATTCTGCAAGCTTCGTTAGTCCCCGCTTCTTCAAGTACTTTATGTACTTTTCCCGATAGCCCCACGCCGGATCACTCCCCCAAAGACGAATATGCTTGCTGAAAACATGTCGAACAACAGTCATAGGCGTTCTTCCGATGTCAAACTGCGCCTTTTCCAGTTTATTGGCGATTTTTTTCGTGCTCTCCACCTTGGTCGCTGCCTGAATCATGGTCACAAGATCTTCATAGTTGACGTGTCTCGACAGCTGCGTGTACATTTGTTCCGGCGTATCGTTCATCGCAGCGTGCTTCACCCACAGCATGAACTGTGGCTTGTTGAAAAGACTTGTCCCCGCCTCATCCAGCTTTAAAAACACGAACATGTCCGCCGACGAGTGCCCAGCCTTGCTCCATGCCTTTATCTCCTTAGCTTTGTCGGAGGTGGACTTGAGCGAGTTTACAACCTTGTCCAGAGTGGGAAATGCCCTCTCTTCACTGCCATCATTCGAAGAGGAGTCAGCCCTCAGATGCCTAATGGCGAGATGACCAGGTAATGGTGAGTGCATGGTCATGGTGGCATTAGCGCTTGAAAGAGCCGCGGCACTCAACAGCAACATGTGCTGCAGGCGCATGACTTCGATACTTGGTCTCTGGCATCTGCAGATTGCAAAGTGGAGTCAGCGGAAGCATGGTAAAATTTGAGCTTGTGTGTCGACGGCCCACTTTGTCCGGATACAGTAAGTGGTTAAATGGAGGTTTCGCGAGATATAGTCCAGCATCATTAGTGCTCTCTTGCTGCTGCTGTGTAATTGCCGTTGATTATCTTGACCTCGCGACAGATAGTAACGTTATTTGCTGATAATGAAGACTTCATCATGCAGCTCCACCAGTGTTGCTAATTGCTTATTCGTTTGATGACCTGCACGGGTTAAACTGAGACTCTAAATTGCAACGGTCGCGAACACGCCGGAGCAACGCGACTGAGATGCTCCATTACTAGTAGTACTCACACTTGTGTGGCCTAATTTCAGAAGATGAACCTCTAAATCGTATTCCAAGCGACTTAGGCGCGCCGCACGTGCGGCGCACCAGTCGCCCTCAGCAAACCTTGCCGTCACCCTTAATGCTCTCCCAGAGAACGATAGTGGGTCACTGAATTACACCATGCCTTGGTCCAGTAAAACCCACTGGGTTTTATATAGAACCGGCAAGAATCCAATTTAACCCACTCGTCTTCGTGCAACCTTCATTGGATGATTGGGTTTTGATGTTACCCCTAGCCGACACAAGCAACATTCAGTTGGGTGTTTTAGGCGTGCACAAGCTATTAGCTATAAGTTTCTCAGCTACGACTTTCTATTGAGTGAAGAATAGCTAATTTACGTTCATAGCCACAGAATCTAGTTTGTAGAGGATCGAGATCTACCTACGGTTCTGAGATAACAGGACAATAAAGTAATAGAGTTATACTGAGATAGTAGCGTTAAGCATAGAATTTTCCTATAGTATTTAGAATAAAAGTATAGAGTTTTATTAGACGGAATCGTCGCATCTCTGCAGAAACTCTGGATTAAAATCCAGAGAACTGAAATGTGCGCTGATGGTCCTCCAAGCAGGAGCCGATGCTGTTGAAGCTGACTTCGATGCCGACTAAGCTGAACGTACGGTATTCATGTAGCATTATGATGATCTGAACTAATATCGGTAACAACGTACCTTAAAGTTTTTTTTTACATGAACAAGATCAACTAGTAGATAATTCTACATCACCAGTAGTAAATGGACTCAGTGGGCCCGTGCGGTTCGTAATGTAGTATCACTCAAGTCGAGCTTAATATCATCCAAAGCTAGTGTACTCCACTAACATGTTAGCTGATTTTACTGGACACTAACAAACAGTTAGTTGAAAACTACACATGTTAGCTACACTGTTAGGGAAAAGGGGTACATTAGGAGATTACTTAGTAATCTATACGACAGCGTATTTACTAGCTGGTCTGGGTGTCAGTACTTGCACCGTGGGTTTTGACATAGCTAGGAAACACCCAGTCGTCTCTACTCTTAAAAGTTGATCATCATCTGCGCTGATAAGTGGTGTGCCAGCCCCCTCCACCCAGCCAATATTTCCCTATTTTAACAAATACTTAGTATTACAAAGTAAAATAGATTGGATGGGTAAATTCCTAGTTCTGAGGGTGTATTTGTGTTCACATCGCCCTTCTGGCTGCCCTCGGTGCAAGTATATACCCTTCTCCATACTATTCCTCTAACGCTACTAACATGTTAGCTCAAAATACTAGACACTAACTAGCAGTTAGCTAACATGTATAGCAACTAACACGTCAGCGTTAGGGAGTACACTATCCAAAGCCTTCGTAGTGTACATGCCTGAGCGAGTGCAGCTACCTTTTTTAATGGACCCAGACCAGCCATTCATAGCTCATTTAATTCGAACTACTACATGGTACGATTAGGCTGCTTCCGGTTTCATACACGGTCGCCATAAAAGCAATACTTCTGTAGCTTTTAGCCTTTTCTCCAGCGAAGACATACGATCAGGTGCAGCTCTTTCTGAGTCTCGGCTCAATGAATTCGTCACCGCGTTACCGGCGGATTGAGTTTGCTTTGGATAAAAAAATGTTGAACGAAAAAAAAAAGCTATACCTCCCATTTTAGATCACACAACCTTTAAAATTTTAAGTACTTTTTGGCAAAGTTGGTCAAGACTCATTCCAATGAGTGGGGGGGGGGGGGATTCACACAAATACAACCCAACCGTGGACATGACTATCATCGACATCATAATAACCCGGTACCCCTCAAACGGATTAGGAGCATATATGCATGGGTCAGGCTTCAAATACTTCTCAAGCCAGGCTCGTTTGGCTTCAGTTTCTCTTTTTGCCACACCACATCTACTTTTCAGATCACATTACCAGGTAGATGCTCATGGGTAATGGTAAAAAGATTCCTATAAAACTAAAACTAAAAACGAAACAAAACAACTTAGTCAAATTTATGTTATCCTAGGGGGCGGGCTTATTTTCGAGGACCCATGGATGTTCATCGAGGAATGTTGCAAAAAGTACGACAATCGCGGAAAGCCGCTCAAAACGGATTTCCGGCGAGGAATCACCGCGGGGTCCACGGGTGGAGCCTTTTGCAGTAAAATACTACATAGCGGTGTCAATACGTTTACTTCGCGTTGCCCATTGTCTGTCCGTGTTACTCCTGCATTGCCCTTGCCAACACCGACTGCCCGCAAGCTGTCCGTTGTTGGTGCTACTGCGCAGCACTGCTGCCCGTGCATGACGCATGCGGAGGCTGTTGCTGCTAGGACAGGAGGCTGGCCAATAACACCTGCTCGCCGCTGCGGTGGCGCCTTTATCGTCCAGGGTGTATAGCGCACTATGCCGGACCGAATGAATTCGGGTTCGGGGTACCAGAGATTGTCCACGCGATAAACAGACCACGGGACACTGAATGACCCGGGCCTGAACCGCTTGGACGCACCGAATCGCACTAATGCGGTCCGGTGTTTGGGGTGTGTCCTTGTGTCAACCCCTATAGGTATCGTTTACCTTTGGCGGACCGGATTTCACCGAGTTGAGTTGTTGCGATACAGAATAAAGTCTGCTGGGTGTGTTCCTGGGATAAACCACACCGAATGAACAGAAGGTCAGACCGAATGAAAGGGACCACAGTCAGATCGGTAATTCAGAATAATCAACACACAGAAATACAATGGCGAGCTAAACGTCACAAAATATACAGCCACCACTTATTCTTTGAGACCCTTGGGTGGGGGGTCTATACACCCGTCAACTTCGGAGCCGTCACCCAAGGCACTGGTCAGCCCTGGATGTACACTCACTTACGCGCACCACCCTCACAGAATGATGGAATAATACAAAATATAATTCAGTCCTATCACGCAGTAGTCAATCAATTCGGTCTGCGGGGGTGACTACCTCAACCACCAAAGACACACAGTAGGGAATATAAAATGGATGCCCGGTTAGAGCACGCAAATAGAAAATAAAGCTCTCACAGGTCACTCCAGGGCGCGAAACCCCAGTCACTGCCGACTTTGCCTTGGTACCTTTGAGTCCCCACTACACCAGTGCTCGCTACACCAGTGAGGCCTTGGAAGCGTCCCTAAACTGGCTTAGACCGCGCGCAGGCAGTCTCCTGGAGGGCTCTTGAAGACGTCAAAGTCGGGGTGCTACTTCTGCCCCGAGCACAGAGTCGTCCGCGTGTTCTTCGGCAAATTGGTTTCTGTTTAGATCTTACTTTTGCCTAGCTATCTTCTATAACTTCGCTGACTTTAATGTAGGTTTCACTATGCTTGGCTTGTCTTGAGTATGCTTGTGCTTCTTGGCAGTTCTTCAGTATGCTTGTCTTGGTTTCGGTATGCGGAGACTTGTTGACGACGACACTTCTCCGGTACACTCATCAGATGATGACAGAGGTACCTGGGTACACCGTCTCTTCGTCTTGGAACTGGACCTCTCCCTTGGATGTGCGGCTCATTCGGTACCGCTCGTGGGCCTTGGTGGATCTTGGTCTCATCCGGTCTGGATTGACGCCGCTGTGTGAACACACGCGGCGCGCACTGGACTTGTTCTTGGTGCGTCGACATCCAGTGTGGGCACGAGGGGCGGACCGAATGAACGATCCGGCCCGTCCCCATCCGGTGTGGCACTTCTTCATTCTGTACGCCATCACCAGGTGCACCACGATCCGGTCGGGACAACACGAGGCTTCATCCAACAGGGTCTTGTGCACGCGTGATCATGTCTGGTGAGGTCGATTCAGTGGGGTGGTCCGACAACTTGACTGAGCCAATGCAGGCAGTGGTCAGGATATGTTCGCTGGCCACACTTTCGCGCCTTGGGCCTATCCTGCAGTTAGGGAAGTCAGTGGACGGACAGGATGCGTGACTCCGCACCGAATATGAGCGCTCATCCGGTGGGCGCATCTCCAATCCTGTGAGCCCATGCTTGCTGCAAGTGCCAGGTCCCACCAAATCTCCACACACATCCACAATCCACACGTCACACTCGTCTCTACCGGATCTCCATCTCATGCGACCAATCACAGCTCACCGAAGGGTCCACGTATCCATGGGGTCGGACATGGGTGCAGACAAAAATCTGTCTCCTCATCGTGTCACTATGATAGTTCATTTGACCTACCCCATTCTCAATTGTAATACAGTGGTTAATAAATAGGGAAAAAGTACTTGTAAAAAGGGTAAAAAGTCTTTATGAACATTTCATTATAAGGGGGGTTATGCCCCAACTAGTACTAGTATAGCAGCAAACTCACGGCAAATATGCACCCCGGTTTCTTGAGGGGTATTGCTTCGGCAAATGTAGTATAATATTTCTCTTCAATCAACTTGGTCATCAGATCAGCTCTCTTGCTCGTCTCGGCATCAACTTGTTTTCATCTTCTTTGCGTTCTTCATCACTTGGGGCTTCAATCAAAAGTGGCTCCTCTCGCGCGCCAACTTGAGAGAATACGTTCTTGACAGAACGGAAAAAGTCCCCATGACGGACTGCTTCGATATACTCTTCAAACCTCCACGACTCCAGACTAAACAGCATTTGGTCATCCACTGGTTGAGAGATCACCTGCGACTCGTGCACCTCCATACTCGCCGTAACGGTATTCGCATCTTCGTTCTCAGCATCCGCTAACAACTTAAACGAGAGCTCTTCATCATCGGGGCCACCGCAAGTAGACGGGATCGGGACAGACTCGTCCTTGCGGTAAATATCACCGGGTGCGTAACAGTTATGAGTTGTGTGGTGAGAATACATGGGATGCCGACAATGGTAAACGAAGGGGTGTGCTTTGTGGAGGTCTACTTGTCAATGCTAGTGGTACTATTAGGAGGAGGCGGAGGAGGAGAAGGAGGAAGGGCTGAATCCCTAAAACAGGGGTCAACTGTGTCACAGAAGGTAAGTGGGGTGGTGGTCAAGTTGTTGAGCGTAATGGAATTAAGGGCCGTTCCTAACGGGATCACCGGGGCATGATCTCGGCTGTGGTTTGGGGTGAAAGGTAGCATGATCCCAAGGTCGTTCCTAACGAGATAGTGATCCATGTCCAAATACATAATGAAAGGCTCAAGTCCGCGTTGGGGGCGGTCGCCATTTTGAGCTTCACGAACAGTGTTCGTTTGCATTTACTGCGATTGAACGCTGCTTTGCACTTCGACAATGCATTTGATGCAAGCTGATTCAATGTGGCTATAGCAGAGAATAACTGCGCAAAACTGCAATAGTGCTTTAGGTACAGTCTTCTAGGTTACTCAATGGCTTTAACGAGCTCCATGCACTCGTAGGGTGTACACTCGGGCGAACATTAGTCGAAACCGTGGCTACGAAGACTGCTGGAGTCTAAATCCTTTGACGGGCATTTGGCAGTGATCCGTAATCCGAGATTGGGGCATGAGCCATTACTTGGATCATACCAGCTCCATATGTATCTATTTTAGTCAATCACGTATCAGAATTACGGGTCATGATCCTCACATGATCCCGTTAGGAACGGCCCTTCCTGCTCTCACATTTCACTTGACCTCACACGCTTATCCCAGGTAGTGTATCCCGGCTGAAAGACCAAAGTTGAACACCGGCGATGCGGGGGCTGAACCCGCACGGAATAGTAGCCGAATGTATTCATCTAATCAAACAACCACTTGCGTAGTTGCTTAGCAAAATGTGAAGTGAGGTCGAGTGGCGGAGGCCGACTCTCTCTCAAATCCAGAGGGCATCTCTCGCCGGCGTGTCCAGCTGAGAGGCAGTCAGCTTGAAGTGGCTTCAAGCTGAGAGACGGACGGAAGTGGTAAGTTTACAGGAACTGCCCCGATCCACAACAGTCGAGCCCAAGAGTACATGTAGCCTCGTACACTAATTCCTTATGCAAACTGGGTCAGGCACTGGCAGCCTAACCAGCGATATAACAGATAGCCGACGTCTGGCAGCGTTGGACATCTTGGTCACCTGTGATCTTCCTCAGCCGTGTACGACGAACACTCGTGGTGGAATCAAGCTTGTCACGCCTGCATCCTCTACACAGCCTCTGAAGCTTGGATCCACCGCTACTAAACCATAGCATGACTGGCGTGGTTACGTGACCCAATCGCACAGATACCGAATGCCCGTCCCCAGATTTGTCGGGAGGACTCCGCTCAGCTTCGCTACTTGCGAAGGCGACTCGAGCGGCGAGTCAGACGTCTGCTTCTTGCCGACGTTAGCGAAGACGTCGCGCCCTCCGAGATTGAGACTTGCCTGGCCGTCTGCGACCTGGTTCGTCCACGAGCTGCTTGGGGCCCACCATCCCCAACACTTGCGTGCCTGCGACCTCGTCCACGTCATGA